GTGTCTGCGATGGGCGGGGGTCGAGGACGGCGGGCTTTTTTCACCGCCAACATCAAAAAATATATTCATTTTTTTCTTCTTTTTTTTGGCCCTTTTTTTTTTTTTTTTTTTTTTTTTTTTTACATTTGCCCTGAGTTCTGGTGATTCCTTCAAACACGAGGGTTGGTCTACGCTGAAGCTCGATATACGCACCCAGCTCATTTGGTAATTGTCACATCGTGATATGAACTGTCATTTGATACGCGTATGCTGGCTCTTATATGGCGTGGTTGATCACCTATATACGAAGTCTTATCAAAATTGGAAGAAAATCATCAACAAGGCTCGCAAAGTCTGATCGCGTAGTGCAGATTGTAGGCCCCGGTGAAGGTTTCAACTTAGTATTCTAATAGGACCAGATTCGTCTTTTTGAAATTTGATGAATCTGGCAGTATGTAAAGAGCATGAGACCAATGGTAAGCAGGTACTTAGCCCTGAAGCCATCCACGCATGATCGTGTTAAGCAACAGAGCTCTCAGGAAGTGAAATGTAGACATCACCTCGCGAGACCAGTAGATCTTAGCAGCTGTATCAACATTTTGGCTCTTTTCGGCACTGTGGAAGATACCATCTCTCTGATTGCTAGACGATACATATTTCTTACTTTCAAGGAGCTACAAGACCGGAGCACCGACTGGGAAGATGGGTCAGATATCCGAGGAGCAGGCAAAAGCCATGCTACGAAAAGCCCCAAAGCCGTCCACTCAGGATGCACACGGGCAGCGGCCACACCCACACCTCGACGAAGAAGAGCATTACCGGGAAGAACTGAAGGGTCTGAAGACCATAGCGGGAAACGCTTGGAAAGAAACCGAGTCAGAAACCCCTGCTTTGTGGGCATACCCCGGAAAGTTCTACAACTATGAGAACCAGAACCGCGCTGGCAACTCCAGATCACACCGTCCAGGGTGCACCAGGCTCGCTACTGATGCTGAGAAGAGTATCATTGGAGTCTCAGTTCAACCAGGGAATGATGTAGCAGTACTAGTGAGGATCTGCGAAATGTGAAGGGAAACAAAGCAGAGATAGTGCTAAAAGTGCCTATATCCCCCTTGTGAGAGCCATCGTGTTTGCACCTCGCATCCGACGATACAAATGATGTAGGATTGCATGAGACCTCCCGAGAATTACCGTGGAGGTTGGTCCTATCATCACCATTGCCTCGGGCTTTGACAATCACCATGATTGCATCCGCGATGATATCATATCAGAAACGTCAAATTCACCACTGATATTCTCTGCCGCTTCAAACGATGGAAATATGGAGTCCATTACATTCCCTGCATCCATGCGTCAATGCGTGATGTGCATGTTCGCCAGTGACGGACATGCCAAACCGACACATCTCTCTATCAATCCATCTGCACGAGAGAGTGGAGGTTTCAACTTCGCCATTCTTGGAGAGGATGTGGAAGTGCAATTTTCCGATGCAGTCCAACCTAGTCGGCACAGCGGTACATCGATTGCAACATTCATTCATTGGAGCAGCCACTGCGGGGGTCTTACTTGACTTTTCCAAGCAGCCTGGTTGCCAAGACATCGTGAATCCGTATCATTTGAAACGAATTGGGGGGATGTCGGCTGTATTTAAGAAGATGTCCGTGGAGGACAATGGTTATAACTGCATTGCTCCATGGTCATTGCTCCGGGGTATTTGTGTTCCTACCAATTCGTGCGCGCCTGAAGACCGGGAATATATACGACGCAGGGAACTGGGCAAGCGTTGTCGAATTCTCTCATAGAAGCTGGGCTATGAATACCGTGTTGCCCAGTGCCGCTTGGATTATCATATGTCGATGTCAGAACGTCCATTAACACGCTATTCAGTCGGGGCGAGGTAAACCATCCGAATGCTTTGTCTACTTCTGAACCTTCGTTGCAACAGGAGACCTTGAAGTTGAATATGTATGTCCAGGTTCTATCCCTCAGCTCAAGGATACCAAATCATACCAGTCCACCTAAAACTGCCAAACCCACTATTCGGCGTCGCCCACCTCGCCAGATCAATACTGGCATGACCCGTCTCCGTAAAGCCCAGCTTGAGATAGAAATCGACAGCCTCAGGCTCGGCATCAAGAGCCAGGGGAAGGCCTGCCTTCCTCGCTCGAGAGAAACATTCTCCCATCAGCTTCGCTCCAATCCCCAGTTTGCGAGATGTGGGCTTTACCCCTATATAATTGATTCCTGCTTTTGCATTAGCCCCAAGGTCACAGCCAAAGAGAATGCTGCACGTACTCAAATGCTCATAAGCGTCATTCTTTTGCTGAAGCGCTAGACATGCTTTGACAGCTGCGTCGTAGACATCTGGATGAATCCCATTAAGATCGTCTGTCTTTTCCTCGTGGCTTTCATTGACTGCCTCAGTATTCGAATGCTGCTGCTCGGTGGAATCTTTTGGGAATTTATGCGAAATAGCCACGTATCCGATGATTTCTCCCGTTTCATCAACGGCTTTCAACCCCTCGATTGTGCTGTCTGGCGTCAAGGTGCTTTCAATGGTTGACCGGTACAGGGCCTTCTGGGCGGGCTCGTTTGGCCAATCCTTGAATAGTACCCGGTTGAAGATGAGACTCGTCCTCAGCAAGTAAAGAAGGTCCACTAGGACGGGGACATCAGAAGTCTCGACTGGATGAATAGAGTAGCCGGAAGTCATTTTCAGAACTGATGTTGGAGACAATTGAGACAAGCACGGAGTAGATTGAACTCGGGGCTCTGCCCAGGTGGGGAAGACTGAAGAGATAAGAAAAGGGCCCTGAGCGCAGGCAGCAGCGTATCTAGGGACAAAATCCCCTAGAACAGAAAGGCATATTTTGGAAATGTCATAATATTGAGAGGAAATGGGTATCTAAACGTACGTCCCATCAGCACCCACAGCCCACGGACAGGACGACAGAAACTGAGAGATGTAAAAAAAAAAAAAGAAAAGAACCGAAGCAGACTAGCTATAACAACCCAGAAAGGAAAACAGCGAGCAAGCCAAAGATAATTCCAAAAAGGCTCTGAAAACTTTGAAAACAATCTCTTAAAGCCTTGGCTTTTGCGTCGGGTATTGTAGCAGAAAGAAGAACAAAGATAAGGCGGAAAAAAATGACGAAAATTCGAAAATATGAAGACAAGATCAGAAGAGACATCAAAACGACATCGCAAGGAAACAAAATATTGTAGCCAGAGAGCCAACGCTCTTTCTGTTTTGTATCGTATCATTTCAAGCAGACTCCAAGAAAAAAACAATTTCTCCATCTGTGATCATAAAATCGTGAATTAGCGAATAAGCGCAAAATGCTTATTCCAAATCCAGCCAACTGTACCCGTCGCATCATCCTGATTACGGGCGAGCCATAGCTCACCCTTTTCGCCAACGATGTCAAAGACATCGCCAGAAGCATACGTCAGATAAGGATACCCGCCTTCTGTGCGGGCATCGATATCAAAATCGTACAGACTGGCGGCGCAAAAGAGTGCGGCGGGTCCAGTGGGCCGGGGCCGGTCCGGGACAGACTCGGGTGTACTGTCAGACATGGGCATGGCGGAGGAGAAGAAGCCAGAGTATCGATCTGTTGGGGAGGCAGGTTGGCTGTTGTGGGTTGAGTTGATTACGTCGGCCAGGAATGGGGTGTCGAGGCTTAGCCGAGGGAGACTGGGGAATGGTTCGATGGAGGTGCTGTTCCGTCCTGAGTTGGGGGTGCTGACGACTTGTTGGAGCATTTGGTTTGGGGTGTCGGAGACTACTCGGTTCGAGAAGGTGGAGTTGGCGCGGTAGCGGCTGCTACGTCCGGATTGGGCTTCCATCTGGGGGGATTGGAAGGGTTGGCTGCCGATGCTGAAGTCCCTAGAGGCATTTGGGGAGTCGTCGTTCATTGATTCTGGTCGGGTTTTTCCACTGTTGATGGTCGAGGGGCGCCGGGGAGACTGGACATTGGATTCGGTGGGGGACAGAGGGACCAGGTTGAGAGAGTGGGCGAGCATTGACCCGTTGCAGGTGCTCAGCTCCTGCATGCGTGCCTCCATCAATGCGTGGTCGCTGTTGAAGTCGTTGACGAGTCTTTGGAGATCACCAGGGAAATCAACGTGGTTTCCAATCTTGCGTTGTAGGACACTAAACCACACGCTTTGGGTCTTGATGAAGTTCTTCAGACATGCTGACATCAATTTAGCAGTCAACGCGTAAAGCTTGGGAAGTTCGTCTTTCAGCGTCTCATTGAGCGCCAAAAACTGCTCGCCTTGCTCAGTGGTCTTCTTGTCTGGCTTGTCGCCTCGGTCCTTGATAGCCTTGTAGCGGGCGTATTCCGGAAGACGCTTATCACGTTTCCGCATGACTCGCTGAGGGGCATTGTAGAGTCCAAGCACCTCCACCATCGGAGAGATGACCGTCTTGCGAACGATGTCGAGCTGCCATAGATGTTAGTGTCGTTTTTCGGAAACAATTGTGTTGGAACCTTACATGTTCTGGTAACTCGGTGGTAACAACGTCCTGAACAGTCATCTTAAACCGATGCCACTTGGTCTCCAGTTCAGGATAAGGAGAGGGAGACATGCTCGTTACATCGCCCATGGCATCGGTGTACTCGCTGAATTGAGTGACCCACAGTTGAACATCAGAAGAGTAGCTCTCGACGTCGCGCATGACCACCTGCAACTGGAAGTAGCCATCTCCGAGTTTCTGAGCCAACATATCATATGTTTTGTCCTCGAACAAGTCCGAAAGACCAACTTGTTGTCTGAACTTCTCGGTGCGGCGACCAAATGCTTTGGATAAACCGGCGCGAACATCAGACTGGTTGCGTTTGCGACTCACAGCTTGGCCAACAAGATCTGCACGCTTTTTCGATTCATTGATGCGATGGGAAACATTGGTGACTTCTTCCAATGCGTTGGCGATCGCCACCCGGTCTGGGTGATCATGTGGCGTGGATTCTAGAAGATCCTGCAGAAGGAGGGGATATTTCAAGATTCTTTGAACGGGTTTGACGAGCAAGGAGTCCAAGTCCCAGGCAGTCGTGAGATCAGAAGCGTAGTTGCGACACTCACCAAGCCAAATGCCCACATTTGGGAGCCGCTGCAGGGCCTGGAGCTTCTTGTTGGCGGCGTCGTGATTCTTCAGATAGTCTGTGTACACCTTCTCCATCTGCTGCACGTACCGAATGAAGACATGGCCGACCGTGGTAGATCGATCCTTCTCAAGATCCGATAATCCTGCATATTCGGCAAGTTGGTCATCAACGGGAGGCTCGCTCTGGGGAGGCCGATTCTCGGCATTGCGCTGGCTGGTCCACCTCTGAGCCTTGGGGATGATGTATATGCTTCGAGCTGCCTTCTTTAGGTCGTGCAGGAAATGATCAGAAAAGTCTGCCACTTGTTCAGAGTTGCCGAAGAGGATCTTGATGTCATCGACATCCAACACATCAGATGAAGTTTCCTTGTAAATATCTTCAATAACCATCATATCGTGACCAAAAGTGTGTTCGGTATCGACAAGCTCTTTAATGATATGCTGTCTCTTCTTCAAGCGGCGTTGTTCGGGTGAAGGCGACTTTCTAGACTCGATCCGAGCCACTTGTTCCGTGGAGGGGGCAAGTGAAGTAGAGGAAGAGTCAGGTGCAGCCGGAGACTCATTGGTCAATATACGTCGGAAGGAAGAGTTCTCGCTGCTGTCCGGGCTGTTTCCTGCAGCCCCGGGCACAACAGACCCGGTGTGGGTCGGTGGATGAGCGGCAGTGCCGGCTGGTGGAGCTTCTTGGGGAACCCCAGAGGGCGGCGGAATTGCCAGTGGATATAGTGCCTGCTCGTGACCAGAATCCCGGTTCACGGAAACGCCAAGACCATTGCTCTCGGCGCCGTTCTGCGTGGGATGAATCCCGCGAGGGGTGAGCACTTCTTCATCAAGGTTGCTATCGGCATCCGTGGTAGGGTTCGCCGCTTCATCCTCAGCTCGTACCTGCATCCAGTCCATGATGGAAGGGGATGCGTGCTCCCAGTCATCCCGGCCCACCAAACTGGCTGTATGAGAGAGTTTACCTGAGATTTGGTAATCTTCGAATGGAGGAACGACAACGGGATCGTCTGTCAGGCTATTATTGCGTTCATCTTCACGTGCATTCGCGGGATGAGACCGAGGCTCAGATGAGGATTGGGCCGCTGACCCAAAACTGTAGCTTCTGCCTCGAGTGAGCTCCTCGAGATACAGCTGAGTGACGCGCTTGGAGTCCCACCTCCCCATCCTTGCTAGATTGGGCGGTGTATAGAACATGCTTTCACGATTGCTAGGCGTCCGAAGGGTGTTGGGTCCAATGACCCCATGATCCTGCAGAGGCTGTGATTCATCGTAATCCGCGATAGAAGCTGGCCGTGTGGATACAGCTGAACAAGTTTCAGTCGGGGGTTCCGTATTTTGTCTCGAGAGACCGAGATCATCACCGCTCTCGTCACAGTGCTCATCGCAGGTGGAGTTCTGATTTTGCACAGAAGACCATGACCCAACACTCCATCGATTGCGGGGCTCATGACCGGCTGGGGGTGCTTGTACCGGCGGAAGCCGTACCTCCTGTGTGTTTCCGCTACTTGAGGAATCGTAGAAGGCCGTACCGCCGAGCATGATTTGGACCGACTCTTGGTCGGTCTCGGAAACACTGCAGTCCGGCTCATCGCAAGAATCATCACTGGGACTGGACTCCCGTATATGCATGATCTGATTCAATAGAGTTCGATGAGAGATGCTGGGGTTCCGTTGCAGCAGTCCAGACTGCGGCTCCGGGTCGAAGGTTGTAACATGAGTCTCGTCGGAATTCGCCGAGACAGCCGAGTTTGGTGCGTCGGTGTTTGGTACATCGGTATAAACAGGCTGATCTCCGCCTGCGATTGTAGAGTTCACTCCCTCGGGTACACCAAGGGTCGGCGAGTCCATCGTCGTATGCGGTGCGGCCGTATCGGAGGTTGACAGAGATGTGTTGAGATGCAATCTTGGAACATTCTGGGGTTCATTGACTCTCGAGTCAATTCCACCAGTCGACTCTGTGACTGAAGTAGTCATCTCGCCAGACTGTGGGGTGTTGTTTAGAGCCGGAGGCACCGCATGTGAATCATTCTTAGGGTGATCTAGATCGGCATGCGAGTTCTCGTCGTCCGTTACAGGACGGCTCTGGATCTCCACAGCAGGTTTGTTCTCTCTCTGCTCATGTTTATTTCTATTGATGGCTTGCTGAATGTGTTGGCGGCGAGCCTCGAAATCAACATTGCCCAATCCTGGCAGTTTGCGCGGTTGTGTACGTGACGATCGAGGGCTGTTGCCGGCTTGTTTCTGCAGTGACGAAACCCTGTCCTCAATTCTAGAGCGTGATGAAATCGTTGAGCCGTGTGAAACAGGTTGTCGGGGTCGAGAGCTGCGTAAGGGAGGAGACTTCTTGGGCGGTGGTGCCGCAATGTAGGCCTGAAGCCGCCGACTTGATTCGGATAATTGATTGCGGGTCTGGGCCGCGCTTAATTCCTGTCGGGTACGCGATGCGGGCGCAAACGTAGCGGGATCATCTTGTGGCATGCGGGGAGGGCTGTATTTGGGTGACCGGATAGGAAGGCGGCTGCTGCCCTTGGGCGGCGATGTAATTGCAGCAGACCGGCTGCTGAATGTCGGATTGGAGGACGGTGATAGGGGTTCAAGGCCGGAAGCAGCAACAAGACGGTGGGAGGAGACAGGAATGCGGGATCTGGAACTTGGACTGTCCGGCGGCGACTCATAGTCGGTCTTGGCCCGAAGCAAGGGGGCTCGTACCGCCATTTCCGACGTCCAAGGCTCGGCAAGGGACACTGAAGGGTTGTCCAAGTCACTCTGAATTCTGCGATGTTGACCGTTGGTCGTTCCAGCGTTGACGGCCTCGAGTGAGGTGGTGTGACCCAGATACCACGCAGTGGGCGTGAGAGGTGTTTTGCCAATGAAGTGATCTTGTTGATCAAGGAAGGCTGGATTCGGGCTTGGGATACTCCCATCCGACCCACGGCGCTGTAAACGCGTCAGGGGTACGTTGTTGACCTGGGTGTTGATTGGCAATAGTCCGCCAAACACTGGCCGGCGAGAATGGGACTCCGAGAATCGCTGCGACAGCGGTGGGATGCCACCGTTTGAATTCCCTGGAGGGAATCGACCGGTCTCCGGGGATGACGGCGTAGAGGCGGCCGGCGCACGAGGATGACTGGTGATTGACCCCGGCAGCGAATCGCGGTGCTGGCGACGACGTGGGAAGGCCCGGTTGCGCTCTCCGTCCGCACTCCCAGCAGGGCTCGCAGTTCTCGAAGTGGTACGCGACGACACGGAGGGAAGAGGTAGGACTTGGTCGGGGGCGTTGTTGAATCTGTTGACCAGATCTTTGAAGGAGGTCTGGCGTGCTCTTGCGCCCGACGGGGGATGGATGGCCGAGAGACCCAAATTTGGGGAGTCGGAGGTTGAGCGGTACGGTTGGCGTCTGGTTCGCGACGACTCCAGCATATTTGCTGGCACGGGTGATACCTTATCACCCACTGCAGAACGACCGGCGACCGCCATCTCCGGCATTACATCGTTGAATCCTTCTCTTACATTGGTGGAGGCCGACTGGGCCCCACGGCGATAATAATCGGCAGGATCGGGAGACTCCCGGCCTCTGTGATCTTCCAATTGATCGCCCGACGCCCGGTGATTGGAAGTGGAGTGATTATGGGGTCGCAGTAGGGCAGACGGTAAAGGAGAATACGTGGTCGGCGCCTGTGCCTGGGGGAACGGAGCGGACGGTTCTAAGGTGTCATGGACGGAGCTAAATGACGCGGAGGATTGTCGCCCAAACGGAGGTTCCTGGTAGACACCAAAACCCTGTTCGTCACCGCCAGACATGGTGCATGCTTCACGTCGACGTGGACTGGCCGTGGGCCTCTCGGTTCTGGACGGGGGTTACGGTGCGTTGTTCCGGGATGGTCGCCCAACGGGTTGTGGATGTCACAAAAGTCGAACTTCAGGCTACAAAGCAATGGTTTCGGGTGGCGTACCCCCCCTCCGCATTCATATTTGAGACACTGGAGAGTATTTCGAATCGAAGCTTCGGACCGGGAAAATCGGAGCAAAGAAGAAGGGATCTGCCCAAGCGAATGAGATGGCGGCGGCTAGCGTTGGAGGTGTGAGGGGACACCTGGACCGGTTTGTTAGCTCGTCTGGGATCTCACACACCCTGGTATGTCGACTTTTACCTCTGCACTGGGAGAGAGAGAAGATGTCGAGGACAAAGAGGAGACGGTGGCGTAAATGAAATAGATCTCAAAAGTGGATTTCCCATGCTCTTTGTGAGGCCCACCTAGTATTTTGCATGTTACACGTCTGGGACTTTTGTATGTTACTGGTATATTTGGATATATCTATTGTCATTATTCGTACTTATGCCCTCCAGGGCTGAAAATAGGTGGATGTTCATCTACAGTGCTCCGTACGCCGTCTGAGCATTCTCCTGTACGGAGTACGGACACTGTACTGTACTCCTCTCAGGAACCCGGTCTAGACCGCCCCGTGCCATGGTTGCGACCTCATTGGTTCCTTGTTTTGCCTTGGTGCCTGAGCCCTAAAATCGATTCATCCACGGGTCGTCGATTCAAACAAGTCTCCGGGGTATCGAGTAAAACAACAATACGCAACATTGTATAGATGATCCATGGATCGGTTCCCACCTTTACCGAGCCTTGACGCGTCGCGCGTCTATTACCCTTCATAAACATAGAAACACCCGTCGCCGACCACAAATCGGAGTTGCGAAATGGGGAAGAAGCGCAAGCGACCCGGTAAGGACCGTGGTCCCACGTCCTCGTCGCACCTCGGTGTCACCACTGGTACCCGCCGTTTCAGAACTTCAGCCCCAATTTCCAGCACCAGCCATCCTGTGATTTCCCTGTACTACGCCAACGTATTATCGCTGCGGGATTACCTTCTTCAGCGACTTCCTCGAACATCCAAGTCGCGTCGGCGTCGCATCAGGACACTAGCCTCGCCATGCGAACAGGCAGAACCCTCCGCATTGGCCCAGCTCCTCGACTCCACTCTGGTGGGCGTGCGAAAGGACGCCCCGGAGATCAACTCCGGCCACCAGAAAGAATTCCAGTCCTTTTCGCAGTCGCAATCGCGCTCGCTGGTGAGCAGCGACACGGGGCTGACCTACCTGCAGTCGGAGGTGAGTTGCCTGTTTGCGGGACTAGGGCGATGGAGCTGACATCCCTCGGCGCAGGTGGTTGATTTCGTGATCTGGAAACTGTTCAATCAAAATGGCTACGGGAAGCCTCAGCATTTACTGGCGCATGGCTTCCAGCGTCCGTCAATGGGGGGACGCGCCCAGGAGACTGGGATCCCGGGCATCGTTTGCCAATTTCCCAATCACAGTGTCGCAACCCTCAAGGAAGGCCCTTGGGTAGAGGTTCTAGGTTTGCTCGGCAGCAGCGGAGAGGAGATCATGATGCATCTGCTGTTAGATTGTGGCGTCTTTGCGGCTATAAACGCCCAGAGGGGGGTTTACTACCAGCTGAGTGGTATCGTGTGGCCATGAAGCAAACATGTCTCAAGCATGCTGATTGACTGTTAGGCCTCCCCATGCCCGATCTGGGAATTCTGAACGCGCCTTCGAAGCCCAAGGCACCATTGGACGCGCAGAACACCACTCCCGTCAAGAGCGATCGGACAAAGAACGACTGTCAACCGAAGCCTGCCAACCCTTTCGGTCCAAACAGCATTATTTTTGTTCGCCGGCAGATCATGTATGGGCGGGTGGAAGCCAAAAGGGGGATACCTTGTGGGCTGGGGCAGATGCGTATGTACGCCGTTTGAATTGCGTTTAAACTTTGAGCTAATTTCATGCAGACGTCCTTAACCGGTTCCCGACACTTGATTCACCGGCACAAACGGTTCATGTGATGAAGTACATTTTCCCCCGCCAATTCGGTCTGGAGAACGTGTTTATACCAGGACCCGATGGACGCAAGAGCACAGCCCACCTCAAAAGCCAGGGCTCTCGCGAGACGGAGATATCTCAACTCGATCAGAAGCGACGCCTCCGCCAGCCCCGGTCCGAGAATGAATGCGCCAATGCAGATGGTGGCGTAGAAAGTCTCAAAGTTCCCAAGAGACTTCGCGGCGTCGTTGAAATCATCCGGAAGATACGGAATCGCAATGCACAGTGTTGCTATAGCGAGATGTTGCGGTATTATTGTCCGACTGAAGTGAGACATTCTATCCGTTTTGTATGGCTAGTGTGTCGCTGACCTTTTGCAGCAAACCGGACCAAACAGACTTGGCGCATTGGCTTCGACGCCCCAAGAGAGCCAGCCAATCTCATCTCACGAGTCAAATTTAGTAACACAAGTACCGAGAATGCCCAGTGGTGATTCTGCGCAGATTGGAGCCGCGATGTTGAAGCCGCTGCAGGCTGGGGATGCACCCGGACCTGAGCAGTCGATTCGAAACGCCAAAGTCAGTTTGACTGACTATGCGACACCACCCTCTTCTGTTTCCGCGTTCTGCCGGGCTGTTTTCCAAAAATTGATTCCCCGGCAGTTACTGGGTGATGGGCCGGAGGGCATTTCGAACTACAAAATTGTTCTGCGACACATCGACCGCTTTGTTGAAATGCGCCGATACGAGTCATTGAATCTGCATGAGGTTTGCAAAGGGATCAAGGTTCGTCATTGATCTGATCATCTGAGACATATCCATACTGATCGGCACGCCAGATTACCAGCATTGGTTGGATGGATCTTCCCCAGGTCCAGACTTCACGATCTGAGACAAAACCGAAGATCGCTCTGTCAGACTTGCAAAAACGCACCGAGTTACTTCACGAGGTCATTTTTTGGATTTTCCAATCGGTCCTTATTCCCCTGATCCGCTCACAGTTTTACGTCACCGAGTCTCAGACGCATCGGAACCGCCTCTTCTATTTTCGTCACGATGTATGGAGGCAGCTGATCGAGCAGCCGTTCGGTGAATTGAAGGCTGCCATGTTCGAGGAGCTCGAGCCTGAGCATGCCAAGCGGGTCTTGACTCGTCGGTCTTTCGGACACGGTGCTCTTCGTTTGCTTCCCAAGTCTACCGGAATTCGACCTATTTTGAATCTTCGCAAACGGTTCTGGAAAGAGTCGCGCTATGGGAAGGGAGGAAGGTACCTTGCCAAGAGCATCAACACGATCATCACGCCTATCTACGACATGCTGAATTATGAACGCCTGCAGGCTCCTGCCAAATTGGGCTCAACTTTGTCGTATATTGGAGATATGCACTACCGCCTGAAGACATTCAAAGAACAACTGTGCAGCCAATCACCCTCAACCCACCAGCCTCGGCATTCCAAGCTCCCACCCTTGTATTTTGTCAAACTTGATATCCAGGCTTGTTTTGATACAATCCCGCAGGGAAAGTTGCTCGATCTGGTCGCGGAATTGGTTTCAGAGGACAATTACCGTATTTGCCGACATGGGGAAATCCGACAGCCACTTTCGAAAGCGCAAAATGCATGGCCAAGAAGGAAATTTTTGTCCCGCGCCGGACCTATTGATCAACCGATGTGTCTACCGGACTATATCAGGAACGGAAATATCGGAGGAAAGCCCAATACTGTGTTCGTGGACTCCTCTGCACAAACACAAGAAGACACGGAGAAACTGCTGGCCCTTCTCAACGAGCATGTCCGCAGTAATCTTGTGCAGATGGGAAAGAAATTCTTCCGCCAACGCAACGGAATTCCCCAGGGATCTGTGTTATCCAGCTTACTCTGTAATTTCTTCTACGCCGAGCTGGAGCGAAAAGAGCTAGGATTCATCGATCCCAGAGACTCTCTTCTTCTCCGACTCGTGGACGACTTTTTGCTGATCACGCCCAAGGCCGACGTGGCAATGCAATTCGTGGAGACTATGCTCCACGGCCAACCTTCATACGGCGTCCGAGTCAATCCAGCCAAAAGCATGACCAATTTCAGCGCAGCCGTCAATGGCGTATTCCTCCCCCGACTTGAAGGCTCGAACCTGTTCCCTTACTGTGGCACCCGTATCTCAACACACACTCTTGAAATCCACCGAGATCAGGACCGTCTTCTAGAAAACGGCGAATGTGCTGCTGCATCCATTTCCAATACCCTGACGGTTGAGGCAGCCCGCCTCCCCGGTCGCGCTTTTACCCGAAAAGTCCTCTCGGCATTCCGCTTACAGCTGCACTCCATGTACATCGACGACGGCCACAACTCTCAGGCCGTTGTGCTGGGAAACCTGTATGCCAACTTCATGACCTCGGCGATGAAGATGTACCGCTATATGAAGTCACTTCGGGGCCGTGCGCACCCCGGTCCCGCGATCGTCACGCAGACCATCCGTGAGTTGATCCAGGTGGCGGCCGGATCGATCCAGGGGCGACGTGTCGATCAGAAGGGCTCGTTCTCATGCTCTGTGCAGCTGTCTCAATTAAAGTTCTTAGCCGCTGCGGCGTTTCGATTCGTCTTGAAACGAAAGCAGACGAGGTATGTGGAGGTGCTGCGCCGGCTGGACTTGTTGACTCGAGAGTCTCGACCCACTTCAGATTCCGCATCGCTGAGGATGGCGCATGTGGTGAAGAAGGGGAATGCAATGTTTGAGCAATGGCGGTTCTAATAGACAGGCTGTATAGTACTGTACTAGCAGTAAGGATAGTATTCAATAATTGTACTACTATATATACATCACGCCCAGGACGCCAAACGTGATTGCCGATGCCAAGTTGTGCCAAATTTCTCTAATGGACCCATTGCCCAATGAGATCGACTTGGGACCATCATGTCCCGTTTGGATCATTAGAAACCGAAAACAAGCAGCTCGACTCCATACAGTTGAAGGCGATCAGAGTGTTTGGAGGCTGTGTAGGCTCATCCCTTCCATGATCGGGTCTATAATTGAATACCTGCCAGGTACTTGTCCCCTGGCCCGTTATGTACTAGTGGCACGAGGTATCCCCGAGGTACCCCCCTGTTCTCGGCCAGACCGAGTGCGGCAGCCTGAGGCTCCGCTTGCAGCATCACGGTTTCTTCGTTTCTGCGTCTCTTCTCTTCATCTCTTCGTTGCTTTTCCGGATTCTCGCGATTCGGGTGTCCTTCCTTTGCTCTGCTGTTTGCCTGACATTCGTTTTCCTTCTTTACTCTCCGCGAATCCCGCCTTCTCCTGAACCCTTTAATCGACTACGCCTGATCTGGATTTAATCAGGTTACGGCCGAGCCTGCAATTTGTTTTCTGAAACCTCCACATTGCTCCCTTCTTCTTCTACTTTTCTTTCTGCTTCTAAAAAGTGCTGGTTGTGTTCTGACCCCCGGATCCTCACGCCCAATCTCGACCCCTTCCGGCCATCCCGTGCCTCCCACTTGCTGTGTGTGTTTTTTTATGGTCCAAATTTGCGGGGGATCAAAACAGTCGGAATAACTGCATGAGACAATGACCACCGTGGGCCCAACACCCAGTTCGCCCCCCGAGCTTTCCGGGTCGAAATCTTCAAAGTCCTCCTCCTTTCACTCCTCCCACCTGGACGGCCCGGACAGTGCTTTCACGGACATTTCGAACTTCGAGGAGATTGGCCTGGAGGATGATGTGGATCTGTCGTACATGGAGTCTGCCGGCTCGTATGGTCGCGCGGGGGTAATGGGTCGGTCATCTGCTCGGCCAGCAAGCAAAACCCCTGCGACGTCGACACGCGATTTGACCGCTACTCCGAAGCCGCGAAAGCGCAATCCCTTACCTCCGTTGACCGGAGCGAAGCCTCCTCAATCTGGGTCCCTGACGGCCAAATCTGGGAATCGCAGAGACTCTGGCAGCACGCTACACTCGCCAGGATTGACACCATCCCAACCTCGCCGACCCCGGTCCGTCTCACCCCTCCGTCCCACCTCCAGTCGCTCCGCCTCTAGCACCAGCTTGGCATTGTCTCCGCTTTCCGCGCGGGTGCCGGTCAGCAAACAAACCTGGCAGCCGAACAGGAAGTCACTCAAGGAATTGGAGGAAGAATATCACGATTCGGATGATGAGCTACCGGACGACGCGAGCCTGTGGAACATTCCTATCTCCCCGCGCCCAGCGCAAGAGCGGGCGCCTTCGCGCTCTGCCAGTCCCAATGGCCGCAGTCCTGGTCGCCGCCCGCTCCCTTTCCAACATGCTGTCACGGACGGCCAAGGGGCCAAAACGGAGGACACAGCAAAAGCATCCCGCATGAAGCGGATAAACCGATCGAGCTCCGCAGGACCGGAGCGTGGTCAAATTTCACCACGCAATCCCCGCACCTATTCTTATAATAGTTATTTAACAGATCTCTCTGAAGAAGCGAAGATCATCACCGAGGCTCTGGAGCTACACGCCGATGATAGAGACCGCAAGCGCGAGGAAAATGTGCAAACGGGGGCTGCACGCAAGTCGAGCGAGGACTCACATCGGGCCTCTCGTGACGCTACTGCTTTGCCGCCCCTTCAAAGATCGAATATCATGATCGACCCTTTACCTATCAGCAAAGAGAAAGAAAAGGTTCTTTCGCGGACCCGCCCTAGCTGGCTTCCGCCCAAGGATCAGAAGGAGGAAAAGAAGCATCTGAAGCAATACCAAGAAATGATGGCCCAATCTCGGGAGGCGGGTATGTACTTGAATGATGACCAGACGCAATTTCAACATTCTAACCAATCTCTCAGAGAAACGCAAAGCCGCCAAAGAAGCCTCTGCGCAGTGCGCCAAAGATAACACCCGTGTAACGCTCCAGAACATCTGGGATGAATACGTATACCCACACTGGGACCGCGCCCTCGGCGAACCTCGAATCCGCGAGCTTTGGTGGCGTGGAATCCCGCCCCGTAACCGAGGAGCCATCTGGGGACGAGCCATCGGCAACGAGCTATCCTTAACCGAGGAGACCTTCACCAGGGCCCTGCAAAGAGCCAAGGATCTTCGCGGCAAGAAAGACGCCGAGAACGAGACCAACAAGCGCTTCCAAGATTGTTTCGACGCCATCGACAACGACGTCCCGAAAGCCTTCTCCGACCTCAACCTCTTCCAGGAAGGAGGCCCTCTTCATGATACTCTCACTGACGTGCTGTTGGCATACTGCATGTACCGCAGCGACGTAGGATACATCCACGGTCTTCACACCATTGCCGCGCTCCTCGTTCTCCAATTCTCGACCCCTGCCTCTGCCTTCCTCGCCATGGCGAATGCTCTCAACCGCCCTCTGCCAGTCGCATTCCTGACCTGGGACCGTGGAGCCATGGCCCGATCCTACACCTTGGCCTCCGACACTCTGCGCTACAAATGCCCGCGACTCTACACCCACCTCACGCAGACCTTCAACCTCTCCGACGAAGAGCTCTGGGAGCCCATCTTCCGCTCTCTCCTGACAAACGGCCTAGACCTCGAACGTCTCTCCCGCGTCTGGGACTGCTGGGTTTTCGAAGGCGACCGCATCATGATCCGCTCAGCCGTTGCAATCCTCAGCTGTCTCCAGACCCAACTATTCTCATTCCAGCACGGCGACGAACAGACTCGCCTGGTCATTCGCGACATCCTGGGCTGGGGACCTCGGCACATCGGCGCCAATACCCAAAAGCCCAAGGACCGGCACAGTGCACCTGCCGCCGCAGGCTTTGGTGGTGGCTCAATCGAGAATCCCGGTGTGGCCGATTACTGGGTTCTGACAGCTGCGGGAGACGAGGACGGATTCATGAAAGCGGTGCGAGAAGCTGGAAAGGTTCGTCAGCAACGACAATGACAACCCTTAGATTAATGGCTTTGCCTTTTTCATTCCTTTTCTCTTATTTTCTTTCTCTGTCTCTCATACCCACATCATCATTTTGATATCCACTCGCTACAGTACGGGGGAACTTGTTAATTCTTTCTCCCAATTCATACGGTTGGTCGTTACGCGGCTTTGACCTATATTCTTTTATTGGTGGAATCACTTGTTTCTTTGCCTTGGTCTTACCTAGCCTTTGGTTGTTCTAGCTTTCGATCGTGTATTTCTAGCCCTCATGTCCATTCGATCCTTTTGTTTACTTGCCAGTGTCTCGATTCGCAGATAATTGAGATCGGCATCCGGATTTTACTTGCATTTGCAGTAATCGATACCCTAGCCCGGTTCTACGGGTGGACTCATCGAACGGCCTAACACTTGTATACTGTAGCATCTAGTCCATTGACGGGGGCAAACATAATGTCTTATTCATAAACAGGTCATTGACTGAAACCCTCCAAGCGCTTCCTAATTAATCGATGCCAAAGCTCTATTCATATCTAAACAAACAATGCCCGCATATCAAACAAAATCACCACGCAGCCCAAGCAACAGGACCCTTAGGGAAAAGTCTCACAAGAACCTTCCGCAATTCATCCATACAAAGCACCCCCAAAGCAAGACCAAGAGGAATAAGCCAGAACTCAATAGGAACCGAAGCCGTGCTGAAGATATTCTGAATACCAGGAACCTCCGTGACAAAGATAGCAATGACAAGAGAGATGAGAATAGCGAGAGGAAGCCATGGATTCCGACGAGCAGGTCGAATCGGATCAGCTTGGAGGATGGACATGCGTTTACTTCTGACCGAGAGCACATTGCCCCATTGCATGATGACCAGAGTAACGAAGTAGACGCACTGCCCGACACTCGTGAAGTGGTTTAGCTCGTCTGCCGTGTATCCGTGGAAGCCTTCAGCGTAGTTCTCAAAAGCGAAGATGAGGTCTGAGAAGGGGATTCCGGCGTGGCGCCACATGTACAGGAAGAACATTGCGTGGGCGCTGAAAGCTTCCATGACACCGACGAAGAGGTAGGCTTGGCCGTAGATGCGGAGGTTGATGAGGTGGTCTTTTGTTGGGCGGCGGGGAGGTAGGCTTAGGAGGTCGAATTCTTCTTTTTCCATGATGAGGGAGAGAGAGAGGAAGAGGTCTGTGAAGACGCAGACGATGATCATGAGGAAGGTGCTTAGTGGTGCTGGGCAGCCGAAGAAGACGTTCATTAAGACGGGCCAGATCTCGGACCAACTGCCTGCTGGGAGGAGGTAGGCGATTACTTTTTGGAGATTTTGGAAGACGAGGCGGCCTAGACGGATGGCTTCGATGATGGAGTCGAAGCGTTCGAGAAGAACTAGATCCGCGGCTTCGATTGCCACATCGCTGCCGGATCCGACTGCGATGCCAACGTCTGCTTGACGCAAAGCTGGGGCGTCATTGACTCCGTCGCCTGTTACGGCTACGACCGAGCCACGGGCTTGAAGCTCCTTGACAATGCGAAGCTTCTGCTCGGGGGTGGTGCGAGCGAAGACAATCTCGTCGTAGCCGCAGACAGTCTCCCAGTTCTCCGAAGTCAAGGACGATAAGCTTGGTCCTTCAAGGAGCAGACTGTGTCGAGATTTCGGGACTTTGATCTCCATGGTAACATCAAGACCATCCATGAGATCTTCGACCGTATCTGGCTCCGCGGTACCATTGTAGATTCCAATCTCGCGAGCGATGGCAGCAGCAGTCAATCCAAAATCACCAGTCACCATGAAGAAACGAATTCCGGCTCCGCGACAAGCGGCAACAGTCTGAGCTGTCTCCTCGCGTGGTGGATCAACAATCCCAAAAATGCCAAGGACAGTCAAGTCCTGCACACCAGACTCTGCGATTTCATCGCTGAAGTCGTTGGACCCGGGAGCAGATCGCGGCGTATAGCGGCGTTGGCAGATGACGATCACGCGCTCTGCGCGACGGGACAACTTCGCCTGGAAATTCGAGAACCGCTCGCGCGCCTCAGGGTCCAGTGGACGGACTGCATTGTGGACTGCCGACCAGTAGGTCGAGCAACGGTCGAGAAGCACATCCGGAGCTCCCTTGACATAGAGATTGTATTCCTGACTTGAGTTGGGTTCACGGTGCATGGTGAGCATCCACTTGTTCTTTGAGTTGAAGGGAATCTGATGCACACGGTCATATCCCGCCAGTGAGCTCGGTGATGTCAATCCCACGCTGTCTGCGAATCGCAAAACTGCAGCATCGGTTGCATTACCATGGACAGCTCGCTCGTGAGAAGGCTTGCTCATTGTAGTCGGGTCGAAGGTAGCGTCATTGCATAGCACGGATGCGCGGATCATATCGCGCAGCCCATCGGGGAGCTCGACTGTCCCGAACTCGCCAGGAGCGAGGTCTTCGAGGTTGTATTCCCAATCGACCATTCCAAGGGATTTGACAAACATGCGGTTCTGGGTGAGGGTGCCGGTCTTGTCGGAGCAAAGCACATTGACACAGCCCAATGTCTCAACGGTTGCCAGACCCTTGGGTAAGATGTTGGTCTTCTTCATGCGTTTCGCAATCATCATGAGAGTCAATGCCACGGCGACGGGAACACCCTCGGGAATGAAGGCGACCACACATCCCATGACATTGTTCAGCATGGCAACCACACTCATGTAGGAAGGGTGGTCTCTGTGCAGCCACCCCAGCCAAGTGAAAAGAATCAGCAGAGCAAGACAAATCGTGAGAATCACGATGATAGTGACGAAGCGATTGATCTCCCGTTGGATCAATGTCGTCTTTTGCTTCACTCCGGCTGTCACTGAAGCAATGCGACCCATGACAGAGCGAGACCCTGTCAGGACGACGACACCAATAGCATTACCATTTGTCACGCCCGTTCCCATGAGAGCGATGTTGCGAGTCTCCAGGAAGTTGATCTCGGTGCATTCAATTGCACCTTCAACTTCATCCGACTCGCCAGTCAAAATGGCCCGGTCGAAACGAACATCGCCCGAGCTCTGGAGAATACGCATGTCGGCAGGAACCTTGTTTCCAATTCCAATGTGAACAATGTCTCCCGCGACGAGGTCGGTAGCAGGTATCTGGACGAGTTTCTCGTCCCGCAGTACCATCGCCTCCGCAGGAAGAAGATCCAAAATCGAGTTCATCACACGTTTAGTCGACCAGTCTTGGAAAGCCGAGAAGCTTGCCTGGAGGGCAATGACGATGAGAATCAGCACAGCCATGGCCAGGTTCTGGGCAGAAGGTGGGTTGCTGAGTGGTTTCCAACAGACAAAGAAGATGACCACTCCTACCCAAAGGACAGAGCAAAATCCACCGAAGACGTAGAAAAATATCTTTTTCAGATAGTTCTCTCTGTGGTGGGCAATGACATTCTTGCCATCTCTCTGCAAGCGAGTGGCGGCAGATGCAGAGGTCAGACCAGTGCGCTGGTCGACATTGAACTCCTGACATAGTCTCTCGGGGGGTATTATGTGGAAGTCCAAGTTCTCGAAGTAGTCTTGCTGGGGGTGTTTGTCCTTCGCGATCTCACTTATGTCCTCTTTCGGGGCGGCCTGGGACTCGGAGACGTGAATGGATAGAGTTCGGAACTCGATAGGAAGCGTAGCAGCACCTTGCACACTGCTATGGGTACTGTGAATTGTATCACGGCTGACCGAGCGGGTACGAGAGAGATGGTTTGGCTGGTATATTGATTGGAATCCCTCTGCCGCCGAAGATTCTTCAAAGGTGATCCGCCCAGAGCGTTCTAGATCCGGGTCGTCTTTGAGTTGTTCATCTGACTGGACATCCATCTCGGTCTTGGGGTTATTCGACGTCATTCTGAGGTTGTGGGTTGTGGAGGGAGAGAGGACGGTGAGGCTTTCAATGATAGAGCTGGCAATAGCCACTCGAAGGACAAGAACAAAGTACAAGAGTGCAAAGATCAGTAAGATGGATTGAAAGTGAAAGGGCAGACCTTAAGTAGGTCGGTGTCTAACTAGGTCCTGGTTTAGATGGCTGAGACTGGATTGGGAAGGTGAACCCTCCGCCACGCGACATCGACGCATATGGGAAATCGGGAGCTCCCTCTCTATGAGTGAATTAATCGATATCGATGCTATTGGCAGGATTCGTGTCCGTTTAGATACTCAGCCCCGATCTATATGTCCATGTGTCAACGGGCTGTAACCGTAGGAATAGATTACATGTGTCAAAACGTAGATGGTGAAACATTACCATGAAAAGCTTCCCTGGACCAATCATTACTACAGCAGCAATACCAATACCAACACAAAACCACTCTTCGTTTCATACCCCTAGCCCTAACTATATTCATGTCGATTTCCCAAGGTCAGTGGGATCGATTTCCATGGGAAAAGAGAATGACTTATTTCGCTCATCGTTAAGCCAGTTGACCTGTTCGAAACCAGAAATACCGCATCTCGTATCTGTTCCCGAGATTGTTTGTGTCCGAATTTTCACTCGCGATGCTACTATTTCCCGTGAGGGATTTTTCCTCACCACCGAATGTGTCCAGACGTGCCACTTGGGCCTGCCCGCAATAGGCTACCCTTTGCACTCTCTCTGCTCTGGGCTGACGATGGCTTTTTACCATTTAACCAAATCACTCGAATAATTGGGATCGTCGTGAGCTGTTTGTCCTGTCCTATCGCCAAATGCTCACGTCAAATCCACATGGTGGAGAGCTTCGGAGAGAAAAAAAAGCAGAACACACGAGGGAATTGCCCACGAGGGAATTGATTCTGTCAAGTCCAATAGCCTCAAATTCTACAATTTTCAATGAACATTCCGTGGCGTTGGCCCCTGCCGTAGTCCAAGTATGAATTGACCATATCCCTCTGTACCATTCCCATCTATTCGATTACTCTACAGTCCAATGTGGAACAATATGCGAAGCTTCAGCCTGGAGGCCCACCGACCGAACTATACCAGTCAAAGCTCCTTCAAGCGGACTCTCCTGCCAATAACCGCCGTCCCAACAGAGCAGCTCCCTTTGCTCAAAGACCCGGTGTTATCTACTTCCGACCGGTTCACCAGCAAATACGGCCGCTGCCGCCAGATCATCCACTATGGGGCAAATAGCACCACACGTCTCCATACAGAAAAATCCCAATCAACAGAACCCCAGCTCTGTGCAATAAAAGTATACCGACACCTGGATCAGCCCTGTTCATCCCAAACGTCTCTCCATCCCACACACCCCAATATCCTCCCTATTCTCGATATCCTCCGCAATGACCGCTCAGAGCTCTGTCTCGTAACACCATACTGCGCCGGGGGCGACCTGGGAACCTTCCTATCCCGAACTCAACCCATCCCAACCCTAGAAGCAGATTGCATCCTGACACAGATCCTCCGAGCCCTGGCATACCTCCACAATCACGGCATTGCACACCGTGATATCCGACTCGAAACAATCCTGCTAACCGCCAACGGAGCCGTCAAGGTCGCAGGCTTCGGCGACGGACATGTCCAGCGAATCTGGGAAGAGTCCACTCCCTGCAAGGCTCCTGAAGGAACACGTCCGCGCTCTCAATCCCAATCAACGCCATGGTCTATAACACTGCCGTGGCCCCTGAATTCACTATCTCGACATATCGCCGCCTTCTCTTGCGTTTCTGCAAAATCGCAGAAGGCGGATTTCCGGGGCCTGGGCCTACCCTACATTCCTCCAGAAGGATTTTGTCATTTCTCGAGTCAGAATGAGGGAAATGGTGATTTGGACGTTGATCCTCGTCCTGCTGATGTCTGGGCTGCGGCGATGGTGTACATGGCTCTTGTTACGGGTCGGCTCCTGTGGCGGAGTGCTCGTCCGCATTGCGAAGATGGGCGATACTTGCATTATTTGGATTCGAGGCGTGAGAAGGATGGATATTCACCTATTGAGGCTTTGGGTAAAGTGCGTATTCTCGTTGGATGAAGAGGATAATGCTGACATTCATATATCTGCAGAGACGACGCGAGATCATCTATGCGATGCTTGACCCCCGGCCAAGGAAACGCATTACGACTCCCAATTTGATGCAGTCCGAGTGGATCAAGGGGGTGGAGGTCTGTGAGGCAGGGGATAAAGGCTTGTAGTGGAATGACTTCCCATCCATGTCGAATCATTTACTAGGTGGTCCAGACTCAAAAATGCGAAAAATGGTATTTCATTCTTGATATGAGCGCAAGTTGCAACTTCACTAATTTACCGATCCGGCAGCAAGTACATAGCCACCATCAACCACAACTGTTTGCCCATTCAGATACTGATTGGCAGCAGTAAACAACACCGTGCTAGCCATATCCTCATCTCTACCCGGTCGAGCAGCAGGAACCTTCTTCTCATACTTCTCGGTCGGGATGGAATTCTTTTGCATCTCATCACTCTCCCCGGCCGTCATCTCACTCGGATAAACCCCGGGCGCAATGTTATTAACCCTGACTCGAAGATTCGACGAGCTAACCTCATGAGCAAGCATCTTCGTCAAATGAACAGCCGCGGCCTTAGACGCATTATAAGCAAAATGATGCTGTGAGACTTTCACAATGCCTGAAATAGAAGTCGTGTTGATAACAGTGCTGGACCAGCCGTGCTCTTTCTCCGAGCCACGCTGAAGAAGAGGCAAGAATGCCGTCGTCACAAAGAAGAGCTGAGAGACATTTGTGCGGAAGACATCATCCCATTCTTCGAATGTAGCGGCTGGATCGTCGAAGAGAGACTCGCGCAATTTTCCCGCATCGGCATGCTCTGTTTCTTGGGTCTTGCTGGAGATTCCGGCGTTGTTCATGAGGATTGAGAGGTGTCCTTCGCGGTTGGAGATTTCATCGGCTAGGGCTCGGATCTCGTCCTTTTTGGTGATGTCTGCGGTGAGGGGGATGATCTCGCCGCTTATTCCTTTGTTGTAGAGTTCTGCAACGCGGGCGAGCTTTTCTTCGGTTCGGCCGACAATGTAGACTTTGGCTCCGTTGACGGATAGTGCTTGTGTGGCCATGAGGCCAATCCCTGAGCCTCCGCCTGTGATTAGGGCAACTGGTATTGTTAGTCTGGATTTTAAACGTTGGTTGATGCAAGGGTATACATACCTTTTCCTTTCACATTGAACAGATTCTCCAATTTGAAGTTCTGGTTACTTTGCTGGGCAGTCATTTTTGCTCCTAAACACGATCTCGTATGAAATTGATTGCGAAGATGAATTTTTATGAATGGTGTTGAGGGAATGATTTTCTTGATGGGACAAGCTCGTGGTATAAGTTGGATCGAATTGGGTTTGATCATGTTTGCATTTGTAGTATTTATACCCAGTACTGCCAGTCTTTATCTACAAACATGAAAGGTCATGCACATCGTAAACCTGTTCGTGTTGGTTTGACAATCCTGTTCCTTTATCTCATTCCTCGGTCATTACACTCATGTCCAAGGTACTTGCATGTCAGAATGATGTCAAGCATATCAGGTATTCGGTGCCAACTCAACCTGCACGTACAAAGCTAAATTTCTCATAGAACAAGATCTAGAGTTGTCTATTGAGAATAAGATCTTTGAACTGCATGGAAATGATCACTTTTAGCAGACACAGTTGGCTTTAACCCGTTTTGGCTCTGAAGTCACCTTCTAGGGATAGGTAGCATCATCTGCTACAAAACCAACATTTTTACAGTTCCCATACTGAGCTTTGAACGGCTTTCTTATTTATAAATTCTCCCTCATGTATTTGCCCCCATATACTGTAGCACTGAGCAGGCTTTGACCTCCTACTCGATTGCCCCACTTCCCGATGTCACCCTTTGATGTTTCCTCTTCGCCTTTATTGCTCGGATCATACTAGTATGGGCTGCAGCAGTTAAATCGAAGCCTCAGGAATGAGTAGCAAACTCATAAAATCTGCAATTGACCTGTCCTAGGCTGCAATTGACCCCATTTAGTCGCATACACGAACACTTCTCAAATCCAATTTCTCACAAGCTGGAGACATGTAGCAACTCGATATCCAGAATATCAATTCTATAAGAGTATAATGGTGAAGTTCTTGATATCATCCGATTGCCCAGGCGATCACTGTACACCGGAAAAATTATCCATGGATGGAGCTCTCGTAATGGGATTTAGCCTACTCCGTATTAATATTTACCCCGCTCAACAGGTTGGCTGAACATCAATATCCTTCACATTCACACTCGTCATGGCGTCTCTTACAGACATCAAAGTATCGGAAGAAGAAGATATTCACTCGATGCAGGCAGAGATTGAAGCACTTGTCTCCCAATCGGGCTGGGAACTACTGAACGACCACACCATTCGGAAGACATTTCATTTTGGAACTTATACTAAAGTTTTGGTTGGTTGGATCTACATGGCAACTATATCACTCGTGCTGATTTTGGAATATTTCAGGACTTCAACAACGTCGTGGGAACAAGGTGCAAGTCCCGACAACACCATCCAGTGACAGTGCTAGTAAGTCCAGCATGGCATTCGGAATCTGCTCTGAGGCTAACACGTGAACAAGAAATATTCTTCTGCGACTTTCGAATGGACTACCCATTCGCCTCCGGGTCTTTCTCGCAAAGATATTTTCATGGCAAAGTACTGCGATGAGCAGGCAAAAGAGATTGGGACCGTGTCTCCTGATAATGCTCCCTCTTGTCAGCGTCCCAAAGCAGCCAAAGCTTAGTATCGAGTTTATCGACATTGGAGTGTGCTAGTAGATTGATACAGATTGCCTCTGACTCTCTGGGTTAATACATTTAGCTTGAATAGAAGTTCGGAACCCAGTGAAGCCGTTTGGTAAGGTGTGTAGGTAGGTGTCGACTCTGTCGAGGTCTGGACCTGGTTTTAACCCATCTCTACTTTTCCATGACTCTATTTTAGGCCGTTATAGTTTTCAGATCATATCATTGTTAGGAGACTACCTAGTTATCTTGAAACACCGGATACCGGACAATGCTGCTGCCCGGATCAACACTGGGCGCCCGTTGACACCCGCTCGGCTTGGATATCACCGTCCGTGTTGAAGTCAGACGGCCAGCGCTTTTCCCACAGAGTTACCGGATTCCAACACGGAGAGCAAGCTGGTTCCTGTTCTCTGTCCTGGCATTGAAAACAACCTGATCGGATATTCGGATGTTATCTTTGTCAGTGATATCTACACCTTGAACGGTAGGTTCAGTCCATAAGATATTGTAGGGCTCGGGGTTGTCGCTAGCTTCCCAATTAGCGCGGGTAACGCTGCGGGTTTCCTCCACAGGGGCCGATTGTAACTCGGTGAGCTCCCACCAAGGGACCAAACAGAACGGGAGGCCATTGCCAGCGAGCACCAGTACGATGTCAGTAAAAGCCTCGGAATATGACATGGACGGTGTGAAGGGGTGATCTATCTCTCATGAACCATGTTGCGAGAGGCCACGACTGGTCACTGCACCAAAGTGGCAGACACCATCAGTTTCCTCAGTTGCACACTGGAATGGTAGCAATATCCGCCGATGATATTCGAGCTAGGCTCTGCGACCCGATAGCAGCGAGGCGTCTGCAGGTGGGCCTACAGGTCACAGAGCCCAGATCCCAAGAACCATCGCCGATTTCTCGCATTCAAACTCGGCAAAGAATTCCCGACGACACCTATGAAATGAAGCACTGTTAGCCTATATTGGCTCCGTGGGTTATCTGGCCATTGATGATGAATTTTCAAAGCGTCCAAATGCACTCTTGAGTGCCTTGGTCGTGCAGACGTCGAATCATTGCCGTACTTCTGACTTTGCTTACCGGCAGGCAGATGGTGCCACTGACAACTCCATCTAGAAGGGCGTGGGGGATCTTGACTTGAAGCGCTGCGGGGGCAGACAACCAGGAGGGGTGAGCCTCTTCTCCATGGCGCAGGCCCTGATAACACGTCGAGTGTTCCGTCAAATGCACGTAAGTCGGAGCTTGCGGCAAGGCAACGATACAGTGGAGTTCTGGCAACACTTACCCCCTCACAAGATTGTTCTTGTTGGCACACTCAGAGCAGATGCGGCTCCCATGGTGGGTAGTGGGGTGATAAACAAAGCCCCCTATAATCGTGCTTCTGCAGCAGCCCTGAAATTGATAGCCAGCATTAGGATGATGCGGAGGATGGGTTATTCTTGACACATTGAGGATCAATGAAGCACTCAAGTTTTGGGTGTCGAATGTGTTCTTCATTCAATGTTTGGTCAAGATTGTGATATCGTCAATAGAGTCCTCCATTTCGAGACTGGCCAGGAAACTGCCAGTATCTGTGACCATGCATGGTCTACCCCGTCTCCTCGGGTGTTTGGCTGGATATTGTCGGTGCACAGCTTGATCAGCTCGTTGTCTGCGTATGATGGCTGGAAGTAGGAAAGTGCTTCGGGTCGAGCGTAGCGATCTTAATGGCGCTGCTAGACCATCGATCAATGACTGGGCATGGTCATACCTACCTAGGTACGGTTGTTGGTCTGGAGTGACTTGAGATGGAGGAAATTGACCCTCCCGTTTCCTGGAGGGTAGTTGTAGAAGGCTTGTATATCGGTACTGTCTAATCATTCGAAGGTTGGGGCTGGTATGCATCAACTCTCTCCATATTGATATCGGATCATTTGATAGCAGATGTTCCAAGTCAGAGAGATGCGATTGGGAGAGAAGCGATCCTGAGAGAAAGAATGGATGATAACTGGGATGTGACAATCGCTTCGACGTCATACTTAGTCTGATGTCTATGGAAATTAAACCTATATGAATTCGGTGTGAAATGAATGCACCTATTTACTTCAGACTCTCCGGGTTGATATTCACTGGGCTTGAGTCAGTCTCTAGTCAAATTTCCCTCACTTGCCTCTGGCTAGATTCCCACATCAATCTTTCTTCTCAAAAGCTTACCTCACTTTCGGGACCTTCATTACAAACATTCCTGAAAGCATGGCGAGATGGTCCAAAAAGACGGCGGCGTCGGACGAGCATGCCCCCAACCCAAAGGTCAAGAGGACCAGGACGTCGGCTGACGACGATCGGCCAAGAGGACCAAGGCCAGGAAGACACAAAACGTTTCTATTGTCAACACGGCTATCCCCTAACACGATAGCGTCTCCTGCAATTGGTGGATCCGCTGCTGGCGCAGCCATCTCGCGGGAAACTGTTCAACAAGGTCCACTTATCACTCCGAGCACTCCCCCATAAGGCATCGCCGGATATTGTGGACGACGGGTCCGTTTATCTATTGATTCAAGCACATGGAGAAAGACACATTCACCCGGAACGGTCACGAGTCTACCAGAACAAACACCAAACTTGAATGTCCGTAAATCAAGGTGCCGGTCTCGAGCCACTACACAAACACACGGACTTTCATGCCGAGTGACAGGAAGCAGCTCCACGCTTGGAATTAGAAGACTCCTCGGCGTTGTGCACTGAAGCTTCCATTGATACAAATGCATCGCTAGTCACTCAAAGTATTTCAGTCGGATAATCAAGTTTGTATTTATGCATATGTACTGCAATCCATCTCGAAGAGCTGGGCTCACTATTCTACAACTTGGCCTTCAATCCCTCCGAGACAGGGGCCACCTCAACCATCATCTTACCGGTATTGACACCGGCATAAAGGTCAATCAGGGCCTGGGGCGCAGCCTCCAAGCCACCAGGCACAATGTGCTCCTTGCGTTTGAGCTTACCCTCCGACAGCCAGGTGCCCAGCTGCTTCAAGGCAGCCGGATACTGCTTGGCGAAGTCAAAGACAATGAAACCCTTCATGGTAATCCGTTGAGACTGTAACACGTTAGCTCAGATCTTCGACACCCCAGAAAAAGAAGGAAAAGAAAAAAACTCACAATAACACTCATAAAGCTAGCCGGACCCTGCGGCTTAGCCGAATTATACTGACTGATAGCACCGCAAATAGCAAAGCGCGAGTCCTTGGCCGCCCTCGCCAAGCAAGCATCCAAGATCTCACCACCAGTATTATCGAAGAACACATCAATATACTCAGGGGTAGCCTCCTTAAGCTGCTTCCGCCAATCAGCATCCTTATAATTAACCGCAGAGTCGAACCCAAGCTCCTTGACCAAGAACTCGCACTTCTCCTTCGACCCCGCAAGTCCAACCACGCGCTTCGCGCCCTGGATCTTCGCAATCTGGCCCGCCACCATCCCCGTCGCGCCCGCAGCACCCGAGACCACAACCGTGTCGCCCTTCTTCGGCTGCCCAACCTCCATCATACCGAAGTATGCGGTCAGGCCCGTCATGCCGAGGACGGACATGGCGTCCGTGGGACGACCGCCGGGTGGCACGATGACCTTTTCGGCCTCCTTGGCGCCGACGAGGGCATACTCCTGCCAGCCGGAGTAGGCGACGACCCAGTCACCCGGAGCATATTTGGATGTGAGGCCTGTGCCGACGGAGACGACTTGGGCGATGCTCTGGCCGCGCATGACGGCGCCTTGCTCGACGGGGGCGATGTAGGAGCGTTTGGCGGTTAGCCATTGACGCATGGCTGGGTCGAGGGAGAGGTAGTGTGCGCGCACGAGCAGTTTGTCGGCGGGCACATCTTTGGGGATGGGGGTTGTGTTCACGCGGAAGGTTCCTGAGGTGAGGGAGGGGTTGATGGCCGGAGCCGGGGGAGTGGTGTAGATGATCTGTTTGTAGGACATTTTGGAATGGAGTTAGAAAAGACCTTGGTCTGGGGGGAGACGCTGAAGAAAAGGGTTCTGGGGTATTCGGAGATGCTCCAGATTAGGAAAACTGCCCCTTCCAAGTTGGACCTCGGCTCGGTGAGAGCGATGCATTAAATATGTGCATAGGCCGAGTTTCCAAGGTTACTACAGAGTGTATAATGTTTCTATTCAAGGTTGATCATAGACATAATTGAATGCATCGCAGACAGAAAAGACAAAGAGACAGAAAACGAAGTAGATCGACGAACTACAGATGTCCTTCGCTCATCCTGACGTCACCCTTCCTTGCCTAGATATATATAACTAGTAGTAGTTGACCTTCACATCCATTATTCCCATCTACTCTCACCTAGAAATACCCGTGGACATATATTCACCATGAATGAGACAAACGAGCAATATCCTTCCTCCCACGGCGCTGTAGGCGGCGGCTCTTCCACCGGTGCCCCCGGTATCCCAACCGGACTCCGCGACCAACGCTCTCACTACGACACCACCAAAGGCGTCAACCCAGCCACGGGCGCCAGCTACTCCAAGTCTTCTGCTGGTGGACCAACCCAGAACCACCAACAGCCTCTATCACCCTCCCCGGCCCGGAGCGACGATCGCATCGTGGGTGATGAACCACTGCCGCATACGGCTAGCACGGCGCAACGGGCGGAGATCCAAGATCACTCCCGGGGCTCTCGGGCCGGCGATGGTATCGGCAAGGGCATTGTGGGCGCTGCAGCCTCGGTTCATGTAAGTTTTTGCGTACGGAGTGCCTACTAGTAGGAGATGGGACTAATTGAAATAGGGGGCCGGCGAGTCGTTGCGGGGGGCGTTGAACACGGCTGTCGATCGGGCGTTCGGGTCGCACGAGGGGGCGGAGCGGAATCAACACATCGCCGACCAGGGGGCGGAGGAGATTCGCACGGGGCGATTCTCGCATTCCAAGTAGATATCCACGGATTTTGATATACTAGATTATGTTCACGATTACGATTCAATGTTCAAATGTTCTATGTTAGATGTTCAATGTTAATGTTACATAGTATGCATCCCATCTCAATGTCGGGCAGTAACCAGGTAACAGAAAACTGGAGCAGGGCACCGATCTCCCGAAGGTGATTTAAGAGCGATCAAGCAATCAGCACTAGTACAGATCGAAATCCGATTTCCAGTGACTTCGTTATAAATCGAGGGCTTCCGGAGCACCCGGGCTGTGCTGGTGGAACCCACTGTTTTCGGTCGAAAAAATAACGACTTCCTATCTTGACATTCTCTGGATATTTGTACTCTGTACTATATATCCATTGCCTCTACTCTGTACCTCGTACGCTGTGCTGGAGGACCCCCACATCCAAGCCCGGGCCATACCTGCATCATTGTACATGAACCCAATCCAAGTTTTGGGGCCCATATAGTTGCACAGTCCTGCTGTGCGATCAGCTCGTCATTCCTCTCCCAACATGGCTGCAATTCCTCCTCGACCTGATTCCTCACATTTAGCGCCCGAGAGCGCGACCATGGCGTCACCGAAAGCCCTGTATTCCTCATCATCCTCGAACCTCGCCGTGTCCGACTCCCCATCCCACTACTCGTCGTTCTCCAGCTCCGACAGCGATGATCCCCTCCCGCACGCAACAGAGCTCACGGACGAAGATGCCGCGGGAGATGTGGTGGGGGTCAGCATTGGGCGCCAACAGAGTCGCATGAAGGCCCGCGCAACGCCCCTGGAAGAGAAGAATCGGGTTCTGGAAAACAATGGCGGATACTTTGGAACAATCCCAGACACCGTCGGCGAAGACGGTCTGTTCACATCGGAGTTGACGGCGGAGCCAGAATCGGATGAATCGATCCCGCCACGGGAGGGAACGTACGGCGAAAAGGAGCAGGCGACCTATCCTGCGGTGCGGCACAAGCAGCCCGAACAGCATCTAGCGCATGGCCCACGAAGCGATCTCTTCACCTCGGCAGATAAGCCCCCATCCAAAGATACAGCACTCAGTCAACGGTCGGGATTCGTCGGATCTCTGTTGAAAAATACCTTGCCCCGGCGACCGCGCGCCTGGTCCGGCGAGCTCAAGCGATTCCTGCCCGACCTCACATCCCTGCGGAAGCGGCCCTCGCTCTCCTTCCGGGTCCCCAATGGCCAAAACCGAACCCGCAGCCAGACCGTGGCGCCCGCCGCGAAGGAAAAGACGGGATTGCCGAAGCGGACATCATCCTTAGTCGATCGGCGTCCCCCGCGGTCGCCCCTTGCGCCGGATAGCTTCAGCAATGACGATGATGAGTCCGCTCAGCCAATCCCTGAACTACGGGCGCCGGACGGGACCTCGGCTGCAAAGCATTCTTTCGCGAGACGCCCGAGCTCGGCGATGCCTGGTCGGCCGCCTAGCTTGCGACGATCGTCGTCTGATCAATCGTTGTATTTGCGGGCGTCGTCGACGGCTTCGTCTCTGGAGCAGCGTCCGTTGTATGAGAATGTGCATGCTCAGGTCAATAGCCGCTTTAAGGCTATTAAGGACAGTCTGCAGGACTCTAGTAGTAGGCTTTTGAGCATGCCAGCCCTGCATTTGCAGGACATGCGCCCGGATTGGGGCTCGAGACAGACCTTGCCAGATATGGGGAGTACCTCGAGTAATGGCAACAATGGGACCGAAAGGAGCTTGCCTTCGCGACGGTCCACCAGCCCTCCCCCTCCGCGGAATCCTGACCCAACGCATCCAATTCTGGAAGAAGCCATGGCAGAACTCACTGGAGATGTCGTTATTTTGGGAGGATACCGAGGTTCCATCCTGCGGTCCGCAAAACCACCCCAGAGACAGCTTTGGGTGCCCATGAAGGTTGGCCTGAACCTTCGCAAGGTGGACCTGGAAGTAGGTCTGAAACCGGAAGACGAGGAGCGAATGGAAGAGACGATCATCCCATCGGGTGTTCTGTCCCACGTCGGCCCTGTCGACGTCTGCCGCCGCTTGATGAAGCGGCTCCGCAAGAGCGACAACGCCATGCGGGGCGACATGCGAGTTCACGACTACGGTTATGACTGGCGCCTAAGCCCCGAGCTCCTTTCGCGTAGGCTAATTGCCTTCCTCGAGAGCCTCCCGTGCAACCAGCGATCCGCAACGGGAGAGCCCGGCCGCGGCGCAACCGTCATCGCCCACAGTCTGGGCGGTCTTATAACACGACACGCCGTGAACGAGCGTCCCGACCTCTTCGCCGGAGTAGTCTACGCAGGCGTACCACAGCACTGCGTTAACATCCTCGGACCACTCCGCAACGGCGACGACGTCCTCCTCAGCTCGCGTGTCCTAACAGCCCAAGTCAACTTCACATTTCGAACCAGCTTCGCCCTCCTCCCAGAAGACGGGCACTGCTTCATAGACAAGCAAAGCAAAAAGGAATTCCGCATCGACTTCTTCAACGCCCAAACCTGGGACGACCACCACCTCTCCCCATGCATCAAACCCGCCCTCCCAGTCCCACCAACCCCAACAAACGGCCTCGGCCTAAAAGACATCCCCATAATCGGCAAACGCTTCTCCATGCCCCCACCCTCAGACTCAAATGACTCCCTCGACCACTTTGACCCCCCACACCCAACCATCGAAACAGACAAAGACATCACATCCCGCAACCCACACCACAGCCCCCACAACCCAGCCGCCTACGCAGCCCAAGCAGCCGAAAAAGCCCAAAACCCAGCAGACGGCATAGTCGGCCCCCAATCACACCCCCGCGGCAGCGCAGGAACCACCAAAGCCGCAACAACATGCACAATCCCCCGCGGCGCAGCAATGGAATATCTCCAGCGCACACTCGCAGACACGAAGCGCTTCAAGTCGAATCTCGCTTTCCGTCCGACGCACCATTCCGAGAATAGGTATCCGCCTGCGGCGGTCTTGTACGGCAAGTCTGTGCCGACGGTGTATGGGGCGCGGATTGTTTCGGCCGAGGCAATTAAGCAGGTTGATGCTTATGATGATTTGGCGTTCGCGGCTGGTGATGGTGTTTGTCTTGCTAGTGCGGCTATGTTGCCGCCTGGGTATCGGATTATCAAGGATGGGTTGGTGAAGAGTGATCGGGGACATGTTGGGTTGCTTGGTGATCTTGAGGGAGTTGGGCAGTGTTTGAAGGCTGTTCATCGGGGGAGGAAGGAGGGTGTTGGTCTTGGTGAGAAGGAGTTGTGAGTTTCTTGCTGGTTGGATGTTTTTGATATTTTGTTTTGCTGCTTGATGATACCAGTGCGTTTGGAGTTTGGATTTGGCCTCTGCTGGTTGTTGGTATGAGGATAGTCTTGTCTCTGAAAAGTCGCATATAGCATATTGTAAATAGTATATAGCCATAGAGCAATAAAGAGTTGAGCTAAGAACCTTGGAATCACTACGTATCTAAGTAGGCAGACTCGGAGGATATCTAAACCTACTCCATTCTATATGCATGGACCATCAGAAGTACCTAGTATATCCGTATATAGAAAATCATAAATGCTAAATAAAAACGCAAAATCATCAAGTCTTAATCCGTGCGAGAGTTGGCAATGTTCATAACCAAAATGTCAGTCGCGCCAACCTTGATAAGCTCATCCATCACATTAGCAATACGCTTCTTCTCCACCATCGAGCTAACAGCAACCCAGTTCTCCTCCTCAAGGGCAGTGATAGTGGGCGCACGCTTGCCAGGAGTAATCTTAGAAGCAACAGGCAACTGAGCACGGGGAATGTTGTACTGGCACAGCACGAACTTTTGAGCAGTGATCACACCACGCAGACGGGAAGTGAGGAGAGTGAGGATATCGCTGTTCGACGAGCGGGACTTGACAAGAACCGCTGTGCTGGAGACAACGGTATCAATGGCCTTCAGACCAGCTGCCTTCATGGTCTCACCGGATTCTGGACGTGTGAGATTCTTGCGCAATAAAGTGAGAAATGATAGAACTTACCGACGAGATCGACGATACCGTCCGCGACACCAAGAGCGCAAGCAGCCTCGACACTGCCGCCGACATACTTGATCTTAGTGTTCAGCTTTGCGCCGGCGTCGGCACCTTCAAGGTTACGGAAGAATGCTTCCGTCAGAGCCGTGAAGCTAGTCACGACATTGCGACCAACGAGGTCCTTGGCTTCCTTGTACTGACCCTTCTCAGGGACCTGGACCTGGAGCTTGCAGCCACCGAAACCGAGATCGAGGATCTCCTCGACGCCTGAAACCTCGCCGGGGGGGAGGGTGGCGTCGTGCTCGGCGACCTGATCGCGGCCAGTGATACCGAGATCGACGCGGCCTTCACCGACGAAGGTTGGGATGTCGGCGGCGGGGAGGAAGATGAGCGCGATGGGCAGGTTCTTGACGAGCGCGATGTCGAGGCGGGTTTCGCGACGGAATTGGACGTCACAGCCTGCGAGGAGGTCTAGGGTGGCTTGCTGCAGGCGGCCCTCTGGTTGGCGTTAGCTTGGGCTCTCGGATTGAGTCATTGTTCTTTGTGTTTGCGTTTGCGTTCGCGATGGGTCACGATTGGGAGGGCACTTGCTTTTGGGCACGGCGAAAAGGAGACGGCCTTCGAGGCTGGAGTGGAATTGACTTGTCAGTGGTCTTGAATGTCGATTTTCGCATTGATTGACTCACTGGTTGACGAGATCCATGACGATGGCGGGGCTGCACGGGATTCTTTTATATTTTTTTGGTGAAGGGAAAGCAATTGACGAGGGTATATGGTCAATTGAAGAGGTGGACGGAGCAAAGACCGCGATAACCCCAAGCTTGGAAGATCAAGAATAATTAATAACCCGGAAGAGTCAGAGATACGACAAATTTTGGAGGGGCACTTGGGAGCACGCCGGACTTGAGTGGACCGTACCAGCCGGGCATAGATCTTACTACTGCGAATGGCTACCTAGGTAATGTATGAGCTATTCTATCTACCTCTACGCCGTAGGGCTGTATTGGATTTCACCACCTGCGCCGTCCTGGGATATCCATTGGTGAGCCATTGAGCCATTGGAGTCAAAAGTCATCATGTCATGGCCGCTATCGGAGATCTGCGGCCTTGCTGCCTTAGTGCCTGACTGCCTGACGGGCTGACTCACTTCCTGCCTGACGGCTCAGGTGTCCAGCCCTGAGCCCTCGCGTAATTTGCACGAACCCACAACGGGCAAATTCAATCCTCAACACTCTCTAACCTCCCCGAACCAACTCCAACCCTCGAGCTCAACGCCCTCTCCTTCCTTCAAGATGGACTCCAGCAAGCAGCCCGTTAAGCTCGTCAAGGTGACCCGTGTCCTCGGCCGCACCGGTATGTGCCATCCTAGCTTTTTGAAGCCCAAAAACCCACAATTCGATATCCGCGGGGATTGCGCCCCAGATCGCTCGACAACGTCAACACATTGAGGGGGGAATAATGGCTAATTTCTGGTTTTCTATCATTATAGGATCCCGTGGTGGTGTCACCCAGGTCCGCGTCGAGTTCATGGACGACACTTCCCGTTCCATCATCCGTAACGTCAAGGGCCCAGGTATGCGACATCGATTTCTTTTTCCCCAATCCGACCGTCTATGGGATCGCTGCAAGAGGAGGAAATGGGATCTTCAAAATCAATCAAAGATCATCACGAATTGAAGGAGACCCATGTCGAAATTATGAATTTCTGAACGACCCAAAGGCGGACGGCGCACGCACATTGAACCCACAACTAACCTATGCCCCTCCAGTCCGCGTTGACGACATCCTCTGCCTGCTCGAGTCCGAGCGCGAGGCCCGCCGTCTCCGTTAAAAATCCAAAACGAAATTTCGCTCGCGTCGTCTATTTTGTCTCTCGTCTTCTCTCGCATATCCCTCACGACCGGTTGTTTATGATTTCTCTTCGGCCAAAATCGAGTCCCCCGCTTTCCTTCTTTGCCGTATCTTCAACCTCCCAATTCCCTCAACCCTAAGCCGCCGCGCTGCCCAATCCTTTGTCCTCTTCTCGACTCTCGAGGGCCTTGCTTCCGATGTTTTTCGATGGTGGATGACTGGACTGGGTGGATTGACTTTTTGGTTTGATGCCGAAAGTCCCGGAAGAATTATGGAGAATCCGATCGCGAGAAAAGAGGAGCAGAGAGCGCAAAAAAGATAATACAAAGCCTTTTTTTTAAACTACGAGATACGAAAATCAGGTTTGCGCGAGGGCTGGTTCGTGTGGTCTGGTCTGGTTTTGTTATATAAACACGTCCACTAGGCGTGCTTGCATGGGCTCAATGCGACAAACGAGGTTGTGATGTTGTGTTCCTCTCACTACTGGATTTCTCTTTAACAAAAAACGCCGATTCGATCCCTGGGCAAAGAACAATGGAATCACCAAAAACACTTGCAAATTTCCGGTTCAGTCTTGAGGGTTTCGGGGCGTTCGTAGAGCTTGTAGATCGGCCGTGCCGAGGATCTCCCGATCGTGATCAGCTTGCTGTTGTGTGCTATCTATGTGTCTGAGCATAGACCGAAATGCTTGATTTGATCTGCTATGATAATGCTTGATGCTATGATACTGTACAACCCTATGGCCCCGCATAAATGCATTTCAAATCTATAGCTGCTCAGCGCTGGCCACAAGCCTATCAAAGAGCTCATCTCCAGGCTGACCAGAGCCCTCCAGAACGTGACCAACAGCACCTACAAGGCCAGCCAACCGTTTGCGACGAATCGACTCTTCCAGTTCAGCACTCTTCTGTCGAGCCACATCCAGCAAACCTGAAGGCAGATTCGCCAAACGCGCAACGTTCAGCCCGTAACTGCGATGCGCGACGCCCTCGGTAACCTCGTACAGGAAGGCGATTTCCTCTTCCCCTTCCTTGTCCTTGGTGCCTGTCTCTGTGAAACGCATGTGAACGTTCCGGAGAGCATGGTCTGGGAATGAGTGGACCATTCGCGAAAGATGTTGGTAGTGAGTGATGAAGAGGGTGAGGGATCCGATGGTTCGGACCATGTAATCGAGCACGGCCTGCGCAATAGCCACGCCATCATGCGTCGATGTGCCACGGCCTAATTCGTCTAGGATGACCAATGAGCGCGGCGTGGCTTGCTTGAGGATATCGGCTGTTTCGGAGAGTTCGACCATGAATGTGGATTCACCGGCGAGCATGTTATCGAAGGCGCCCATGCGCGTGAACACGGCGTCTAGGAGGCCCAGTCGGGCTGATTCGGCCGGGACATAGGACCCGATTTGGCCCATGATTGCTATTAACGCTACTTGGCGTACGTAGCTGGACTTGCCACCCATGTTTGGGCCTGTTACGAGGAGGGCCCGTGTCTCGTCATGTTGTAGCTTTGTGTCATTTGGAACGTAGGCGTCGGTCAAAAGTTGTTCGACCATGGGGTGACGGCCTTGTTCGATGTGGAGACCTGCCTGCTCTGTGAAGATGGGCTTGACATAGCCGGGTTGTTGGGCGATTTCCGCCAGAGACAAGAGACAGTCCAGTGTTGCGAGGGATTGTACGCAGTCTCGAAGGGCCTGGTACTGTGCCGCAATATCTGCTAGGAGAGCCGCGAATGCTTGGTCGCAGGCTGCTGCAAGTGCCTCTTTGTGTTGGTCACGCTCGCGGACGAATTGGATGACTTCTGGTGTGTGGAAACGAGAGACTCTCTTTGTGCCGCTGACCTTGATCCACGATGCTGGGACACGTTTCAATGCTGGTGAGTTGTTCTCGATCTCGATCAGATACTCGATGCCAGATACTGTCGAATATTCGATCTTGCCTCTTCCAATGGTGGAAGCCGCGTCTTTGAGGTGTTCAGATAGACTGTGCTCAATGCTTCCGATCTGCAGCTTGTTGTCGCCAATCTCCTCTGTTTCCTCTGCCTCGCGGAAGAAAGTGTACTTGTCATTAGTGCGAGCAGCATGCATGTTGATTTTATCAAGATACATGACGATATCCTTCCGGATGGTTGGTAAAGAGGCAATAGACTCGCTGATCAGCGATGATGAAAAGCCAGTTTGTGCCGGTGACTTAATATCAGAAAATTCCATTGCAATCATCTGCATGGCTTGCAGAACAGTGAGCAGTTCAGGCCGTGTACACTATGGCGCAAGTTAGTGTATGAGCGTCTCAAAAAGGAGGGCTTTTCTTACCTTCCCGTAATAAATGCGGATCAGGTTCTTTTCCAGGTCACTCTTGACTTTGCCTAGCAGACCTTGGATCCTTTCCACTGAGCCTGCTCGGGCAGGATCGATCAGCTCCTCCACTGCGCTCGTTCTCTCTTCAAGGCGCACCTTGTCCAGCAAAGGTCGCCCAACCCACTGTCTCAGCATACGCTGTCCGAATCGGGTTTTGGTTCGATCTAAAGTCCAGAACAAGCTGCCTTTCGCTGAATGGTCTGTTTGGTTCTGATAAATCTCCAGACTGACTAACGTGTTTCCATTCAACATCATATGCGAGCGAGCCGAGAAGGGCTGGAAGTATTTCGTGAGGTCGAAGACATGTTCCAATCCATACTCGGTCATATGTTCGATCATAGCAGAGAGACAGATAGTCACTTGCTCAGGTAGACCAAGAACGTTTTCAAGCAGTTTAGCGGCTTGGGCATCCTCTGCTGTGCTGGTGGACTTCATCTTACCGGCATAAAAGCCGGACACGTGGCTATGTGCCTCTGCAGCAGACGTTTTCTGCTTCTGGGCTCGCTCAAGACGCACAGCATCCCCGAAGACATTCATTTTGCTTCCGGATAGGTGTTGCACGAGCTTTTCGCTTGCACGGGACATTTCCCCAACAATCAATATCTCACACGGCGCAATGTGTAATAACCGCGTCTCGATTTCGCTGCGCATGAAGCCATCTTCGAATTCATCGTAGATCACGTCACCCGTGGCTGGCTGTACAGCAACAATTCCAACATTCACTCGCTCGTCGTTTCCGTGGCCTTTAGCACTAGATTCGGTCATGCAAAGCATGTACCCAGTCGCAGGAGAGGCACCTCCAGCCGCTGGCGCAGGACCCTCCAGACCTTCGGTGTCGTCGATATAGGTTCCTTTGGTGTAAACGTTGGTCAACTTGCGCACAAAAGGCGCGTTACGGTTATCGCCTGCGGCTTTGAGAGCAGCTGTCTCAATCTGACGCACCACGCCAACCTTGTGGCCGGCCGTGACGAGTCGCTTCACGTGTACATGCAATCGGTGCACTGGGATACTAGCGGAAGCGAATCGGCCAATATGTGCTTCTGATGGATCTGTGGATAATGAGTATCGTCTCTACATTGAAATACAAGTCGGACTTACGTTCGTCGAATCTAAACTTGCCCGGTATGCAAACAATGCCTAGTTCCTTGGCTGCGATGCGCGCATCCTCTCCGAAGAATCGGAACTTGTATCCAACCTCGATCACTAGCACTGTGTTCGGATTCTGGCGCTTGATTTCAATGACCTGCTTTTCCATAGGCGTGAGCTTGCTTGCGGTCTTCTTGGCGCCCTTTCCTTTGGTCGGGGGAGGTGGAGGCTCGTCGTCCTCTTCGGCCTCTGCTGCCTCGGCTTCTGCACTGGCGACATCGTTGACTGCATTTCTTCCAATTCCAATCTGGCAATCTATTCCGCCGAGCTTCTGGACGAATTGCTTGTGTAGCTTTTCCTTCTCTTTCCTTCGGGTCTCTTCCTCGGGGTCCTCGTTTTTTGTGGTGTCTGGGGGATTCGCGGGGGAGCTTTGGAATTTGAAGATGTTGGTTCGTTGGCTGCTCGTCTGGGATGGGGGTTCGGCGTGCATGCTCGTCGCAACTCGAATGGGTTCTTCTGCGTCTGCGCCGGTCGTCTTCGCCCGCTTTGGCGCTGGGGCCACAATGTCTTCGTCCTCGTCATCTTCATCTCCAGCTGGTATGGTTTTCTCCTCCGACTCGCTAGCCTTCGCGATTGTTGACGCTTGTCGCTTTTGGGGTGTCTTGGCTGACGTGGCTCCGGAGTCCTTGGGCGTAGTCGATGCTGGTTTCTGGGTGAAGAAGCTGGATATGCTTGCTTGTTTTCGCTTGAGAGACGGCGAAGGAGCCGATTGCTGGGACGAATTGGGCGCCATCTTGATGAGGCGGTGTTCCCAGCAAATGAGGTTGATAATTTGCACTCCTGTGATGAGATCGGGAGCCTGCAGAAAAGGGCCCACGACGCGTATAGAACGCGCCGGGTTCCCAACACGGGTTAATGGGATTCTGAGTAAGCACTCTAATTTATGTCACTTCCACTTCTCGGCCTCAGGCCTCCATTTTGGCTCTCGGGAGTAACACTTGACCTCGCTTGAAGGTTATATAGATGGGCAAGGACTGAGCATCCAGGCATACCCTTTCCCTTCTCCACTCCCACCAGTTCAAATGTTGACCTTCCAAGGCTACCCTACCTAGGGTATCCAACCACATCTGTCAGCATGTCTAATGCCCCCAAATCAACACTGTCGATTTTGATTCACTTCCCGTGTTCACTTCCCGTGTTCACTCCCATTGTTAATGGCTTTCGCGATGAAAGGGAACCCTGGGACGAGACAGTGCCAAGACATGCTCTGAAGTGGAAGTATGTTCAAGATCTACGATTTTGGTCTGGCTCCAACTGCCCCACGACAGAAACTCGTACCGGGCAAATCCCTCGTCTTCCTTGGACGTCTAGGTGCCTTTGAGCCAAAGAGGTGAGAAAGACCCTTTTGCTAAATGTTGTACGGAGTACATGAAAGGGAACTTGCGCGATGTGGTGGATCAACATGGCACGACCAGCCTCGTTAGATTATTCGCAGAAGGCCGGCTCACAAGGAGCCGAAGGACAACGCTAAGAAGAGTAAGACCTCGTCTGACAGGAAAACACCAAGCGCCCCGCTGGTCAAGAAGCCAAAAATGTCTTGTCCGCAGATTAAAATTCCAGTTTCCACGCATTACGAAACTCGCGAGCCTTTGGGCTCAATGACAGAAAGCTGCTCACGCCACGGTTTTACTACCTATGTAGACAACTTCTCCGCGCTATGCACAGCAGATGCGGTCAAGGAAATGGCGGATTCGCTGACCTCTCACGACAACAACGCACGGATTGATCTGCTTAGCGCCAAGCTATACCGTCGTTGCGGAGTAGACAAACTTAGAATAATACCAACCTAATCTAACAATTTCCAACCTTGATTGGATCAATGACGCTATGCTTTAGACTGGAGGTGGACCAGATGGCACCTCCCCGAAAAAGGTTATTCAGTGGAAGAGCCTGCCACTGGACCAAGCAGAGTGGGTTAAAGCGTTAGACGCAGTGGGACGGAAGAGAAAGTCGAGGAGTTCTTCGTGAGCCGTCGCGCATGGACATACCTACTCATCTTCAGCTTCCTGGCCTCTGCTTTGCGCACCACATCTCTTCACGCCTCTTGCGCCGTTCACAATCAACCCTAATGCATCACCAAGATGACATCTCCATCTCCTCAAGCGTGGCTTGAAGAGATGTGCGGACTTCGCGATCTGTGCGTCCGGGGGCAGTCTATAGATGATTTAGCACATATGGTATACAAGAAGACCCCGCGCCGAGCTAGGGGAATGCAGATAACCAGCAATAACTCAGGGGCGAGAGTCGTGCAGGGCAATGTTCTTTTGGTAAAGGGAAGGGCGAGAAGCACAACTGATGCTGGGGATAGACCCTTCTATCTGTCCTATTTTCTGTTTCCTCTTCCCGTCTTCCTCCTTTTCAAGGTTCTGTTTACTCTTTTCTTTTCTTCGTCTTACCTGTCGGTGTTCACAATGATATTCAATCACCTTTCATTCGACGCATCGTAACCTGTATTCATTCCCCGAAGCGGTCTAGATCTGATAACTTGTTCTACTGTCAGGTGGGAACGAGAAGCCAGAGACGAAGAATTGATTATCGTAAGGGAGGATGGAGGGGAGGATATGGAGGGAAGCTATCCTAGTTCTATCCTAGAAGGGAGGCGGCCGTCACCGGCCCTTTTGTTCATTTCAGACGATTTTGGGTGATAGACTGGGCGCGTACAAGGGCGCACCCGTGTAGGACATTCATCTGCAAGAGTTTTGCGGTCATTTACACGGTCATCGCAGTCCCATGCCGAACGATCCATCCGTTGGTTGATGCGTCCCCGAATTCATGCTTCCGCGGACAACCTTTTTTAATTCAACGGTCTCCATTCGGAGAGGTCTTCGAGATCTTGATTTTGACTGCCACTGGGCCTGTCTCTCTCTTATTATCCGCCCGGTTTCAAGTCTCAAGTGTTTACATACGTTTCGCCTTCTTTTGGCGGTGACGGCTTGGTCGACCGATATGCCTGTTGTCCGGCCGCTTTGCTGTGGGGGGGCTTCGGATCTTCTCACCCGGGGAAATAGCCAATCCCTGTTGATTTAGATGTTAGAATAAACTCGTGGCTTTTTTGCGCCATTTTTGGTAGGATACTCACAGCTGAAGTGACCGCACTTCGCATAGTGCGGCGGAAGCTTTTGTTCCACTTCTTGCCACTGTTACGGGTTGGTCGGCTGATATGACCGTTGGATTTTTGCTTTGCTAGGAGGACTGAGGCTCGAACCCGAGGCCCTATCCGACCCCTGTTGGTTGATATGTTAGAATATACTCATAGCTTTTTCACGAAATTCCTGGTGGGATACTCACAGCTGAAGTGACCGCACTTCGCATAGTGCGCCGGAAGCTTTTATTTCACTTCTTGCAGCGGTGACGACTTGGTCGACAGCTATGCCTGTTGCCCAGCTGCTTGACTGGGAGGCTCGGGTCTCAAACCCAGGCTGGAAAGGGCCTTGTTGGTTTAGATGTTAGAATATACTCATAGCTTTTTCACGGAATTTCTGAAAGGATACTTACCTTGGTACAGCTGGAATGCCCAGGCTGCGCAAAGTATGGCAGATTCCCTTGTTCCGCTTCTTGCGAGTATTATCCTCTGCCTTTGTCATTGGAGCCGTTTGTCAAGGCTGTTGGGGAAGAACAAACAAGACAAAGCACAATAAATTGTGCATAGGAAAAGCCTGATGGCAGTCTGATGAAGCAGACAGGATGGTGGGAGAACTATGACCCAAGGCTGGGAGAGTAGGATATAGGGAGTGGCATAGAACTGAAGGCAGATATTTATATTGATGTAAGAAAAAATGATCTCAGGAACCCTGAGGTATGTTGATACCAACCTTGGAAGGTGCAGAGGCGAAGAAGCAAAAGGGCAAGCAACCTCGGGAGGTACTATGTCTCTGTCAACATCTTTCCCCATGTCAGCAGTCTACAACATGCACCAGGTATGTCAATATAAACTATATTGACGATCATTTGAGTTTCTATACTGACATTTGCTTTCTTTCCAGGTGAGGATATCCTCACTCCAATTCACTAGTGATCCACTAGTGAGACCACTTCGATATCACCTTGATCTTCCAGATGTCGATCCATACCTGGCTTATATCAAATCAACACAGCTGATAGCTGGTCTTTCAGTGCACTGCTGAAGAGGAGAGATATGGAAATAAATCAACAGGCTGCTTGAAAAGAGGAAGATACAGGGGAAAAGGAGTGCATATCCGTGCCATGCATGAGGTATGTCAATATAAGCTATATCAATGATGACTTGAGCTTCTTTACTAACGGATGATACTAGATCAATCTGTAGAGAGCGGCCACTCAAGACTGATATAGCGGCTCCTTGTCTGCAAATTCACAAATGGCACCAAAGGAGAGAATCCCAACCGACAGTCTCGGGCTACCGCCCGGAGATCAGTTCAGGCGAATCGAGAAGCCATTAAATGACCTATCGCCACGGGTGTGGGAGCATGCGGAAGTTGGACCCACACGAAAAGGAATCCCAGTCGGTACGCTTAAGACCGATGATCTGGTCGCCGACCGGGAATTTGCGAACTTGGCTGCAGTTCCGGATGATCGACTGCTCGTTCAACAATATCGGAAGCAATATCCTCACATAACACACTCCCAATTCGCAAGCCTCTCGGACAAGCACGGCAATCAAACTCAAGGTTTAAGTCCTACAAATCTTGTTCTCAGAGCTGTTCTTCGAAGATACCATCCCTGCCAGGTTGGGAACGAATCCGACCCAACCTTGGAACCGGTTGGCTGAAAAGATCAACTGAAAGCGAAAAAGAAGTGATTATCTTCTGAATGCGTCTACGTTTCAGAACAGGGCATATTTCAGGCTGTTTGGTAGCCTAAATTACCTACATCCTGACTGATATAGGTACACACCTGTTTGTCTGTCCTAGCCGTGGTCCGAGATATGTCCTATGGCTCGGTGGTCAATGGCATTATTGAAGGGTGAGCTCAAGGAGCACCGGGGCGGCCCTGGAGCCTATATACATGCGATATCCGAACATTCACTGACCAGTCATACAGCTTTTTTGCTCATTTTGCCGCCGCCAAGGGGCATTTGAATGAGAATTGTCACCGGCTCCAGGAGCTATTGACCCTTAACAGGGCCGCAATTGTCCATGCGGTAAGAGCACTTTCATTCCCTCGGAAAATTTCCGGCTTACTGACCTTGTATACTATATAGCTGCACCCCCGGCGCCAGAAGAGAGGCCCGCGCTCAGGGGCGCCCAAGATGAGCAAACCGTGGCACAGTGTATGTATTACACCTCTATTCACAGAACGACCCGGCCTTGACTCCCTCACATCATCTTGTGATGGCTACATAGCTAACATATATGAATAAAAGGGCAGGAAAAATGAATAACACTTGGCGGGAACTCTTTCTTTTTCAGAAAAGAAGCTTCAGAGAGGAGGTATGCCAATTAAAGCTATGCCGATACTCACTTGATCTTCTTGACTAACATAAGATCCATGACAGGTCTATGCCAGAATCAGGATATCCTGCCAATACACAGTGAGCCTAACTGAGCATGCTGAATGCTCTTTGTCTCTTGGCCTAAATGACACGGGAAGCAACCGTCGGATCTACAAGCACTTCCCTTCGCAACCCCACTTCACCTCCCAGCCCTACCAGACCCGTTTCATCCAAACGCCGCTACCTGATCTGCAGGGGTATTACTGAAGAAGAGCCCGAAATCGTGTCACTTGGTTGAAACGAAGACGAAGGGAGGATGAAGTGACCATCCATTGGTTTGAATCGATATGTCCAACTTGGGAGCAGCAGGCCAAGTGGTATGTCTCTTGATCATTACTATTGATGACTATAAGCTAACAATAGCGAGTGGTGGGAGAGCTCCACCTATATATCCTTCAGCTGGCATCTGGGATTCTGGGGGCTCTTCAGAAACTGCTGGCGCAACCATTCATTGTCCCCGGGCCCCGGGGCCAGACTGATGCCGATCGAAAAGCAAGTCATGACTCGGCAGTCAGTTTCGTTGACACTCTTCCTGCTTGGTTCACTGAATTGACACTCATCCATCAAACAATGAACACCACGAAGTCATTTGTTTTTTGCAACGGAACCAAGAAAAACAACACATTTGTGTCGCCTGAAAAAAGGCAGGTCTGATAAGAGCTCTTCCGGCTGAAGTTTTTTGGGCTCCATTGCCTCAACAATCACTACAATCTATCTCTACCTCGTTTCCTTTATCGGTGACCGGTGCCATGTATGAGGATGAGGTATGTCGAAATAAGCTATATCGCTGATCACTTGAGCTTGTTTATTAACATAAGATAGATCAATATACTGATCAGGACTGCGCCACGCCAGTGGCAACCCTGTTCACACCTCAGGTTGGAGAAGACATTGGCTTGTCCAGGAAGACAGATCTACCAGTTTGGTAGCATGTCCCGACGACGATCCGTGGGTTCCCCGGATTTCTTTTTCGTTTCAACTGTCACCACCGAAAGCGTTTAGCCCTAGGTGATCATCGTCCTATGGACACCCCGGCTATATCGAATCCGTCCCACTCTTCACAACCACTGCCAGGTGCCCGCGGCACTGGCCAAGGTCATCGTGCGAGCACAACAGATCGTTACGCGACGGCAGTCCCACCCTTGGCGACCACTTGATCCGCACGGGCGCTATTCGCGGCCTACGTCAAACAATCGAGGTCCCGACGTCTACAGCACGGGACTCATGGCACATGACTCTCGTCAGCTTCCAAGGTCACCTACTGTCGCCCTCAATGACATGGGAAGTGTCACGTGCGTCTCCTCCCTTTCAGCGCAAGTTACATACCTACATAGGTACCACAGGCATGCAGATGGTCTGTCCCCCAGACCAAGCCTCTTTCTTCATCGATCTACGCGCGCTCGTCACTCGCTGCAATGAGCTAGATCGCGACCATGAGGAATTCGCTGACATCGATGACCTCCTGCTTCGATGGTCCCAATGGACCGATCGCAGCAATGCGACCAACCAGCTAATCGCCCAACTAGCCGCAAGGCTGTCTTAGGTACCTAGGTAGGTAGTGAATATCATCATCTTTTCCACACACTGTGTTCCAACTGCTACAGGAAGCAATATGTTGACACTTTACAATACTAACTTATACGCGCTCAACTTTGATTATCGCGTTCATCATGTAGCCCTCTAAGGGTAAACGACTGTGTTTAATACCAATGGACTCTCGTTTCATTCCATGAAAGTTGAAACATAAATCACCACTGTCTGGTCAGTTCCCATTATCCCATAGTTCGCAGAAACCGCAATAATTAAAACATGGACAACAGGGAGTTTGCGCCTCAGCGGGAACCAAATGCGGAATCATTTGTTTTTTGTGACTGGGCCTGGCAACAGACATCTATACGTCGGACAAAAGAAAGCAGGCCTGATCCGAACTCTTCGGCTTGCCTTTTTTATTTACATCTTTTTTTCTTAAAAAAAGGACCTCAAGATTAGCAAATGATAGTATCTCTTTCAGTTCGAAAAGCATTTTACAGCAATAAGTTGGCCCTCGAGTGTACTGCAACGTCTTTGCAACTAGGGACCTTACATGCAGGGAAGCCCGGGGCCTTATAACGATGCAAGGAAAGTACCGAGTATTGTGGAATTCCAAGGTGAACATCGGGAGTAATTTATTGCTAGACTGACGTATTCATATTATGGATACTGGCTAATCATGATAGTGTACACCTGGGCAGCATATCCAACAACCCAACGGAACCGAGAAATACAATTCGCGAGATGAGGAATATCACCGTTGAGTAAAGGCCATCAGCATGGATGCAAACAGCCCAGTCTTCGGTCCAAGAGAACATGTGGCAACATTGGAAGGCTGCCAGAACTGGCTTGAGTCCTCGGTCCATAACATCAAAAAGAAAAAGCAAAGATCGTGTCGTATCATGAGTGTCAGGCGTAAAAGGTCAGTGAGTCGTCATGGCTAAAGGTCATCGTTTCATCGTTTCCTCGTTGGCAGCGTCGGTACACGGGTCAGTGTTTGGGCATTGAGTAGAGAACAGTGGAGGGAACTAAGAACAAGGTGGGGAGGATTGTCTGTCGAATTAGACAGGTCTTGACCAGTCAGTCGGCAGAGAGTAGGTAGAGCCCAGAGTATTCCAGGTGCTCCTCGGGGATGGTCTCCTCGGAAGCAGGGAGTGGTGCAGTTGGCGACCACTCGTCGTGGCGTGCGCCATAGTCCGACTTGAATGGGTTGTCGTAAGCACTGTGCTTAGAGGCAAACAACGGGTTTGATCGGTACACAGGTTTGTCGCTGTCAGTGTAGGAGCCGAGGTCAGGGAACGAGGGCTCATTGAGATAGTGGTCAAAAGTACCGGGGCCAGTAGCATGCTTGGCAAAGGGAGAGTTCCAGTCTTGAAGATTGCCAATTTGGCCTCGGGCGTTCAAAATGGGTTCGATGTTTTCCTTGTCAGCCGCCGTGCGCGCAACCTTTCGAGCGCGAGTTCCAGAAGGGGCTGGCTTTCGGTCCAACATGAGGCGAGTGGGAGTCAGCGAGTCAATTTGTCCTTTGGGTCTTCCATCCATGCCCTGGGTGGGGTAAGGTTGTTTGCTGCCTTCCTCCTCGTCGGTGAATACGTCGAAGCCACCTCTGGCCCGCTTGCCAAATGCATTGACAGTCATTTCAAAGTCCCCATCGAAGGAAGCGTGAGATGGTTGAGGGTTCATCATACCACGACGGTGAGATGGCTTGTACTGATCGGGTGACCCAACATGAACAGTCTTGTTTGCTTTCCGTGCAGCAACTCTCTGGCGAGTCCTGTCCGCGGCGTGGGTTAAATTGGGATCATTGGAAGCCAAGATATTCTGAGAACGGGTCTGGCGGCGACGGGGAATTGGAGTTTCTCCCTTCAATGGGCTGTCATCCTCGGGATTTCCAGTAATCACACGTTCCTTGAGGAGCCCACCCCCGGGCGAAAAGATCATTTCATTGGGCTCCACCAGCAAGGAGCCAATCTCCATCTGCTTCAGCACGGTGCCATCCTTCTTCTGGTTGCGACGGCGACGCATGTGATCCGTTGCTGCATCAAAGCAGTCCATTCCTGGCCAGAGTACTCCTTTGAGCCTTGCAATTTCATCCGAACGAGATTTCAACGGCTTCTCTTCGTTCCCCAATGCCCGAGCACGGGGGGCAGTCACAATGGGTTCAGGTGTCTCCGGGCGCAAATCCCATGTGATTTCCTCTGCGGCCTTCTTGCGTCGAGGCTGTGTCGGGGTGACGGGATACATTGCAGGGCTGTCAGTTGTGGATTGGTCCTCATCCTCCAACTTGATCATGTTCAAATATGCGCCCGCCGATGGTCGCATTGATCGGAGGACTGGTCCCGTTCGAGTCTTTTCGTTGCTGTTCACCGCCGTCCAAGCACTTGGGGTCACAGGGGAAAGTGTCTCCTCTTGGGGGCCATTGTAGGGGCCAGCCAAGCGTGGGTCAAGGCAATGCGAGATTGGAGTGGCGGCGACAGTGTTCGAACGCGTTGGCGCAGTGGTGAACCCTCGGCCATGGATGGGACGGGCCTTCAGGGACATGGCATTGTTCTCGGACCTTCTCTTCTTGCGTCTTTCCTTCGAAGCTAGGCGATCTGACAGCAGTTGGCGGATGTTATGGTAGTTGAACCAGTTTTCGTAGGTTTCCAGCAAGCGAGCAGCTTCAGGGTCGTTGGTCTTGCGGACCCCGAGTTCGAAGACATTGGCGAGATGGGCCTTGGAGGCTACATGGGTCAACAGGTGAGATACGTCCGAAAACTTGGGCTGCTTGTGGCATATGGAACACCTCAGGTCGGAGTCGTCCATGGTCAACAGATCTTGGAGTCGAGCCAAAGATATGGCAAGGGCAATTGTGTCTGGGTGAAGAAAGAATAGCCGTGTACTGGGTCTAGGGAGCAACAGATCTGGGAAAGACACAGAGGGGGGTTGCCTGAATAAACAAAACACGTGCGGTGTGAGCACAATAGAGGGAAGGTGCTGTTGAATCCGTGGGAAGGCACATTCACGGGTTTCGGGAATCCAATTCCATTGGGGTCCTATGGAATATCGCTAGCATTCGCTATGGAAGTCTGTACCACAGTGTCTTAACAGCTCTTTGGCCATTGTGGGGGGATATGAAGCGGAATAAGTCACAGTGGGTATTATTCTCCTCCTGCATTGTATCCCATGGTCCATGGGTAGAGAACATTCACAGGTTATTAGATTGCAGGAGGGATCTCGACAGCCCTGGAGGCACATTGAATTACCCTTTCAGGCATTTTGTGGTGACAGTCTTGGGCATGCAACTGAACAATCGTTAGCGGTGAGAACGGGCAAGATGCGAGAAACACTCACTATACAGGATCTATCTCTTCCAGGCCTTCAAACTTGAGCAAGCTCAACCCTGCAAGACTAAAATGAGTGTGGTATACATCCACCATATTTCCAGGCCGGTCTGCAAATCCACCAGCATCAGGATCCTGCAACGCTAACAGTTAGCCAACCATTCCAGTCTGAATTTCGCGAGAGCCACAACTCACCTGACACTGCAGCACAAATGCAGAAAGCTTCTTTCCATCAATCCAGTGGAGGCGGTCGATCATAGCGAGGCTTGATCCCACCCACCAGGTGTAACACGCATCCGCGAGCTTCTCTGGCCGGCCATTGAAGCCACCGCTTTCAATCTGTCGCTCACTGAGCCAAGCCCCAAGGCGATCTTTATTCACGAGGTCTAAGCGACCCGCAATAGCGAGGGCGCCGATGCAGGTGAAAACTTGCCCCGCATGGGATTCCGTACCGGGGCGAATTCCATACGCGCCATCGAGATTCTCGCAGCTCTGAACGTGTGTAACGGCCTTGGCGACATCGACCAAGTGCATCAAGCGTAATAACGACAGGGCATTAAGCGCTCCGTACAGGAATCGGGTATCCGTTTCGCCCCACTGGTCTCCCATGAACGAGCCGTCTTCATTCTGCAGATTTGCAATAACTGTGAGGGTTTAGTATGCAGGCCTCGGTGGAGTGTGAGATGGCGTACAAGACCCAACTTTCTCCTTGCCACCTCGGCCCCGCTTCTCCAGTTCATCGACCGCGTCGATGGTTACCAGGATCTGAACTGCCGAGACGGTATACAGCATGTGAGCATCATGGCCTGGAGCTGCCCCGAATCCGCCATTATCGCTTTGGCAGGAAAGAACGAAGTCGACGGTCTCGTCGCGGGGCAAGGCATCTGGGGAACCGAGAAGGTGCAGGGCGGTCAAGCCCCAGTACACCCCATTCAGGCGCAGGTGCTCGGTCAGCCAATATTCGAGTTCATCTTTCCTCTATGTTCGATCAGATGCGTCCTGGGTTAGGCTTGTCAAGCAGCACGCACTGTGTCCAGGTTCTTGATGTAAGTCACGTGTTTCTCGGTGTGCAGCTCCGTCTCTGCGGGGCCCCCAGCTCTGCCAGGGCCGGATACTAGTGCCATTCTTCTGGTCTCAGTGGGAAGAGAGATGATTGGTGAGTAGATCAAAGATCTGAGAGGCAAATGCGTCAGAGTGAAGGCGGTGACTGCTGCATGGTTAGCCCACTACTTTCCCGGGTGGCTTGGAAGTGTTCAGAGACTAGGAGATGTCTGCGATCTGATTTGCTTGTCATGCAAGCCACTCATCACGTGAGGAACCACCGCCCTAGGGCCCTCGGCAAGCCCTGTTCGGGAAGTACTTTTTACTCTGTGCGTCGTCTGGTGCTTTTGGCTGATTGGGAGAATAAAAATATCCACCTGGGCACAGTACAAAGCACTGTCATCCCCGAGGCGCTAGTTTGACATCTCCAGCCATGTTTCAGCTTGATGGAACCTTGTGTGCTCCGTGCAAAGAGGATGTTGTTCGAATTTGTATACTCCGTTGACATATTTTTAATTTCAAGGTTGTTTGTACCGAAGCCCCAGTGCGAAGACTCGTAAATCGAGGAATTGAACAGTACGCCAAACACCGACACCGGAACAGCCCAATATCAGTCCAGTGTGGATATCCATAGTGCTCTCGCACTGAGCATGTAGATTAAACCGTTTTCTCGCTCATTGGAGCTCGCGGACCACTACAGTGGGGGGTGTCCTTCTCTTGAGCGCACATCCTCCAATTTTCGAGACTAGTGTGCCCCGGAGGATTTTCAACGTTCAAGGTCCGACTTTTCCCATGTTATACAGACGGAGCTCGCCAGCGATCGCACACCGTACCACAATGGGCAAGGTGTTGCTAAAAATTGATGCTCAAACAAGACAACTCCACTCTGCGTGTCGACAACCATGGTCTTGTCGGCGATGTGGGATCGTTCTGACTGGGAAAGCTGGGTTGATCTGAAACCCGGGCTAAATTAATTTAGGAGTGGATTCACTCACGTTCTTACCCCTGATGCTATCTGATCTGTGTCCATACATGCGAACTGCAGTATCACAGTACTATAGTGTAAAATGTACTCAGTCAATGGATAGTACTCCGGACCCATGTCCGTATAGATCTCTATATCCAGTACTGTACTATACAGTATAGTACTGCATTGTGTTTACTCTGAAGCTTGGAACCGCGAACGGAACCTGGGAACCTTGGCGGTGGACCAATGAGAAGGCGACACTCACTGCAACGCAAGGCAGCACATCATCCCGCCCGTGGCTCCAGCTGCCAGACCCAATGGCACCGACCTACAAAAGTGGACTCGAATGTCTACTCGATTGTACAGTATCCTCGATATGTACTAGATCAGCGTACTTTTCTCTACTTACGTACCTTCTGTACGCAAATCAGAGCACGGAACATTGCAGCGCGAAAACAGAAGAAAATAGAAAAATCGCGAGAAAAATAGAAAAACGTAGAAAAAGAAAGGTGATGTTTACCCACCGTCACTCGATCCACGTCACGGTGTCCCTTGGTTCTGGCATGTCCGCCCTTCAGGGGAATTTAGATATGCAGGACACTTACCATATTGATATACTGACATGGATAATCGTACTATAGTAGACAGTGATATAGTATATTTGATCTTCCATGAGTGTCCATGTCGATCCCTATGTTTCATCAGATATCCAGAAAAAAAGACTAGTGTGGCTTGAATCACTATGTGGTATGCTCTGAACTAGTGTACCGCTAATTAGTTCAACTACCTAATTCCTAATTTTTCCCCTTTCCTCTCCCCGAGATCCCAATGGACTGGTGACATTTTTTGGTTTTGACCTTGACTCCTATCTCGCCCTTCCGCCCTGCCGATCCCCCGTAACGCCCAAAAGAGGGGGTGAACTGGAACAACTTCGTGGTCTCACGAGCGGCGGAAACATTGAAACCATAATATGAGGGTGAGTGACTCGCTGCATTAGGCACTGTGTCCGTCCATTGTTGCTGCGCGTGCCTGGGGTTCGCCGCCAACAAAGGACTTCTTTTAACTCGGGGCCTGCATATGTCACCACATGCGGTCTCACGATCTTGCGGCATTCACATGTCTGGAAACTGAGCTGATATAGTGCGCCAGATCCTGCTCTCTTAGTTCGATCCGCAATCCTCGTCATCACAGACGCTTAGGCGATCTCCACGAATCGCTTCGCCCCAACGACGACACGGACCCCGAGCCGCATTGATATCGGGACACACGCTACCAGTCCTCAGCCGCAGACGTGACCGGGTTGTCAGCGCTGGACCGCAGCCCACATTACTTCTGTCGAAGCTACGGGCCTAGATCCTAAACTTTGATCCTCCGAACCTTCACCACCGGAGGGGACTCCTAATCCTTCACCATGCCAAACCGCAGTTCCACCGTGCCCAACCTCGATCTGAGCTCGTTCAGAACGGAGGCAAAGAAGGACAAGATCTCGTCACCGTTGACGCCGAATGACCAGAGCTCGGACGCCCCGAGTCCCCTGACCCCTCGCTCACCCAAGTCAGCGTCCAGCTCGCCGCTGTTCAAAGGCGCAACCATCCGCCCCGTCACGCAAGACTCGGGCAGCAAGGCCACCAGCCCTACCATCCCACTCTCACCCGGCACAGCCACCGCCGAGCCCTTGACACCGGGCATCACAGCTATTCCACAACACTTCCCCTCGCCCAAAGACTCGAAACATTCCCGCGATGCATCCAAGTCCTTCTTCGGCACCCTCAAAGCGCCCAAATCAGCACACAAGTCACAGCGATCGGACAGCTCAGGGGATTCGACCGAACCGCCAAAGAGCAGAGGAAGTTCCCGGGAGCGGAGGATGACGATGGCGGCCAAGGCATACGGATCCACGCCCGATCTTCTCGGGGCACTCGCGCACGCGAATGAAGCCGAAAAGACCAGTGAGCATCTGTCTCCGCGCCCGTCTTCATCCTATTTAACCAACCGTTATTTTACAGACGGAAACTCAGGCAAGACCTCACATCAGACGGACGCAAAAAAGGCCGGAACCGATGCAGACGCCGCGCCAAAGAAAAACAAACAACGATTCGCCAACCTCCTGACCCGATCTCGTTCAATCCGAGTCGACGAATCAGCCGGAAATAGAGCGGCGGGCCGGCGACCGTCCACCGGCTTGGCCAAACTCGAAGAATTCAACCAAGGCGCTGGGACGACCCAGCCCCGCTCAGCGACGACGCGACCAGACCGAACCGTGCGGGGAGGTCTCCAACCCCCCGAGCGTCCAGCAGATAACAACCCTTTGCGCAAAGAACGCAGTCATGGTAACATGGTCGCTTCAGCTTCTTTGAGTCAGGTGTCGGGCGCCTCTGCGGCCATCTTCAGCAACCTCAAGTCATCTTCAAGCGGGGCTGCCGATCGGATCGGCAAAGCCGGAAAGGGCTTCTTTGGCAAAATCACTCGCAGTGGCAGCACCAACGAACGAGAATTGATCAACGATGACTCCTACACCTGTTCGGTGATCAACCTCCCTCTTATCGAACAAGCGCGCAAGACTCGCATCGCGAAGAAGCTGGAACACTGTCGAGATAAGACCGAATTTTGGATGCCCGCCTTGCCTTATCGCTCGATTGATTATCTGAATTTCAAGGGGTGCGAAGAAGAAGGTCTTTACCGAGTCCCTGGGAGCGGTAGAGAAGTGAAGCATTGGCAACGGCGCTTCGACACAGAACTGGACATCGATCTTTTCGAAGTCCCAGATTTATACGATATTAACACAATCGGATCCTTGTTCAAAGCATGGCTCCGCGAGCTACCAGACGAGCTCTTCCCCAAAGCAACACAAACGATGATTGCCCAGAAGTGCGAGGGAGCTACGACCGCGCCACAACTCCTTAAAGACGAACTCTCGAAACTACCCCCCTACCACTACTACCTCCTCTTCGCCATTACCTGCCACCTCAACCTCCTACACTCCTACGTCGACCAGAACAAAATGGACTACCGCAATTTGTGCATCTGTTTCCAGCCTTGCATGAAGATTGATGCCTTCTGCTTCCAATTCCTGGTCTGCGATTGGAAGAACTGCTGGCAGGGCTGCTGGACCGAAAAGGAGTATCTCGAGATTGAGAAGAAGATGGACGAGCGCGACCAGCGAGTCTCGGAGGAAGCCGAGAAGGAGATTGCCTACGAAAAGCAAGAAATTGCTAAGGGCAAGCAAGAGCTCGCTGCTAGTCATGAGCGGGCCATATCCTCTTCAAGCAGCAGCGCTAGCGCCACCGAGGAACCACCTCGACCGGTGACCTCTAGAAGCCGAAAGGCTCCGCCCCGAAACATCGAGGTTTCACATACTCGCAGTGTGTCTCAACTCCCTGAACTGGGTCCTCCCCTCTCCCCCATCAAAATTTGAGTCGTCCCATCTTTGTCTTGGATACAAGGAGCCGCATACATGGCTTTCCGTCTGGCTGGTCCCCCAAGTCGTGTCTGCAGGTCCAGATAGGACTGGACAATATGGGATGACTTATCTCCCTCATTTCTCTCGCAAGAACTTCGCTGGTTGAAGATATTCCCGCGGCGATCCCACTATCTATTCCTGTCACAGTGCATATATGGCATGTCGAGATCGGGCCTGTTCATTTCCATATTTACATGCTTTCTGGCACCTTCTGAGATGGGGTCATGCCTTCTATCTTCAGACATGTCTATGTCTTGCCATCCTCTCATTCCCTGGAACCACTCCCTCCCAATCTACACCTCTCTCCGTCTTGTCCATCTCTTATTCTTGTCTCTTTGGAAGCGCCGCACATGCTTTTCTACGCTTTGTTTGATATTGCGAAATCTTCAGATTCCCCTTTGCGGTTGACTTTGGATCTTTTTCCTACAAGCTTGTCTCATTGTTTTTTGTCCTGTCGGTTTGGTCCCTATGACGGGCGTTTGCCTCACGGGGTTTGTACAATAGAATTGGGAAGGCTTTCTTTTTCGGCTTGATTTTGTAAGAATCATTTGTCGCAGTAATCTATGCATAATCTCAATAGATCAAACTCCACGGACCATTGTCGAGTAGCTCAGATAAAATGACGGATGCAATAATTGTGCTTTTGGTGAATCACGGTATGTCATGTACATATTGAAAGCCCCCGAGTCGAGTTATACCAATCGCAGGGGATACAAAGAAATAAAAGACCTTGAACAATGCCAAAGAGCCCACTTTTCGTCTGCAATACATAACGAAAAATCATTCGACTCCCAACCCCAACGCCAGAAAAAGTCACAAAGCCTAGGCCATAGAAGTGGATAGCAAGAGAAAGAGGCCGAAAACCCCCCAATCTACTTGAGAATCGCTCACTTCGCCCGAGCAGGGTTCGATCGCTTCTCATTAGAGCGCTGCTTACGCTCATTACGCTTGATGCGCTCCTTGCGCTCAGTGCGCGACATACCGCGGATAGAAGATCCCTGAGCAGCAGCCTCCTCTTCCTTCTTCCACTTCTTCTCGTCAACCTCGACAAGCCACTGGTTCTCGTCGTCCTTGTTCTTGCCCTTGTAACCCCAGCGAGGGACCCACTCGCCACTGGCCTCGTCGTAGACGAGCTTCTTGCGGCGCTCCTTGTCCATGCCTGCGGCGCCGGGCTTCTGGCTGTATTTGCCAATGCCCTTCTTGCGGGCGAACAGCTCCCATTTCGTGGGCGCCTTGGGGGTGGGCAGGGGCTTGTGCCGGGGGAGGTGGATGTTGGGGGCCGGCAGGGTGAGCAGGACACCGTCCGAGACGGAGGACTTGATTTCACATGTTGTCAAGAGCTGGTTGAGGAGGACTTGCACGCCGTCGCGGGCGGTGGCTTTCAGTGAGTTGTTGAGGGTCTCGTTGGGGTCGATCTCCAGAGGGTTCGGGTCGTTGACTAGCAGGTGGCCCAGGTCGAATGTGTAGGGCGTAGGCTTAGAGACGGTAATAGGGCTGCAGTCATGTTAGTTATTTGAGCTTTTTGCGCTTTTTCGGGGCTTGGCTGCTGGTTCGCAGTCTGAGGATTGGGGGTCGCTTACAGTCTCTCGTTCTTAGACGCAGCCGCAGGCGCGGTGTTTCCCATCTCGGTGTCAGACATCACGACAAGGATTGTGGTGGTTTAGAGATCCAAGATGAATATCAGCCTGTGAAAAAAAAGTTGGTTATCAGTATCAGAGCCGCTTTTTTTCTGCCATGACTAAGGTCGGTCAGACCGCCTTTGTTTGGTTCGGCGGGAAATCGCATCAAACTTATCATCGGCGGACGGTCGTGCTCTCTATCCACTCTATTCTCACCCACATCTCCTTCCAGCCTTGGTTGTCTTATCACTGGCCACGCCGGTGCCCCTGACAACCGCAATGGCTTCCTCATGGTGCTGGAACTGCCTCTCGAGGCTTCGACTCGCACCGCGAGCACTCACTCCGTCCGCAACACCCCGGATTTCGAACGCCCCCTTCCATTCCACCGCGCTGCAATATGCCCAACCGGTCAAGAAGAAGAACACCACGCTCAATGTTCAAAAGCATCGAGTGTCGGCTAGTATCAGAAAGAAGAAGAAGAAGCCCGAGCAGCGTTCAGGCGGTGGTGGTGGCCGCAGCATGGCCCCCGGCGAGCGCAGAGCTCTCAAGAAGCGCATTGTCCTGAGCAACCCCAATGCCCTTGAAATTGAGGGTATGGTGGATCTTTCGGCGGAGACAATGGTTGACTCCCGCCTCCGTGGTACTGTCCTTGGATTGCCCATGCCTATGATTGATCAATTGAGAGCCGTGGAGGCATTCAAGCCTAAGCAGGGTTGGTCGATATTCCGACGCCCGGGAACTGTCCTCCGCCGGGATACTATTGAGATGGGTCGTCTGGTCGAGCAGATCTCTGGTGAGGGCGACAAGCCCCAGAAGGGCAAGGTGGCCAAGAAAATCATCAATGGTATGAAGGGCTCTGGAAAGTCAGTTCACCTGCTCCAAGCTATGGCAATGGCATTCTTGAAGAAATGGGTTGTCATCACCGTTCCTGATGGTAAGTTACATGCAGAAAAGCTCCGTGTTTATTCGAAATGTTCAGCTACTGACTTGTCGATCGTGCAGCCCGTGAACTTGTCTGCGCCAACACCGCCTACACCGCAGTGGAAGGTACCAAGCCTCTGCAATATATCCAGCCGAATGCGGTTTCAGCTCTGTTGAAGCGCACCGTCGAGGCCAACCGGGAGCTCCTGGCGGAGCTGAAGGTGTCCCAGAACCACCCCTCTTTGCCAATGCTGCAGCCCGGATCGACCCTCGAGGAACTTGCCAAGCTTGGTTTCGCCGACCCTGCCATTTCCTGGGCCGTGTTCCAGGCTTTCTGGGCGGAACTCACTGCTTCGGCCCCAGCTGCGGGACTTGAGAAGGGCTTCGTGCCCCGCCCTCCCATGCTCGTCACTGTCGATGGTCTGGCTCACTGGATGACCGAAAGTGAATACCGCGATGCCGACTACAACAAGATCCACGCTCACGACCTATACTTCGTCAAGCACTTCCTGTCTCTGCTCAAGGAAGGCGATTCATTGAAGAACGGTGGTCTCCTTCTCTACGCCACCTCCCTGTCAAACAACCCCAACCCTCTCGCCCTCAGCATCGCCCTCGATCGCTTAACCGCTCACCAGGCTGGAATCAGCGCCAGCTCCCCCGAGTACCCTAACCCCGCTGCTTACAGCGGCGCCGACGAGCGCGTTTTGGAACTCCTGAAGCCCGCCGAGAAGGCCATCAGCCCTGTCGAGCTGCAGACCCTGGAGGGTATTACTCGTGACGAGGCCCGTGGCTTCTACGAGTACTTCGCCCTCAGCGGTCTCCTGCGCGATTCTATCACTGACCAGTGGGTCGGACAACGGTGGAGCTTGTCTGGTGGCGGGATCATCGGCGAGCTGGAGAAGCTTGGCCGCCGCTTCCGCGCTGCATCTGCCTAGACTTGAGGCTATATTGCATTTTCTTTTCTTGTCTCATTCCCGGCTTCCTCGTGTTTGAGGCTCTACACTGTACATCAGATGCCGAGGAACCCCATGTGCTGTTCGCCCATGTACTTTACAAATCTCACTAGGTCTGCTTTTTTCTGTATGCATATAATGGATTTGTTTTGGAAGAAACTCGCACTTCGCACTCCACTTTGATTTCCTAAAGTGTTTTCCTAAAGTGTCAAGCTTGGGAGGAAAAGGTACCATGGATATTGCACTGCTAACTCCGGAATAGTCCCGGACAAGTCCAACCTCGACCTCGAGACTAATCATCCAACCCTTTAGGCTTGACAGCCCGCACCAGATCCGGATAATCAAACCTCGCAGCCGCATTCATGAACTGCGAGTTAGCAGGATGCGCCTCCTTAACATCACCCCAAAACAAGAAATTCATCGGGAACCCAATATCAAACTCATAAGCCCCCTCAATCTCCCCAACATCCTCCTCCGAAAGCACCAGCCCCAGCGCCCGAATATTGCTCTCCAACTGCTCAACCTTCCTCCCACCAACAATAGGCGCCACATAAGGCGCTTTACCAAGAACATACGCCAAAGCCACACTCGTTATCTCCGTCCCATGCCGACTCGCAACATTCTCAAGAACCCTCGACACAGCAATATCCCGCTCCGTAGCACCCTTCCCACGCCCAGGATTCCCATTCCTCGCAAGCTCTTCGAGGTGTGCCCGTGTCTTGAAATTGCCACCACCCAGCGGCGCCCATGGCGCCAGACCCATTCCTTCCGACGCAGCCATGGGAATGATATCTCGTTCGAAGTCGCGCATTGCAGCGTTCCATCGGCCTTGGTAGACGGAGAATGGGCGGAGGCCGTGATCGCGCGCGTCTTGTTTTTGTTACTACCTGTTTTCTGTTGGTGTTATAGGTAGACTTACATTGGTTCGCTTTCGTCACTACCCAGGTGGGTGTATCGCTGATGCCGAGGTAGAGGACCTTTCCGGAGAGGACGAGCTGGTTCAGAGATGTCATGACTTCTTCGACGGAGGTGCTGAAGTCCCACCAGTGGACGTAGAGCTATTGGTTCGGCATTAGAGGACATCGTAGAGAGTATAATGGGTTGTTTCGTGTTTCATTTGGGATACATACCAGATCGATATAGTCTGTTTTCAAATTCTTTAAACTGGCATCCACGGACAGCTTGAGACTTTTGGCATTATTGCCGATGAAATTGGCTTGGATCTCATCGGGGACGTGGGTGCGGTATCCGGAGCTATACTTTGTAGCTAAGACGAGTTGATCGCGCACACCGCGAGTCTCCATCCACTCGCCGATCCACTTCTCGGAATCGCCATTCTGGTAGTTATTGGCTCTGTTCGTTTGTGAGCCTCTTCCAGAGCTTGCCTGGGTACATTGAGATACTTACGTGTCGAGAAAGTTGCCCCCGTTGTCATAGTATGTATCGAGGATCTTGAAAGAGGTTTCCTTGTTGCATTCACCGATGTGCGTCCTGTTTGATATGTTAGCTTATCAGGCATGGGTAATTGCAACAGCCTCCGCACTCACCAGCCTTCGCCGAAATTCATAGTCCCCAGGCATAGTGGGCTCACTTTGACGGCGGCAGTGGGGGCGAGTAAACGGTACCGGCCGAGGTGGGACCGGGGGGCTTTAGCAGGGGCATACATGGGATGAATGGGATGAGAATCAGATGGATGAGCTGTGTGTTGAGATTAAACGATGCCAATTATGAATCTCCAAAGTCCCCGGAGACTTCAAATGTTCTCTTCGGCTCTTCCGGGTTATTTTCACTGACTCGGTGCAACTGCATGACCGCATCTCCAGGGCTTGAATGTCCAATTAGAGAACCTGCCGAGGAAGGCGTACATGGGGGAGTATTTTTTACCTTTTATGGCCTTTTTCTATTCGGGCTTAGTATCTTAATCAATACTTTAAGTAGACTTGGCTGTGGAACTGAAGACCTTATATGTACTTTGCATCTTGTGTTCATATATCATATCTTTCCAAGCTGGAGCGATTCGTGGAAGACAATCATGCTAGTTCTTTTTCGTCGCATACGTATAGAGTAAAATAAGTACATTAGGCCTCAAATTAGGGACCTCAGAACACACACGTACGGATATCTCACTTTCAGTGTATTTCTCATGGCTTCTATGTATGTCTCTTCAGGTCCCTTGCATACTCTACCTACCGCTACATGTAATTTCCTGCTATTGTGCCTGCGACGTCAGACCGCCATCGCACCCTTCCCAGATCAATAAGCACCTGCACACCGGCTTCTTCCTATTCTTCTTCCTCGTAGTCTTCGTCATATTCCTCATCGGAGTCCTCCTCATACCACTCATCGGAATTTTCTTCTTCGTAATTATCGTAATCCTCATCATACTTCGGCTTCCTCTTGATTGGTTCAACCCAGCCAGCGTTTTCCATTTCGACATTCTTCACTGGCCAGCCCGGGTGAGCCACTCTTGTCGACCCATTCGAGCTGGCGTCTCTCATTTCAACGTCTTTTATTGAGTTGCTCGAGGTGGTATATCTCATCGACTCATTTGAGGTGGCGTCTCTCATTTCAACGTCTTTGGTTGATCCGTTCGAGTAAGCATATTTCATTGACTCATTTGAGGAAGGGTCTTTCATCGACTCATTCGAAGTAGAGTTTCCCATCGACTCATTCGAGGTAGGGTCTTCCATCGACTCATTCGAGGTAGGGTCTTCCATCGACTCATTCGAGGTAAGGCCTTCCATCGACTCATTCGAAGTAGGGCCTTCCATCGACTCATTCGAAGTAGGGCCTTCCATCGATTCATTCGAAGTAGGGCCTTCCATCGATTCATTCGAGGTAGCGTCTGGTAATTCCTCCTCTAGGGATGTAGCTCCGCCTGTCAAGTCAATGGTACCTCCACCGATGATAGCCTGGACAGCAGAGTTAGCACCGGCTCCAAACCCAGAACCTAATACAGTCCCAAATTCAGATAAGGTGGTCCCAGTTGCATATGGATCATTCTCTGCAACTCGAATCAAAGCTCGCTTGCGTGGCTTCACGGCGGCGAATTGCATCCCACAAACCTTTTTCGGGGGTGCCTTAGCTGCCTTTGCCTTTGCCCTTGGGGCCACAGCTGGAGCTGGAGCTGGAGCTTTTGCTGGTGGTGGCCTGGGACCTGCTTTCTTTGGGGTTGCTTTCTTGGGGACTGCTTTCTTGGAGGCTACCGGATTCGAGGCTAGCTTCACTGGTCTTGGCTTTGGCTTTGGAGCCGGTTTTCCTTTCAATGCGATGGCGGCCGCCTCCCCGGATGCAACGCCTTGACACTGGACGCAATTGCAGTTCTTTCCAAATAGTCGGACGGCATCACCATTTGTCGCACCACCGGCTTCAACAGGGAGGCTTGTGTTCAGGTACGGAACTCGAATTTCATCGTTCTTGGCGATAGCTTTGGTCGCGTAGACTACCACACGATTCGGAACAGTGGTGTGGAATCCCCAGGTTGCATTCTCGCTAAGGCGACAGGCATGGTTGAACATGCTCAGTCCAGGGAAGAGATACAGATCTGAAAGCGATGGCTCTAATGCTGCAAAGTCTTCTTTGCCCTCTTTCATTTTGTTTTGCTCGTCTCCGGAGGGCACTTGCTTAATCCCATCGTCTTTGGTGAATATGTCATTCTTGGCTCGCCGTGCAAGATCCCACGGTACGGCATTGATGAGCAGCTTCCGTAGCACGATTTGAAGGGACCAAGTGTCGAATGAGAGATCTCGGAAGATGTCGACTCCAAGCGCAGAGAGGATGTCAAAAGGTACGCGGATGTTGCCAGCCATGGTGAAGGGGAACCAATTGTCTCCCCATGGCTGATTGGCATCAGCCCCGTTCTCGAGCAACAGTAGTTCATCGATCTCGTGTGGCTGGAGATCAGGGTTGCTTTGGCGGCGATGGAGCGTGATTTCAAGCACGCTCTTCAGCAGTAAACTCAGCACAGTGCCATGTTGCTCATTGTGAGCTGTGAAGAAATCCCCGTCATCGATTTTTGTTATATTGGCTCGCATGGCATCGTGAAGCCACTTCCATTGGCAATTCTCGAACTCGGGAAACGCATATATCTCGGCTGCCAAATTCGCACAGGATTTGGCGTTGCGGGCCGCATCCTTTCCCGCGTTATTAGCACAGAACTGTGTAGTAGCGAGGTCACCACCGTCCTCTTTCGGAATAGGCTGTTTGCAGTTATCGCATCGTGGCACAATATGTGGGCGAGGTACTTGACCATCTCCCAGGACATTAGGCTGTAGATGTCCACGGATGACAGGCTCCTCGTAATGAATAATTGTCCCTGCTGCAATTGCAGCATTGGCGAAGACTCCTAGTCCACCAGAACTTCCATCTGGGAGCTTGATTGGTCTCACTTCGCACAACCCTGCTCCCACTTTGGCATGTGCGCTGACGGTGAAAACGTTCCTGTTCAAGGCCGCCGTGAATGATGCAGCTTCACGATTCACGTCTTGGGATTCATAGGGGTATCGCGTTTCACCCGATGTCCATCCCCGCATCCATTCGTGTCCATAAAGAGGCTGACGGTCATCGGGTGGCTTGAGCCTTCGTTCATTCAGCTCATTGATGATGGATTGGACTGCGTTCTTGCGTTGCATGGGCGTATCGGCATCCCGCTGGGCAAGCAGGCCTCGTTTGTGGTGCTCTTCCATGTAGACATTGAAATCATCCCAACAATTCATTGCTGCAAGGCTGAGACAGATTATGTTATCGATTGCGTTTCTCAGTGTTGGGATGAAATAGTTGATACCATTGGCCTTCCTCATTAGAAGGACCTCTGGGGGTGGATTGCTCTTCGGTTTCCATCCTGCCAAGAGATGCAATTGGATTGCTTCCCAGACCCGAGTGTAGAGTCCCGGGCGTAGATTTCTTTTGAGTGACAATGTCAACACTTCACAAAGAAGCTGGGCGCGGTAGGCGTCCCCAATGGCCAGGTCGAAGAAGCCCTGCAAATAGTGGCAATATGCGCGGCTGACCCAGTAGGTGGGATTGTAGGGACTCAGACTAATTGCTGCAGTGTACATATCAAGCGCCGACAGGGTTTTAGTCCTGGCAGGTGTGATGACATGGGTGTGCGGGCGATCTATACCCCAGTGAGTGAGCTTGCTGCGTTTATACACCCCGACTTTCTGGTCAAGTTCGAACTCGTGAAGAAGCCTTTGGAGATCAGTCTTCTTCGCCTTGTCGTCAAAAGGAACATCTCTGGCCTTGAGCTCTGTCTTGATCTTTGCTATTGTCCAGTGGTCCTTCGATTTACTCAAAGGGTCGGCACCGTTCACGAAGATGTTGCCTCGCAAAGGAGCCAATCCTTTCACGCCATCGTAGGTCACATCAAGCTTCTCCTTCTTCCAATTGTTCAGGGCATCTGCGCGCGAGACTGGGAGATACGGGTTGCTCATCAGATGCTCATACACATTGTTTGCCAACACATGCATAAGATCTGGGTCATCCTTAGCCCGTGGGTATTGTCGGTCAGTGTTGGCTTGCCAGGCGTTGCCGAGATGAGTATCAGGTCCTTCCCAGAGGCGACGGGCAAGAATCGCATTGTCTTCGGTCAAGGGGTCGCCGAGCTTCACTTGAGTATGGATGTCTGGTCCCTTGGGGTACTGAGGAGGGTTGATGATATGAGTGCCGGCGTAAGAACTGTATACATCTTTTAATTTCTTCCACGCTGCTATTTGCTTCTGTGTTTCAGGAGATGCTGGGGCCTCGCCACTCATGTTTGTAGTCTGATAGATCGACCTCGGGAGTATACAGCTCAGAACGAAAGGTCTTTCGGTCCGAACTTATAAGAGTAGATCCCACACATAGTAACATTCGAGTCTGAAAGAACAAAAAAATCTCGAGAGATCCAGACAAAGCAACAGATCTTGGTCATGTTCATACCAAAGACTCGAAAGGCAACTGGACAAAGAGAGCCTACATCAAGCCAGTCGAAACGTCAAATGATAAAACACTGACCTCGTAGGATGTAAATACTGAGTACTGCGTAATTTGTACCCATAGTTGACGAGTAGAATAGATTCATTGGCCATACACCCTAGTACTCCATAGTACGGGGTACGAAGCACGGAGTATAGGCGCGATGGCTCATGACATGTCGGACTGACCCCGGGGCCGTGGCAGAATCCCGACTTGATCCTTTCTTTTTTTCTCTTTGACCTCCGCTGGTTTCTTTCTTCGAACCAACAAGTACGATGTATGGTCAGAGCCCTGATCCGCCCTCGCAGCCAGAGTGGCGAGTCCCATCCCTGCCGTCACAACCCCCTCAACCCCCGCCGCGTCCGCCAGCTTCATATATACCGGCCACTTATGGACCCATTTCAAGCACAGGGACAACAACAACTCCTACAGATACAACTGCATGGGGAGTGCGGTTTAACCAACACCACGCTCCCCCGTTGCCCGTGAGTCGCGCCGCGCAGGCATCCGCTGCGGATAGCTAACAGTCGCATAGCCTCGGCCGTCAAGCACAAATGAGCAACCGTATTCCTACGCGGTGCAGCCGTCAAATCCCCCCGGTCCCAATTTCGGACCCAACCTTCCTTTTGGCGGTCAACCCACGAGTCATACAAGTCCGCATCCCTATACACAAACACCACCGGCCATCCCACCTCCACCCCCGAAGATTCCACAAGGTCAGAATGCACCGACAGCGCAGTATGGCCAGCCTGCGCGTCCACCGTTACTTGCGCAAGGCGTAGGGCCAGCGGCGATGACGGGGTCCTACGCGTTCCGACCCCCGCAGCAAGTCAACACAAACACGCCGTTCGCGGGCGCGTCGGCTCTGGGCCCAGGAACACCATCAGATTGGGAGCACCTCGGCCCATCACCGGGAGATTTTGATGATGCGCCTTGGTTCCCACCACGGAGGACGCCGACGCCTCAGGAGCCTGTGCAGCCGGCTGTTGAGCCCACCAGCATCCCTCATATGCCGGGGACAAACGCGTCGGATCTACACTATCGCCCCAGAACAGATACGAATGAAACATTTTCAAGCAGTATCTCCGGCATGACGCAGCAGGGGCAAAATACCTCGAACTCTCCTGTTAGCCCTTGCACCTCACATCGGATGCCATCCCCACCCACTGTGGTCCGCGTGGATAGCACCGAGCCTGTCATGGCTACGCCGGGACGGTCGGACACCATCGGCAATGTGATTGATGCGTGGGCTCGACCATTGTCGCCTGCCGTGAAAACAGCCCAGGTGTCTGAGGACCCGGCATATCGGTCGCAGAGCCCTGGCCAAGCAACCCAGAATGGCTCGGTCGGCAACTCACAGGTACCGGCCAACCCACCAGTTGTCCAGGTTGTGCGGTCGACTTCAAATGCTTCTGTGCAAAACATGGAGAGGGCAACTAGCGTGGCCCCGCGGGTCAATCCTGATCCTTTCGAAGATCTTGACCCATGGTCCAAATCATCTTTGGAGCGCTTTGTCGCTATGCTGCGCAAGGAGGCAGTTGCTGACCTGGACGAAGAGCGCTACAAAATTTTCACGGCATTCATGGCCAAGGAAACGAAACTTCGTGAAATTTTGTATAGCATTGAACATGAGCCAGAGGTCAAACAATCGCCCCCGCAAGCTCTTGGCTCCAGTCCTCGGGCGACACCAATTCCTGCTCAGCCCAAAGTTCCCATCGAGTCGGGACTAATACCAGTTGCCTTAGAGGAGGAAACGCCGCTGTCGGCGACAACAAGGATAGAGGATGAAGACCTGGACGATGCTGGTAGTGAGTACAGTGCAGGCGGTCGCCCCATTTTCGCAGGGCGACAGAGCTCGCAATTCTTCCCGAGACTGTCTACGCTTCCTTCCGGCACTGAACCAACATCTGGTCTATCGAGAACTTCTTCGTTCCCCAGTACTGCGGACGTGCAGAAGCAGGTCCTAGAACCACTCACCACCAATCCTCCTCAGCCCATATACACGCCATTCCAGTACACGGAGGGCCCTCAGCGAGGGTCGGACAACCTCAAGTTTGACCGTCCAGCATATCAAGCGTACTCTGATCTGCGACAGGCTGCGGTCAACGGGCGGATGATGTCGCATGGGCAGGCACCTACACCACTGTCAAGAGCGAACACATCGACTGTATCTCCGGTTTTGAATGATCGAGATGAGACCTTCCTTGGTCTGATTCGTCACAAGAGTGTCGCTTATATCACCCCTACGGAACGAGAGGCTACCCCCTTGCCCCTGCTGCCAGAAGCCCTTCGCAAAAGCCGACCCAATAGCCTTGTAGAAGACCTACGTACTATTGTCTGGAAACCTTTAGACAAGCAGTCTGAGAGTTCATGGCACATAACAACTCGGGAAGAACTTGCAAAATTCCCGGACGATTTCTCATACATTCAAAAGACCATCGATCAGTGGGAAGAGGCTGCAGCAGCCAGGCGACAGAAGTTGGATCAAGAGCGCCTGCTACGCCAGGAAGAATCCGAGGAACACATTGATGATCTTTTCAATGGGAAATCAATTGGCTATGCGGACATAAATACTTTGGAAGAAGACTTCCGGCAAACCGAGGCTCGTGCTCAGCTGGAGGAAGAAAGGTGTGAGCTTGAACGCTTTACCACTGAAGTATTCAACCCCTTGGATGAATGTCTCAAAGATGAGATTGCGGCACTCCGCAAATCATACGACTCAGCTCTGAACCAGCTTGACCGGGATCAGAAGACCAAGGGTTCCACGCGCGAGCGCTTCAGCCCCTCCGTGACCATGAAAATGGTGAATGACATCCACGGCAAGCTTGAATCTCGTTTCCAGAAACGTCTCGAGATTGCCCTTGACTGTGAGCGGCGTCGGAAGAAGGCTGAGCGCCGACCCCTCGTCTTTATGGGCGATATGACTAGCCTGCGAAAACTCGATGCCGAGTTTGATCAGATGGAAAGACGCAACCTTCTGGAGGCTTGCAAGGATCGCGATGAGCGCGCCAACAGACTTATGGACTCGTTTGATGACGCGATCTTGCATGGTCTGGGCACCAACCAGAGTCTCCTTGATGAGGTTGCCACCAAAGCAGCTCAGCTAGATCCCACTGCTCTTCGTGCCTCCGGTCTGTCGGACTCCGAGATTGAACAGATCCTTAAGTCCGCAGCGACCTTTGCAGCATCTCTTCTTAGCGACTCGGAGTCGATTCTTCGCAGCTCAGGGGTTGCGGACATGATTCTCAACGACGCCGACTATGGGATCTCTGTCGCCGAGGCGCGGTATGCAAACTCGGACCCGGAGATTTTCCATCGGCTGGCGGATGAAAAGGAGAAAGAGGACGAGAAGATGCAAAGTGAGCTAGACTCGAAGCTGCACAGTATTCAGAAGGGACCCAAGAAAATCGAAAGCATGGTCGAGAAGCTTCTTCTTGACCTGAAGAATAGCCCTCCAAGCGAGGATCGGCGCCCTCGGGTCCCAGGCTCTGCCCCGACCAGTCCTGTCGACGTTGATTTGCCTGCCAGTCTTCGTTCTTCAAGTACCGCTCCTGTCTCATCCAATGCCCCGCTAGTCAGCCCCCAGGATGGCGATCTCGAGCACAAGGAGAGGCTTCGCCGAGCGCTGGAGGAAGCCAAAAAGCGCAACGCTTCCAGAAATCAATAACCATGAGTGAATAGCCATAGATTCTACGATGATACGAATTTTCCCCCGTATACCCCCCTGCTCTCCTTTTTCTGTTTTGTTGTGATTTTCCTAGTTGATACCCACTTTATGCAGTGCTAGTTGAATGAAGACTAGGGTAGAATGACTAGAACATTTTGCAGATTCAGGTTCTTCACGCTGTCTCAGCCTCTATTGCTCTTAGCCTCAATTGTTCTTAAAGAAATGCATAATTTGGAAGAACACACAGCGAGTGCTGAATCTGAAATCAGAATCCCAAACCGGTTCGGAGTATTTTTCCTGGTGACACAAGTATTTCCTGACATTCCAACCATCTCAACCACTTCAACCCAGTGTTTCCCTGCGAACCCGACCCCTCCGCAATTGAATTATCACACCAAACCTCGATCAGACGTGGAGTTCGCGCAGTGAAGCTGCGTGTGGAAACTTGGGGGCCGAAGTCAAGTGATTCCAGCGCGCACAGACGACACCTCCAGGGCTCCCAGTCTCGATGTGGAAGTTACCCTACGCCTATGAGAAGTGATGAAGTGATTCAAATCAAGTCGATTAGGCGCCCGAAGAAGGCGATTGGCAGACGACAGCCAAGCCCGGGTTTAACGCCAAATATTGCCGATCAGCCGTGTTGCGTAGTCAATGTCCGCAGCCCGGGGTACTTGGGCCGCACCCAACAGCGGAGAGCATGCTTAAAGCCCACTCTGACGGGTCTGTCTGTGCTGTTTGCTGCGCGCTATGCGCGGGCTGCCTACGCCCTGAGTTGTTTGGGTGTCGACCCAATGCTAGGCCCTTCGCGGCCGAAGTCCTCGGCGCAGGACCCCTTATCACGTTGAACATACTTTGCTCTTTCGGGGACTCCGGTCTCATTGGGGCGGTTTTTCTGGGCGATATGCAATGCAGAGATTCGCTATCACAGATTCAAATGCCCTGTCCAACTTATGACGCACCTGGGACAAAGACCAGGACCTGCTTCTCGTCGGCTGGCGTCTCCGTCTTTTGAGACATGGACATACCGAAATACTCACGCCATTGCCAAGCAGCTATCTGAGTACCCCTGCTCATCTGCAAAGGTCCGTCACAATTTCCAAGGTTTACCACGTTGGCCACGTTGGCCACGTTGTGCAGGGTAGCTCCTGCGCGTCCTGGGGGTTTGGCTTTTTCTTTGATGCACGAGCTGGAAGTAGCTGTGGCACTGAGCCACATCGAGCCATTGGGTCACCGCTACCGACCTATCCGAGAGTGATGGCAGAGTGAATTCTCCACCACGGAACATGCTAGGGTACAATTCTAGCCAACGAAAAGAAGGGCACGCTCCATTGGCGGGTCCGAAAGGTGCTCTTGCTGGAGCTTCCAAAGAATTTCGAAACTCCCTTGTGGTCGGGTCGACGATCCCTGCGCACCAGATACACACAGACTACGCTGGCCGCAGTCTCTCCCGAGTCCCTGGAACCTCGCCATCCGTTCCTCGGTCCGCTCACAAAAAAAAAGGTCACCCACGGCGTCTACTTTACATGCTTCGCCAATGCAAGTCTTTGCACTGGTCAACTGTAGAACCCAATTCTCGCAACTATTGGGGATCAACATACCGGGTTGAACTTTAGGTCCAATTCTCAATTACACCGCACATTCTTTGTCGGCCATATACATGCAATTGCTTTCACTGCGCAGTGCTCTTAGCCCGGCCGGCTGCATCAGATCCCCGTAGCCCCCAGGGCCGACAATGTGTTGCTTTGGGTCCCAGCCACCAGACCCCGGATCTTTCATTCCACTAGATCCCCCTTTAGTGGGCGTCTGTGCGCCGTACGATGCTGATCAATCTAGCCATCCAAACATAGTTGAAACGGCGCCGGCCTTGTTGAGACATCATATCCCCTTCGGCCTGCGGTCCCCAAACTGAGCCTCAAATTCCCGCCTCTTCGCCACCCGATATTGTGCCCCTAAGCGCCGTTGGACACAAAGACCGGATTTATCATTATTATAATTCTGAGAATATCAGAAACAGGAAAGAGGAAAAAAGTGAAATAAGAAAAAGGAAATAAGAAAGCGATGCTGATATATCGGGACTCGAAAATTCTCAGTTGGGCGAAAGACCTAATTATTTAAAGCGGGCGCCAGGGAAGCCCGTTCCATGGTTCAACTGTACCCGCTTCCGTCCATGGGTCGGAAGAACTCTGTGAGTACTGACAGGAACCCTCTTACTGGTTTCTTTTTTTCGCCATGACCGCCCCTACAAGTCAATTTCACAGGCTGTCCATCGGTCCAAACATGTCTGATCAGACACTGCCTGCCCGCGGGCGGCCGAACCCTCACGACAGTGACTCTCCCTCAGAGGCTTCCAGCGAGGAGGGGAGGGAGACGAGCGAGGTGTCGGAATCGACCAGCGCATCGATTCTGGCCCCCTCGGGCATTACCTATGACCTGAGCCACCTGGACTCTGAGACGGAAGCCAGAGCTCTCGTGGGACTGACGGGCAGCTTTGACGTCGTCAACAGTCAGCACACGTCCGCCGGGTATGACTTCCAGCTGATCGATCGCCCCCGGGTGCGCATTGGCGCGGACTCGTCGACGTGCACCTGCGCGGTCTTTCAGAGTCATCCGGACGGGGCGTGTCACCACATCTTTGTGAGTATCCCTCGTCCCCGCGTGGAGGGGCAGTGAGCCGGTGAAATGGAGGGGTTCTAGAGAATCAGGAAGGCTAACACCTACCCCTGAATAGTGGCTCGTCGACCAACTTCATGGCTGCTTTGTGCGAGACCCTCCGTCGACAGAGGTAGCGCTGGCTCCGGACGGACGCCCAGATCTCCCACGGCTGGAAAATCTCCTGGAGGGCAACTTGGAGGCAGTTACAGCCCAGCTCCGGTGGCAGTGCCCCCAGGATGAGGGTGGGGGCACCGGCGGTAGGATAGCTCGCACTCAGAAGATGAAAGACATCTTGTCTGCGTTCTACCCTCCGATTCCTGAGGAGTTCCGACAAGACTTGACCGAGACGGCCGAGCCTGCACGGACCTTAGAGCAATGCGTTGTGCAGGGAGACTTCGTGGCCACCATGGCTCGTTTGGCAATGGTCAATGACAACTTTTCCGACAACTTTTTCGACGTGATGCAGCATAGGATCATGCCAGCCGGTGCCTGTGCGGCCATCTACTTTGACAAAGTGCTCGACCAGTCCCGCCGACTTCTGAACGACTTCGATCGATACTGCTCAGCCGAGCCGCACACCGAGGCCAGCCAGGGGAAAGGCGTGAGCGTCAACGAGGTCGTGACACAACTGCAGCTTTCCGTATCTCGCATTGCGACCAACATCACAGCTCGGAGTCCACATGGGAGCGAACGCGCTGGTGAAGCTCTGGTCTCTCTCCTCGAGTCCGTGGTGGCCCGCAACAACGATGCGCTTGAAAACAATCGCTTCCGCGACTCCTTCAACGGCGAAGATGAAGACCAGCGCAATATCTACCATCTGCTTATAGGTTCGATCGAGACCGATTCTGAAACAGACGCGCGGCACTTTGTGCTTCACGCGCTAAATGCGCTGCCGCCACTGGACGTCTACCAATTCGAGAACCGGCTGCAGGACATCCTCCGCAAACTCGAGGTCAACCGTGCCCCCAAGCAATATCTTCTCCATCTTGGCTCTCTCCTGCAAGCTGCGAGGTCCGCTGCTGCCATGGCATCCGGGCAGAAACGCCCTGCTGCCGGAAATGGCAACTCAGGAGGTTATTCGAAACGCACCCGCTGAGGTGCCGTACATATCTGTTCATACGTTTCATACGTTTTCTTTGCTGTTATCAATTTGGGAGGTCATCGTGTCTATGTTCATTCATTGCAATACCCTCCTGCATGTTATGTTTACGTTCCAGCGATGAACGTCACTGCTTTTATCAACTTACGATGTCTATATCTGATTACGAGCTGTCATTTAGAACTTTCCTTATCTTACATCTGCTTCATTCTGCCACACCCCCAGCTCTAGAGGCAAATGGTGGCGCAGGAATGAGGCAAATACGAGCTTCATGAAGATGTCGTCACATCCAGACCCAGTACTGCGGTTGGGGAATCCAAATCCATGGTCCGGCATGGGACCCGGGGAGTGTCACAAGTGCGCATGGCAGACTTAGCCCGATTTGAGACATCGATCCATGGAACAGTCCTCGGTAGAGTGTGGGTCAACCACACTTTGAAAATGTTTGATTTTCCCAAAAAAATCATCGACCAAAAACGGAGACCCGGAACAGATTGCCATCCAATGCCAATTCCAAATACCCTTCCCATGCACTCGGAACGGAGATGTCGGCATCGGAGATGCTCGGTATAGCTTGTAGTAAAGTGTGGTTGTTTCCACACGCGGCAAAATCTGGGGCTTGATGTCATTTCCATGGAGATGTCCAGTTGACCTCGGGAACGAGATCGGATCGTGATTCTCATGCACAACATCGATGATTTTCGGGCTTTGCTCGGGTTTAGACTAGAAAAAGGTGTCGGATACTCCATAATTAATGTGAAACCCACATTTTTGCGGAAACTCTCGTATCAAGTGGACAGGACGCGTTTAATCTTGTTTTTTTTAAATAAAAAAAAATTGCATAGTTAAGCAAATGAGAAATTCTCACTTTCTCCATACTTCCGTGCGTAGGTAGTACTACTAGTATAGTGATGTGCGACTGGGATGGGTATTGGGGCCGTGCACACTGCAGCATTCCTGGGTCACTTGGGGGCTAGTGCGCTTAGTTTTAAGCCTGTTTCCCATTTAGGCGCAAGTACAATGGCATTCTTATGTACTACTGGGAGGGTATAACTTGGTGTCTGTGCGGCTGTGGGAATGTCTGAGTCAACTCACCTGTTCGATCTTTTTGACAATTATATCTTCCACTACCTAGTACGTACTGTACAGTACTAGTCGTGGTTTGCGTCCCATACTTGGACCACGGGTTTTGACCTGTGACTGTGAGACAGGTCACAGGGCCAGTGCGATTGTTGCCTACCTAGGGTTGCAATAAATCCATTGATATACTGTACAGTATGCTATGATCTATGCAGTAGATTTACGAGTATGAATACCCGTTGACCCTTCTTTGAGCCAAATATGCTTGAGTACCTAGGTACGTTTGAAGTTGGCGAGTATGTAGCAACAGGTCAAACTTTACTATCATTCACGCGTCGCAGCGACTCCTATATACTGTACATGCCTACCTAGTCTTGGTATCCAGGAGGCTTAACAAAACATACAGACCTTTAGATAAACAGAAATTAGAGTGCCCTACGCAGTACTAGCACGAGCCTTGCAAGTGCTTCGTCTCACTTGGATGGGCTAGGGTTATTACTCCAGTACGAGTATTAGTGATGTTCCTAGCAAGCAGATATCACAGTGATTGTTCAACAATAGACTGAGCCAAATCAGATGGTCACTGTGATGCCTAGGTAGGTAATTATCATGTCGTCCAGAGTAGCTCTAGCTGCCATCCATGGATACTGGATGAGCTAGAATTTAGGTTTGTACTACACATTTGTCGCATCCCTTACATCAAGTAGGCCGGCTGGCCCAATGGCAAGGCGCTTGACTACGAATCAAGAGATTGCAGGTTCGATCCCTGCGTCGGTCACTTCTTTTTTTTTCTCTTTGAATTTTTTTTTTTGGTTCCTCGACGATCATCCTCATCGTTTCTTTCTACAGTATGTATAATTGTTTTGTTTTTGAGATGCTACATATTACAGTAGACACCTGATCTGAATTGTGTCCTGCCATGGACTCAATATAATTACCTAGTACCTAGTGGTTTGATTCAAACCTTCAATGTTGGAATATGTATGGGCCGCGCCCGGGCAGTTATATATTCTAAGACCAGTCTGCCTGTATACACCCATACCTGCATGATCTATAGGTACACTCGAACCTTGAAGGTTGGCAGCACCTCATCCATGGATCTCGTAGGCACAATTTATTATACCTACATATGTATATACATTCAACAGAATACATTCAACACGAAATATACACAGCTCAACTACCCAGAAAGATCCAGAACAACCCTGCCCTGCACCCTACCCTCACTCATCTCCTTAAACACCTCCGTCAAAGCCTCCATCTTCTCCACCCGATAATGCGCCTTCAAGATCCCCCTCGCAGCAAACTCCATCGTCTCAACAGCCTCCACCCGACTCCCCACCGCCGATCCCGTTATACTAATCTGTTTCCCAATCATCGCAGACGGGTGCGCCGTCGCAATGGCCTGGGGCTCATGCTCCGGGATGCCCACGCAAACTAGCACGCCCTGGAAACGCAGCAACGGCAGTGCCTGCGCATATGCCGCATTCGCAGCAGTGCATACAATAGCAGCATGCGCACCCACTCCATCCGTCAACGACTGCACGTACTCCGTCAGTGCTGCGCCCTTGTCGTCTTTCGGGAACTGAGTGATATCGATGAAGTGCTCGGCTCCGGAATCCTTCACGATGCCCTCTTTGCTGCCGTGGTCAATGCCGATGACGCGGAGGCCCATGCCTCGGCTGGCGAGCTGGACGGCCATGTGGCCGAGTCCGCCGCCGGCGCCAGAGATGACGACCCATTGGCCTGGGCGAGCGCGACTGCGCTTTAGCGCCGAGTAGACGGTCACTCCGGCGCAGAGGAGAGGTGCTGCCTCGGCGGAGTCGAGGCCTTCGGGGATGGGAGTGACGTAATTCGCGGGACCGAGGGTATATTGTTGGAATGTGCCTGGCGTGTAGTAGCCGGAGACTTTCTGGTTGAAACAGCTTCCATCGGAGCCGACTTGGCAGGGATCTAAGATGTTCTGGCTTAGTCTGAATCCTGATTGATTGGGTTGGAGAGGAATGTATCACGTACGACAGGTCCCGCATACGCCGGAAACCCACTTGATGCCGACTCTGTCGCCAATTTTCAGGTTTGAAGCCTCGGTGCCTGCACCGAGCTTAACGATCTTGCCTACACCCTCGTGGCCACCAACTTGGCCTGGTGGAGTAGGCAAAGGGAGTATACTCCATGTGTTGGTCATGACACCGAGGTCGGAATGACAGACACCCGAATGTGTTCTGTGATTGATCAGTAATGGGGTTGTTGAAAGCGAGCCAGCATAGACTTACAGGTTGATCAGGACCTCACCAGCGCCAGGCTCTGGCACCTCCAGGTCCACAACCTTAGTGGAAATGGTTCCAGGCTGGTCGTAGACCGCGGCCTTGTATGTCTGGGGAATGTCGACCATTGTGAAATTGTATCAATGTGAGTCTGGATATGTGAAAGCAATTGAGAAGATCGAACCTTGGAAGAGGACGAGGTTGGCAAGCTCCATAACACCCCCGCGCCAAGTGAGGAGACAGTGGAGAAACTCCGGGGATTCGGATGTGATATGTTCACAGCCTTAGCATATGCACTCTGTTTGCCCAGCCTCGGAACGTCGATCTGCCGATATTGTAACCTGCATAAGTTGACCTCGGTTGCATTTGTGTCAGTCATAGCTGCGGAGGTCGTTCTAGTATACCAACACAGATATACCAACATAGAGTACTCCGTAGTATGACATCCACGTCGAAGCTTGTTATAGATCTACAGAGCCGAGATTGATTCCCCAAGGGTCCTCACGGCAGATAATACGTAGATAGATTCAAGATAGAATAATTTCAATTGGAAATGATCGCTCAACCTGGAATCCCGCCCACCTCGTAATGGTACATGCATTGTTTCTTAATTTCCAACCCTCGCTCATGAGAACAGAGCTGGTCGGATGGACTCTTGCAATTCCTGCCCCTCAAACTACGAAAAGTCAGCAATCGAACCAGCGCAACGGAAATTCAGATACATACCTCCATAAAGTCCGTGGCAGAAACAAGAGAAATAAACGCCTTGACCAACTCGTGGAGAGTGGCTTGGTGGGCAGAGGATGTGCTCCCAATATTGGCAGACCGCTTGAAGATCCCGACCATGCAGGGCCGGTTTGTAGCCAAGAATGATCGAGTCTGCTCCTGGATCTGCGCGTTATCGATTCCACGAGAAAAGACGGTATACACCACGAGTCGAAGGACCGACAATAGAAGGTCATAGTATCGTTGCAGAGCGTCGGGGTTTTCGATGTCTATGCCAATGTCGGGGTCTGCGGCGAAAAGACGCGAGGCGTGAACGGCCTGGAAGAGACCAGAGTTGAGAACACACTTTGCGCCATTCTTTGTTTGGGACAGACGTTGGAGGAAAGACAACAAGGACTCGTAGTAGGATAGCAGTGCTGGGGTATCTGACATGGCGTTAGTATTAAGGCATTGCGGTTGGTATGTGAGAGACTTACCGCTTTCCTGAGCGTTGTCAAGTTCAACGGGAAGAGATCGAAGCACGTCCAAGAAGAGGCTGAGGTAATTCGACCGAGAGATATGCTCTGCTAGAACACAATCAGTTTGGCGATCCAAGACCGCCAAACTGTTCAATAGCACAAGAGCAGATGCACGGGAAGATTCTTGGCCAGTGTAGGCGTCGTCGCAGATGGTCTCGATGAGACGAGATCCGGACGATTTGATGACCTGCTGGCTAAGACGTCGGAGGTTTTCATGTGTCTTAGTTGACGATGTGATGCGATTGACATAGTGAGAGCAGATACCATAGAGGGTTTCCCTCAATAGTACGTTTCCTGTAGCCAAGTTCGTGCCGCGCATACACAGTAGGAAAAGCTGGTGTAGTTTTTCATCGATCACATCCCCGCTGCGAGACGCCGTTGATGCACCGGAGGCAAGAGCACCGATCAGTAATTCAGCCAGTCGTGCCAATTCAAGCGCGTCAGGGAGGCCGGCCTCGATAGCTGCCGTGAGCTTAGGGCTGATCAGTTGGATCGTGTGAAGAATGAACACGGGTTTACTTTCTTCCTCCAGAGCGGAGCAAGTGATGAGGGTGGCAACCAGCTCCACCCAGGATCGGAGGGCGAGGTAGCGATTTTCCCGAACGACTCGTTTCTGGCCCATTTCGATAATGTAGGATTTCAGGAGCTGGGCTTCGAAAAGAAGTTGCTCCTCATTCTGTGCCCGGAGAACTCCATAGGAAGCTAACTCTGCCCGTCGAATGTGAATCATTTGATCAACACCGTCGGGGTCGTACACGCCCTCTTTCTGCTTTTGCTCAACCTGCAGGAAAACACCATGGAGAAGAGAGAGGCTAGGGGCGCTGGGCTCAGGGCCAACATCGAGATCCGCGAAATCGAACAAGTCGAAGATGGAGGGATTGGAAGTTGACGTGGCTGTCTCTGTAACAACCTTGCCAAGCAAGATGGATAGAATATGGGCATGCAAAGCCGGCGACCGAGCTTGCGCTGCCGAACGAACTTCAGTCGCAGCATAGCTGAAGAGGTGACTCCGGTAAAGTAAGAACTCTGCAATGGAATTTGCACCATCTGTGAGCCAGAACTCATCGTCCGCAGCAGACTCATTCCAAGATGTGTTGGGGCCGACGATAAGTTGGTTGGTGAACATATCGCAGAGGAATCTCTGAGCACGCATTTCACCCAGTGTGTAAAAGCTGGCCAGCTTGGACGACCAGAGATGTTTCAAGACCTCGATAGCCATGCGTTTGAGATGCACCGCCCAAGACATGATGGTTCCATTGATTTCCTCGGGATAAGTCCTCAGGAAATCAATGAGGGCATGCAGCAAAGATGTTTGGTTTGCGAACAGCCCTTCCGATGACACATCGAGGATAGTACCCACACACTCAAAACCTAGCAGGAGATGAGCTACTGTCGGACGATCGGTGATGTATTCTAGGCAGGTGTTGAGGAGAGCGAGAAGCTTCTCCCGAATGACATAGCCGCCTGCAGCAGGACCGAATGCGAATTCTCGGGCATCCGGTTTCATTTGGTCAACAAGCGGATAGGTAATGCTATCCATATTGACCTCAGATGCCAGTACTTCCACGATCTTGTTGGAAGATTGCCACTTGGTAAGTTCAGGAGAGCTCATTCTGTTGAGCTTCCTGGAGCTGGTGAGTTTTTCCAGAAGAGTCATTGATGTTATTGTGAGTTGCTGATGTCCTGTGCTGCAATACATACACAAGGACGTGATGAGCGAGAGATTGTTCAGCACACTATCCTCGAACGAGGCGAGTGAGGAGTTGGCCACAAATGTCCGGGATGCCCCAGGCTGGGAACGTATTATCGGCTTGACAATGTTGAAGTAGGTGGACTGAAGATCAACGAGGAGGTCCATGACCTCGAGGCTTCGGAGCAAGGTCAAAACCAGGAGAGAGTCTGATGGCGAGATGACAACTTCTGGAGTGTTCTGTTTGGAGACTGCGAACAGAGCCTTGAGAACATTCTCATTGAAGAACCAGTCCAGCACACGTGCAAATGGATGAGCGCAAACATAAGCGAGAAGTGAGGAGGTTTGCTCTGGAGAATCGGATATAGATGGCTCGCCCAAGACCATGACCAGATCTTGATTGAAAGACCTCAGGCTTACTACCACAAATTCGAGACAGCCAAAGTTGAGCAGGCGAGATTGATACTCGCTGAGATCCTGCATTTTCCGGGAAAAGGCATGCCCCAAGACAAAATCGATGTAGGGCTCGATTCCGGACATGCGATAGGTACCACCTAATGCCTCCGGGAAGGACAGTGCCATGATGTCTTCAAACAAATCTGACGGAGTTGATACGAGTGAGTTGATGAGAGCAACAAATGCATTGGTCTGATCAAAACTCTCTCCAATTGTCTTCAAGGCCTGTTGCTGATGCAACATAGCGGGATTGGATACCAATGGCAATTTCCCAATACTTGCGCTCATGGATCCTCCTGACAACCATCCGTCGAGACGTGTCCACATTTCATTTCCGACGAGGGAAGATTTGTCGGTCATAAGGAATGAAAGAGTTGAGAAAATCGTTGCACGAAGGTGCGTTGGAATGGACCCACTGCACAGATCCAACAGAGTGTTGGCCACGTCGAAGGTCTCGTTTTGCAACATCCACTGACGGATCACTTCACTCTGCTTGCAAAGATGACCCATCAATCGAAGGTAGCATGTCAGCATAACAGGGCTCTCAGGCTCATTCATCTCTACAGGCTCTGGCTTGCGTCCGAGATACATGCTCGGTCCCTGTACAGCTGCTGTTCCACCGGAAGGTTTTTCGGTGACGCGAGATGCGTAGAGCTTGAGCTCGGCAAACATTTGTGACCAGCTCATAGTCGTAGACCGCTTGAACTTGGTAGACATAAACCTTTCTTCTTCCGTCAAAAATTTGTGCGCTGCAGCTGCGTTTTCCTCGCCCTCAGAGATTGAGCACAGCATTTCGCAGAAAGCGCTCACTCGAGGAACGGTTTGCCGCTTGGACGCCCATTGAAGGAAGCCATACAGGTTGCCATCTGGATCGCCCCAGAATTCTTGAGCAGCCTCCTCCCGATGCTCAAATGCAAACGCAATAATCATCAGAAGGGACTCGAGGTGAGTGCGCGCCTCAACCAACCCACGGTGGAGATTGGAAGTGAGACCATCGCGAAGTGCGGTAATTTGCTCTAGGCGCTGCGAGTCCTCCTCGGACTTCAATTGTCGGACTGCATCAGGCATATTGGCGATGCAGGTCTCCACAAAGACTTCAAAGTTCTCCATCAACAGCTGTTTCATGAAGGCGGAGCAAGACTCGGACTCAGGCAATGAGACTACGCTCTCCCTTAGAAGTAGCGAAACTAGCTCGCTTCGTGCGGGATCCGCCCATTCCTGGTCATTGACCGTAGAGCATATGGCCAACATGAAATCAAGAGCTCCATCGTCAAGGGAGGTCATGAAAGTCTTGGTGCGCTGTTCGGATTCTTTCTCGGCATCGACTGAGGGAGATGTCATTCCATCAAAATACCATCCGCTGTAAACCGAGATCCACAAAGCAGTAAGGCATGCATGGAAGTTCGGTAGTTTCCAACCTTGGCTCTCTTGTGGCGATGTCATCAATTTGTTCAAATCCCGGGCCACTTTCTCAGATCCAGACCCTTCGGGGGAACCATGTTGCACAAAGGCGGCAATCGTAACAGGCATGTAGTCGAATAGTTGTCCGTCGAACCGATCCAGGGCTTTCAATTTCCCCACGAGAGCGCGGAAGTCTTCGGGACTCGTGTAAGTGTCCTTGAACATGTAGAAGATAATGGCTCCAAGCGATTCGTGCTGCTGCCGGAGACTACCACGCTGGAAATTAATAGCCTCCATGACATCGCTGTCAGTATCCTGGCCAACGAGAGTGGCTTTTTGAGCTTGATCTCCAAGAAGCGTTATCCATCTTTCAATGTCCTCCATTGAACCCAGAGCCTTGCGTGCAAAGAGGGAAGCATTTTGTAAAGAACTGCCCTTGATTTCGAGGACGTGGGATAAGGTTTCTTGCATGACCCCTAGGGTTTCTTTGCGTTCGAATTCGTGGGCTTCTTTGAAAATGAGGCGTAGACACTCCAGAGTAAACAGGCGGCGCTCATGGAAGGATAGGATGGCTGCGATTAGAGGGGGTCGATCCATCGCCTGGGAGTCTTCCTGGGCGGCTAAAAACATCTCGGCAGCTTGCAATTCATCAATGTCCAAGGCATCAGCTAGCTGTAGCGCGCCCTGCTGGAAATCCGTGTTGACCGAATATTCAACCTCCGCAACGGTAATCTTCCCTAGAATGTCGCGCTCAACGTCAATGTACTGCCACGGAGTGGAACAAACGAAAACTAATCGGCAGGAATCACTCACCTGAGAGGACTGCCTGGCGACTGGCATTGTTCTTTGCGGGTTTGTCGAGGAGCTTGCGGAAGTCTTGAATGTGAGCCTCCAATTCGAAACAGAGTCGTTCCACATTGTCAAGGTGTCCTTCTGATACAGCAGAGAGGTCCTGGTACAGACCACGCAGGTCAGTCCGAATACCTTGGAGCTCTGCCATGACGGCGCGGGGGAGTGAGGTGCAAGGTGAAGCTCGAAGCTCTGTTTGGCCCAAAAAGGCGGAACGCGATCAAAATTCCGGGCGGTGTGAGGGGTTAATCGGGCGGCCACGAAGTACTGCCAAACAATCGCGACTCTGTTGACACTTCTATTAGCGATGGCTTTTGATTAGAAACCTTAAGGGTCATCACATTGGCGCATGCTGACACGCTTGATGCCACCCTGACCGTGATCATGGGAGAAGTCTTTCTCGACAAAACAATCGGCCTCTTGTCGTCCGACAAGCTGAAGACCCGCTCAGAGGGATTAGCAGACCTCAAGCATATCCTTCAGCGAAACAAAGGCTCTAAGCTGTACGTGTATACATGAAGCCCTCGGGGGAACCGGTGTGGAATCTGTCTAATCAAATTCACATGCAGACAACAACTCAACGATAAAGCTTGCCATAAGGTTTTCCAATCATTGTTCCGGTTCATCGCGACGGAAAGATCAATTTACAATAAGAGCCAGTCGAGCACAAGGAGCACGTCTGCATTGCGACTTTCATCATGTGCATCTATCATTCGGATGGCCGTTGATATCTTCCAGAGAAATCTGAGGATGAAAACAATCCGTGCCATCATCGATCACATAACTGAAACCATACCAGTCCCCGGAGAAGGCCTATGGGAACCACTGAGCTTAGATTACATCAAGAGCTTAGCATCCCTTCTACGGTATCGACCTCATGTGGAGCATCTGGGCGAAGACGACTGGGAAGCCCTCATTGGATTTTGCCTTGCCAGCATAGGCTTACAGGACAATGAAGAGAGCCAGCTTAGCATCCGAAGTACTCGGTCTGGGAACGACGATTCGAGTGAAGGCCGTTCAACGCCTTCTAGAATGACACCTGCTCCAGCCACCCGAGAAAGACACAATGCCAATAGGAATTCCATTGAGGAGGTGATGCTGTGCATTCAATACTTGACAGCAGCCCCAAATGCTTTCCTTCAGAGTAAGGCCCAGACCGTCCTTCACGGACTGGTAGGGTTCGTCGAATCACCCCCAACCGGCGTATCTGGTAATACACACCAGCTCGCATTCAGTAGCATCAATGCAGTCGTTACGAAAGTCTTGTTTGATCAATCCGATCTCGTTTGTTCGTGTCTGTTGAACTTGGTTCCAGTAATACGCCGCCTTTGGGCCACCACCAAGCTACAGGCCTTGAAGGATGAGCTGCTCGTCACTCTGATGCTCTCTCTGGTGACACTGGTGGATGCCGCACAAAAGAGCCCGTCTGAAGCCCTGGCACTTGACATCAAGGAGCTTGTCACTATGCTTCATTCGGAATACGTGGAAGGTCCCCCAAAGCAAAGTCTACAAATCGATGAGGTAGTGTTCTTTCAGAAGGACACTGCATGTCAAATGCCTGTATATGGACCTCGTCTGGGCCTTGCTAGATCGGAATATTATTGGACAATGATCTGGATGATTGCAGAGCTGTTTAAGCTTTCAGAACACATCAATGCCTGCGTCAAGGCCACTGGATCTCACGAAGATTCGGTCAAAAAAGTGCGCTCTCAGTCCGAGATACAAGATATCTTTCGAGATGCTGTCTCCGCAACAGGTACAAGACGAACGTGCGCATTGCAATTAATTCCGTTCCTCGAATCCGAACTGGACAATGAAACAAAGGAGATATTTCTCAGAAGACTCGTCTCGAGCATCTCTGACGACAGCGGCACAGTGTCATCGTGGACAATGGTAGCCCTGACAAGGTACGCATAAATAATACACCAATTCCTTCGGAGACTCACGGGGACCCCCTGGCGAACTTCATCGAGGCCACCTCAAACCCTTCATTAAGTAGTTGCTGACGATCAATCGACTTTAGTATTGCAAATGGACCAACTGCGAGGTCACCCGAGATCAGAGCGCACTGGCCGCGAGCCGTTGACCTTGCCACTCGTAACTGCTCATCTCCATTGACTTCGAGGGCTGCTTGCCACCTTTTGTGTACTATCTTACAGTCAGACCTATTGGATTACTCAGTCGCCATGGAGAAAACCCGTTTAACCCTAGCTTCTGTCAGTGGACCACCTGCTATCTCGGATTCATCTCTTAGGCTATGGACATTTATTGCCCGCAACAGGACGCAGCCTGACCCAGGATCCGCCCAAGAAACTGCGAAAGAGATTTGTGCCTGGCTGAGGGAGGTTTGGACTTTTGGAATGTCTGATCGAATTCAGACAACCCGAGTGGCCGCATATGCTCGGCCTACGGAGCTCTTGGATCTCTTATTATCATGCACCAACCGGTACCTTTCCATACCTCACTACCACCTGGCCGGACCAGTGGGAAACATTGCTCGCAGTTGGTTCTTCCTCCATGAGAACCGGGAGCTGTTAGAATACAATTTCCACACGGGCACTACTCAATATCTCAATCCATGGGGACCTCAGGAAGAATTGTCACTGGAACAGTCAGTCACGGAAGATTCAAACGATGCAGTTATATTAGAACTGCTTCGTTCGCGATCTGAATTTTTCCTGCAAGCATGGCATGCAATGATTGAGGAGGGGCCACATATCACGCCAGAAAGCTTGCAAATCTTCGCCTCTTTTTGTGTTGTGACTTCTCTTTTTACATCATGCCTTTCTCAATCGACCCAGTCTCAATTTCAAGAGCTACATCAGAGTTTCTCAAAACTCTGGGATTCGATTTGCAATTTCCTGACAACCCATGAGTCTGCATTCACCCACAGCTGCCTAGTCTTGATTTCGCCGCTTCTAGAACCATTGATGGACCACCAAACCCCTTCCGCTATTAAGACTAGCTTGGAAGAGCTTGGCGCACCACTATCAAAAGCACTTGAGCATCTGCGCCAGAATTCAAAATCTCAATCCAGTGATGATCCCATGGATCTAGACGATCGATTCTCAAGCGAACAAACCTCAGCAGCAGTTGATGAGACGATTCTTGCTATGAACCGAACCTCTGACCTTATCCTTCACGACGCAGATACCTTCCAACGTTGCGTGACAGTTCAGCTATCAGCCTACCTTGCATTCAATGCAGACTCTCGGTCCATCGACACTTCGGAAACATCTCGTGTTATCGAATACTTGACAGGCTTAGATGAACCTGACATCCTCGCAGCCCAGGCTTTCTTGCCGAAGGTTTATCGAAAATGCTCGAAATCTACTCCCTCTGAGATACTCTCACTTCTAGAGGATTTGGGTGAAAAATGCCTTCAGTCTTACGACATGGAGAGATGCGAAGCCTCGCTTTGCGTTTGCATTGCCATGATGGCCAGTTTCCAAGACTCATGGACGATAGGAAATGACGAAAACCTCAAGGAATCGGCCATGGATCTGTATCAATGGTTCATGGAGGTGCCCCTGGCTCGGAAGCAGGCTACTTCCAAGGTCTACATTGCCTTAGCTGAGCTCATTCAGGATGTTCTCGGAAGCTCCTCCTCATATGGCAACCAGCGGTCCCTCCCGTCACCTCGCACAAGTTTGTTCACAATTCTTCGTGAAGGAGACATACGGGTTAAGTTCGACATTGCGAAATTCATTCCAACTTTATTCGAGCGTTTCCTTTTCAAGGACCACGACGCAATCTTTGACGATGTACTCGAAACTCTACCTCGAGATCCGGAATGGATAGAAGGTATCGCAGTCCGTCTCTTTGTGCTCTCCCAATTAGCTTCGAAGTGGCACACATTGCTGCGAAGGAGCATTTACCACTTGTTTGAAACCCCGGCTCAAGTGCCACAATCCCTATGGTATGCTGAGAAGTGCATGAGATCGGTATCTCGGACTCTTGGCCTTCAAGACGCCAAGGAGCTTTTCCAGCTTTTTTCCTCTCAAATTCTTTACACCTGGACAGAGATTCAAGATATCATGTCAATGCCGTTTAGCATCTTTGGGTATGAAAGCCTCCGAGAGATGCTTCGGGATGTTAAAGACGAAGTCGTTGGTCAAATGACTATGCGTGCAAGAGAACAGGAGACCATCGAGCTCGCCAACTACTTGGAAATACCTCATCTTGAGCTCTTGACTTCTTCTTTCCACAAAGCCGAAGCATACAGCATTGCGCGCGACATCAGCACTCGCCCTAGCCAGGGAAGCCAGCCAAAGGCCGTTGAGCCTCGTTTGCAAAGACTCATCGGCGCTGACAATTTCATAACTCAGGTCGAAAGACAATTCCCCTCTATCATTGCTGACTTTTTTGCATCCCTTGACTACTACGACCAGATTGAGAGGGCGTTTTCCAAGCGCCAAGACTTTATCTACGCACAAGACATACAGACGCAGATCTTTGACAGGAGCTCATCTCAGAATGTACTTCCAGCAAACCAACAGCCGTCTTTTCGTGCACGTTATCTCCTGGTCGAACTCGAAGTACTCTGTGATCGTGCTGGATTCGAGTTCGGATCGATCTGGACACCTTCACTGGTATCATTTGTGTGTCGCTCGCTATTTGAGACCATTCATCCCGCTCTAGGCTCACTTCATGCCTGCTCGGTGGTACGAAAAATCAGGATTGTTGTCTGTGTAGTTGGTCCGATCATACTACAAGACTATCCTTTTGAGATGACGCTCGGCGCTCTACGTCCCTTCATTGGCGACGTTTATTGCGCCGAAGATGCCATTGGTGTTGTCTGGTATCTTCTTGAAGCCGGCAAGTCATATCTCCAGGAAAACCCGAGATTTGCTGCAGGAATAGCCGTCACAATTCTTGTAACTCTTCGCGCATCATATTTGTTGTCATCCGAGAATCCCATTCAGGAGAGTCAGATGAAAACGGTGCAAGCAAGCGCGCAGAGGTTTTACGAATGGCTGGTTGATTTCTTTGGTCGTCTTAGCTCCTCGGATTGGATCCAAGAGACAAAAGAGTCATTCGACAGACTACTATCTCTGGCAGAGAAATTCCCGACATCCCCCAAGTCCTCAATTGGACAAGTGGCAAGGGATCTAGCTTTTGAAGTACTCAAGGATCGTGATTCTGTGACATCGCTGCTCACCACGCCTGTGGCAGATCTAGTCCTATCCCTCGTGTGCTCGGAATTTGAACAGGCATCTGAAATCAGCGATAACCTTTCAAGTGGCGAGGTGGATCCGTCCCTTCATGTTGTCTCTCTATGGCAAACACTTCAGAATTTCGATGGGGGCTCTCAGTATCGACTCTGGGCCGCTCGAGCCATTGGAAGGTCTTTTGCCGCTACTGGAAAGACCAATGAGTTGCTCGTCCGAGAACAAGACATCTCTTTGTTCCAAAAGTCCGAGTCATCTGAGCCGTCTGATATTCTCTGCTACTCCAAGTCTAGGATTCTCAAGATTCTTTACGACATGTTAGAAAGTCAGCAGCAGGACGGAGCAGGCCTTGTTGAGCGCACCTTGCAGCTTATCGTCAGCACAATTGCGAACTATCCGGACTATCAGGCTTGCGATGAAGTGATCCCCGAGTTTTTGATGAAAGCACTCATCTGGAGTCCTTACGTATGTCCAACTATACCACTCTCACACATTGAGCTGGAGAGGTGTGAAAATGCCACACCCAGTACTGTTGGGCTTTCCGTGGATGAGTGGGCTCGTGGAATCTCCTTACTTCTGGCAAATGCTGCTCTAGATGACCCTGTTGTTGGTTCTCTCCGCAAAATCATGAACGTCAAACCGAGGCTGGCCGCGCAGCTGCTTCCTTACGTGACTCATGATGTGTTACTCTCGGAAAGATATGAAAAGGGCGATAAAGGGGATGTTCGCAAAATGATTTCAACGGCCTTCGGACAAGTTTTGAGCGAGACCTGTGAAGAGACGATTCCTCACGCACAGCTTGTGATAAGCTGCATTCTTTATCTTCGGAACCAGCCTATGCCAAAAGAATCAACGATAGTGCAGCGTGATAACTGGCTCGACATCGACTTTGGGGAAGCATCCTCCGCCGCACACAAATGTGGACTTCAAAAGACATCTCTGCTGTTCCTGGAGATCCAGACATCTAAAGTAATCACAGGCTCTCGACGGACGTCTGTTGTCAAGTACGAGCCACCACCTGCCTTGCTACATGATGTCTTCAAGAACATAGACGATCCGGATTTGTTCTATGGCATCGAGCGAAGCTCATCACTGGCCAGTGTCATGGAGAAACTAGAGTATGAAAGCTCTGGGCTCAAGAACCTTCTTTTTCAGAGTGCAAAGTATGACAGTGAGACTCAAATGACCGACAATGCAGACCCATACGGTGTGTTGAAGGCATTGAATTCAACCAATCTCCAGGGAATTGCCAATACCATGCTTTCCGCTTCCAGCAGTGCAAATAGCGCATCTGTCGCTTTCGACAGTGCCCTACAAGCGGCGACCAGTCTTCAGAAATGGGATCTCCCTGTTTCGCCATCAGACTCATCACCCTCATCCACTGTGTTCCGGACATTCCAAGGTCTGAACATACTTGGTTCTCTCTCTGAGATAAATTACTCAATTGAGAAGGGCTTGCTAGCGACCCTTGATACCCTTGTCAAGCCCGGATCCCCTGTTCAAATGGGTAAATCTGCTATCCAGCTGCGAGCTTCAATGAGGGCCCTTGGAATCATGACTGAAGTGAGCGACACTTTACACTCTACCTCCCCCAAAGAGCTAGAAGAAGAGTGGCACAAGATCGCCACGAGAAGCCATTGGCTGAAGACAGAGAGGCGAGTTATTCCTTCCTTGTATTTCTAAAATAGCATCCATCTAACTTTACCAGCTACCATGAGGTCGGAGAGATTCTTTCTTGGCATGAAGCTCTGTTTTCATCAATCAGGAAAAGCGATGTCCTCAAATCACAGGCAAATCTGAGCCTTACGGACTCGCGGCTGCTGGAGGCCAAGGCTATCCGTCGGTCTTTGGAGATTACCAGGAGTCATGGCAACTCTCAAGCATCCCTGAAGTCTGCAATCAACCTCTCGAAGATGGCTGAACCGTCATTCGAGTTGAACATCGATGGTGCTGCAAAATTCGATCTTGCAAATGTGCTATGGGACCAAGGCGAGATGACCGCTTCAATCCGCATGCTCCAACAGTTGAAGAGTCAATATGACCTTCCCAAGCAGGCCATACCACTCAGCCGGGCTGAACTGCTCGTCACCCTGGTAAGCTACTCTCGGTCTTGACTGCCCCGATTGACCCAACACTAATTTATTCCTTTAGGGTCATCATGTGGCCGAAGCACGCCTTGAAAAACCTGATTCTATTCTACAGGAATATCTATATCCTGCAGTCAAAGAGCTTAAGGGCAACACAGGAGAAGAAGCAGGTCGAGTCTACCATGGTTTTGCAACCTTCTGTGACGAGCAACTCCGGAACCCCGATGGCATTGAAGACTTCAAACGAGTCGAACAATTGCGGGATCGAAAGGAGCAGGAAGTACTCGGCCTTGAAGATATGATGAAGAACGCCACCGGCAAAGAGAGAGACTATCTCAAGAACTACCGGGCTAAAGCAAAGCAATGGTTCGACCTTGACGACCGAGAGTATCAACGTCTATTGAGAAGCCGCGAGGCCTTCCTTCAACAGTGCCTAGAGAACTATCTTCTTTGCCTGCGTGAGTGTGACACATACAATACTGACGCATTGCGCTTCTGTGCACTCTGGCTCGACAATTCGGCTAGCAAGACCGCCAACTCCGCCGTCTCTCGACGACTCGCCGATGTCCCAAGCCGCAAATTTGCACCATTGATGAACCAACTATCTTCCCGCCTGCTCGATGTATCTGATGACTTCCAAGCACTACTCACCCAACTGGTTTACAGGATCTGTGCTGATCATCCCTTCCATGGCATGTATCAGATCTTTGCCAGTAGCAAGTCCAAAGGAAGCAAAGACAAGTCATCTCAATCGCGTTTCCATGCCGCGAATCAGCTTGTGGATCGCCTCAGAAACGACAGCGAGATTGGAGAGACCTGGGTTGCTGTTCACAATGTCAATATCAGTTATGTTCGCTTCGCGGTCGACAAACCGGATAGCAAATACAAAAGTGGCGCAAAGGTTCCGCTGAAGAACTTGACGACTGGTGAACGCCTGACGCAGGACATTCTGCGTTACAAGCTGCCACCTCCTACCATGAAGATCGACCTACGGGTGGACTGTAACTACAGCCAAGTTCCGACGATCTCAGCCTTCAACCCGTCGTTCACCATTGCTTCTGGTGTCAGTGCTCCTAAGATTGTGACGGCCACTGCATCTAATGGCGAGAAATTCAAACAATTGGTAAGCATACTCAGAACAAGCCCTCTTTTTACCTCGCATCATCGATTATTGATCACCCAGCGCTTTAACTGATGAAAAAACAGTACAAAGGAGGAAATGATGATCTCCGCCAAGACGCAATCATGGAGCAAGTATTCGAACAAGTCAGCAGTCTTCTGAAAGACCACCAACCCACACGTCAACGTAACCTCGGTATCAGGACCTACAAAGTCCTACCACTAACATCCAACGCCGGAATCATCGAGTTCGTTCCGAACACCATCCCCCTGCATGACTACTTGATGCCAGCCCACCAACAATACTTCCCAAAGGACATGAAACCCAACTCATGTCGCAAACATATAGCCGACGTGCAAACCAGATCCTTTGAGCAGCGCGTCAGGACCTACCGACAAGTGACCGATCACTTCCAACCAGTAATGAGGTACTTCTTCATGGAAAACTTCAACAACCCAGACGACTGGTTCAGCCGCCGACTATCCTACACACGAAGCACAGCCGCAATCTCGATCCTCGGGCACGTTCTAGGCCTCGGCGACAGACACGGGCACAATATCCTCCTAGACGAAAAGACTGGAGAAGTAGTGCACATTGATCTCGGCGTGGCATTCGAACAAGGACGCATTCTACCCGTTCCCGAAGTCGTCCCATTCCGCCTAACCCGTGACTTGGTCGACGGGTTTGGCGTAACCAAGACCGAAGGCGTTTTCCGACGTTGCTGTGAATTCACGCTCGAGGCACTTCGCCAGGAATCATATAGCATCATGACTATTCTGGATGTGCTCCGGTATGATCCCTTGTACAGTTGGACTGTGTCGCCGCTGCGAATGAAGAAAATGCAAGATGATCAGGAAGCTGGCGATGGACCTCCAGTTTTGGCTGGGGCTTCTGACTCGAAGAATGAGCCTAGCGAGGCAGATCGTGCTTTGACTGTTGTGGCGAAGAAGCTGAGCAAGACGCTCAGTGTTACTGCTACTGTGAATGAGCTGATACAGCAAGCAACCGATGAGAAGAACCTTGCCTTGCTGTATTGTGGCTGGGCGGCGTATGCGTGAAGTCTGCTGGTTGTTTCGGTGGTGATTGAATGCACATAGTTTCACGAGTATCTTTTAGACGAAATGAAATCATGATTGTTACCATATCCATAAATGCATATGATGGATAAGGACTCGATTTTGGTTGTGGACTCGTCGGGGTTTACTTAGTTGAACTTGGAAAGTCAGCCCTAGTTTGATGAGTTTTCGCTCAATGCATGTTTACATATGCGAATTTTCAAGTTTTCATCCACATCCCGAGGTCTATTTGTCTGATGACTACTCCATCAAAAGCAAGATGCGAGGTAGATCATGTCCCTTGCATTGGAGGAGCACACGTTGAAGAAGAAAAAAGTTATATTCCATCACAGTAATCATACAACAATGCTAATCTAACAAAATTCACAACGAATCGAATCTAGCCTCGGTGTTGCAATATGTCAGTCGAGGCCAAAGCAATGTAGACGACCAATTCACTTACCTTCCCCTTAGGAAGAAAAAGCCACCACAACGTCAGGCCTGCCCGCGGCTCACAGCCGGACGTTTCCCCTTCATCGTGGGCTCTGATGCCTTCCTCATATCACAAGCAGAGCCCCTCGGCTCGGCCGTTCGTTCGGGGGTTCCGAGGCGGCTGGAATGAGATTAGCAAAATTTGAGAATAGTGTTGATAGTGGTCTGACCGTTGGTAGCAAATCATTGCGCCACCACACATCTGACCTGCCTTCCGCACGTTCACAGGTAGATGTTACCCCATCCTGAGTGCTCTGATGCCTTCCACAGTTCACAAACAGAGACCCTTCGCCTCGGACCCGTCTGGAATGAAATTAGTGACAGCCAAGACGAAAGGTTGATCATGAACTTACCGTCGGTTGCAAGATCTTGCGCTACCCCAACATCTGGCCTGCCTTCCGCGCACTCACAGGCAGATGTTACCCCCTCCCCGGGTACTCTGATGCACGATAGCCACCAAACAGAGACCCTCAGATGTGATCTGGCCGAGGACAACGTACGGAAGAAGGATCTAGTAAGATGTAGTGTCAGTATAAAGTTATTTCAATCAGCAACCAGAGAACGACTCACCGAACGAATGCCCAGAGCCGAGTGATGATTGATCAGCATGAATCCAGGCTTCATAAATTCCCATGACCCATCTCGAATTCAACGGCAAGGCATCTCGAAACAAAAAGCAAAAGCAAAAGCAAAAGCAAAAAACAAAACGACAAAACGACAAAATATTTTTTTGGGGTTTTTTGGTTTTTCAAAAAAAAAAAAAAAGAAAAGAAAAGCAAAAAAAGCAAAAGCAAAAGCAAAAAATAACAGCGTCATCAAGAAGAAGCAAGAATCCAACATACAAGAAGACGCAAAAGAAACGCGAGTACAGAAAGAGACTGCCAATGCCGAGGAAGACGGTGAGAACACAGGCTAAATGAACCCTGCCCGCCCACGAAGGACGTACACCAGGGGCCCAGAAATACAACGAACTCTGCCCACCCACGAGAGGTGTACACCAGAGAACCCGGATATGATCTTTGCCAGTGACATCCTGCCCACCCACGAGAGGTGTGCACCAGGAGACCCAGACGATCATTTAATTCCGGTAAGTCATATAGCCAACCATTCCCAAAAGCAGCGCATCCCACATAACTGGGCGACTGAAGCCAAGAATCAGCGCGCCAACCGACAATCCAACCGACAATCCAACCGTCAGTCCAGTGGCCACCGTTTGACGGATGACCTCAGACCGGGAGGGGAGAGTAGGGAGAGGGGGAAGAGGATCGGAAAGAGAAAGCTGCTCCATCCCATTGGTGATGAGACTTAACAGTTCCTCGAATTCATGGTCGACAGGCTTTGGCTCAGTAGAAGCGCTTGAGGTCGGCGGATAGCAGCGAATCATACCGGTGTGGAAGCTGTGAGCTAACTCTTGGCCGCGCATGCTGGGAGCAAGCGAAGACCTATGCTGCTGCACTGGACGCTTCGATATCGCCTTCTTCGCTTTCCGCATCTCGAGCTTTCGGGCCCTTCTCTCTGCCCGTTTTTCGGCCCTTTTCTTGACGACAGACGGATCGGGGGTCGGGTAGTGACTGAGGCCGTCGGGGATCTCGAAGACCTGACCAACGGGCCCAAATCGTACCTCTTTGAGGATGACGTTGGATCCGGAAGCCTTGAGGCAAGACTTCAAAGGGTGTGCCACATCATTGGAGTGCATCGTGGCGGGATGTCCAAGAGAGGTGGAAGAGGAGGGAGGAACCCAATCCCAAGAGTGCCCCGGGAAGAAGGGGGGTCTTGGTCGGGAGGAGAGAACTCGAGTCCGGTACCCAAACTGGAGCTCTTCCTGGGCAGGAAGCTCTTGAGAAATACGAGTTCTCGCGAGGGCAGCTGGGGCGAACCGAGTTCGCGCGTTGTTGAACCATCGGAACATCGTGACGGGATGTCCGGGTGACAACGAGGAGGAAAGAAGAAAAAAAGAAAAAAAGAAAAAAGGGAAAAGGGAAAAGGGAAAAAGAAAGAAAGGAGAAGCAAGAAAAAAGCCAGAGGCAAGCAAGAATCAAGAGCAGTGCAAGCAGAGCAAATGAAAAGCCAGAGGCATGGGGGAGAAAGAAGAAGAAGAAGAGAAGAGAGAGAGGAGAGGAAATAAATAACGCGGTGGTGCACCATGGCAACAGTTCTCACGACAGGAAGGTGCGATTGAAACGACAACACAGGAACAACATCACTATCACGGAAGGTGCGCCCAGACAGGAGCCTCCGGTTGATATGGCGATGTCTACACTGCCCCAGGCAGGCCTGGGAACATCTACGAGTACACATAGGCAAGCATAAAAGCTGACATTCAATGACTATATCACTTCAATTGGTAGGACAATATCAGAACATGAGAATAGAGTAGGGATGCTGAGATATGATCTTGCTAGAATATCAAGCACTGATATAATGGCAATTCAGTTGGCATAGTGAAATTCAAAGATATTCAATTCAGCAAGGTGATATAGTCCGAGTCACTTCACCCGCCAAGATTCTGATATCTGCTAGCCCTAAGTCGGGTCATACTGCCGCTCCCGGACTCCCGACCAACCATTGAATCATAAGTCAGTTCAAGACTAATCCAGCTGTAATTACAAAGGCCATTAATGCACAATGTGTCTACTATATCCCATGGAATATCAGCTGCAGTGCTGGATTCTCGAACATATTCAGATCGCGCATTTGATTTCAGCATCCATTGGAATTTGATACATGCCCAGTCAGTTGGCAGGTCTATACAGAAATGATCTAGCTCAAGTCTATTCTCTAAACGAATATTCAAAAAGAGACATGGCTTCAGACACTCTCAGGCGATACTGACGTGACAGTATAGTATTGAGATTTCGTCTCAGACTCCCGTTGCTTCGTTCCGAGGCTCAGATGAATGTCCACCATAGAACTTGGGATACAATTCTTCTTGAAACAATGATCCATACTGCTTATTATAAGGGATTGTTAGTAACAACAGTGGCAATCGTGCCAAGGCTCCCGAGTCTTCCAACAAACTGATTTACTGACGACTTCCAAGTATTGATTCGGCCATGTCAGGCTTGAAGATGCAGGAAACAACCCAGCGGATCTCATTGGGAGCACCAGAAGCCATCAAGAATGATTATGCTGAGCAATTCCAGTCCTGTTCCAACGGGGACAAGCCAAATGCGAGGTCAAATTACATCCGTGGATCTACGCAATTCTTTATAACCTCAGTTTCCAGGACTAGGGATGACCATTAATTCAAAGCCAAAAAGTACAAGCGAGTATCAAATTAGAAGAGAAGATAGAGCTATCCCTAAAACAAGAAATGAGACCTGTAAAGACGCGATGCAAGGAAGCGCCAGCAAAACACCGACCCATGACGATAAGAGACAGCACAAACAGAATCCAAACCAAGATCCAGGACTTGTTTATGTATGGCGCAGAGAAAAGAAAAAGAACATAGCTTAAAGAGACAACCCGACAAGCCCGGCAGGAACCAAAGTCTATGCAAGTCGTGACGTGTAAATGCGCTGAGAGATCCAGTGTAGGGGGGGAAGGGTATGTGACGCCAGACGGGAATCAGAATGGATACATATAGTAAGCAGACGCTCAACGGAATAGAAGCACAAAAAGGGCAAGAAGAAGGATGGAGATGCGTGCGCATCGATAGGGCGATCGGAATGCACTACGGTGGAGTCGGAGTTTGTCCGAAGGCCGCGTGGTCGTGAGGCTTGTCGCGGGAGCGCATATACATGGCATCGGCGTATGCGTCCGGAGCCGGGTCGATCGATCGGGGAAGAGTCACAGGCTGTTGTTGCTGGGCAACGACTTCCCGCGCATAAAACTCTACCAGCATAGTGCCGTAGGACTCGAGTTCCTCGACGGAGATTGCGAGTCGGAAGTCGTTCAATAAGAGGAACTGTAGTTCCAGATGATTGAGCTCGACCAGAGGGAGACCGCCAACCTGGAGATCGGATTAGCGGCTGAGTTGGAACGAAAGGAAGCATCACATACCTTGGCATAACGTGAATTGGTGTAGAAAACATCGGAAAAGAATTTGCTTGCACAGGTCACGCCAGCGATGACCAGTCGGTGGATATTAAAGCTATCAACGACGAAGAAATGGGAAAGAGCATCGAGGTCGGATTCGGGAGACAGCCCGGCGACGCCAGGGGTGGAGGTATGCGATCCTCGCGCATCCGGCCCGTATCCTGATGAAGGTGGTGTCGCCATCGGAGAGTCCTGCATCGGATGGTCCGATGCTTCAGAGGAAGCGCCAGAGTCCTCGGTCCGATCCCAGCGGTGATGGAGGTGATCTAGCTGCCCCCGATTGACCAGCTCGGTCATCCGATCAAAGTAGACCAGCAAACTCAGGAAGACCTCGTAGGTCGTGGGGCAATATTTATGGATGCGAGTGAGGTAGCTGAGGATGGTGATGCTGGGCACATTTTTCCCGTGGAAGGCGAGCACGCTGGTAGCCTGTGGGCTGAGGTTTGAGGTCCCCTCGGGGGGAGGGATGTGGCGACGAACATGTTCGTGATGGGTGTCGTTGGTCGTGGTGATCCTGGTCAGCAGTCCCGCGACCATCTCGATGATCTCCGTGACCGGCATGGAGCTAATCTCATATTGTCGTTGCTGGGATCCATCCGAGGCGAGGGAGGTCTGTGAGCCCACGATCTCTTCGTTGGCGAGACTCTGGATATGGGACAAGCTCTGGACTCGAATGCGGCTCGGTGAATTCGCCTCCGACCCGGGCACTGACTGCATTGACCTATATGTCGGTTCTAGGCGTGGTGAATCCGGCGCTGAGTGGTATGCGGATTCTGATCCATGTGTTGAGCTCGGAGGAAAGGCATGGGACGTCATGGAAGGCGGGCGAGAGGGAGTGCGCGTCGAAGGGTGAATGTAAGCCGGGACATCATTCGCAGCAGAACCTCCGGACGGCGGGGCAGTAGAGGTGGGGGTGCTGGATCTCGACGCTGAGGACACCGAATCCGAATTGATCGTGCCTCCCAACATGTTGCGATGAACTCGTAACCTTGACGGGTTTCTGGTTTTCTGCAAATCAGCAAGGCGGTCGCACGGGCATCGCGCACTTTGCCACTATCCAGACCTCGACTGGGAATTCCGGATATTTGCACGTCAAGGAGGGGTTTTGCATACGATTACCAAGTTACGAGGCTAGACCGGACAGAAAAGATCAGCGTACGACGATCAAGGCCATGTTCAGCAGGGAAAGGAACGCGTCAGATCGATGTCAAAGTGAAACAAGAGAGGAGAGAGAAGCTCTTCTGTCAAATGAAAGACGGTGTAGATGGGGACGAATGATACGACGTGCTGAGTGCCCGTGGCGGGAGCCCTGGGGCGTTGAGTCTGATATACGAAAGGGTCCGATGTTATGATTTTCCCGTCTGCAGATACCTAGGTATACATATACGACCGGGTATACAAAGTCTTTATATCAGACCTTGGAAGTCTAACACTCACAGCTTCGGTGCTATGGATTGATACAGCCTCGGGTTGACTTGCCAAGGAATAAGCTTGGATCCCAGCAGAGCTGCACTATCCGTCTTGACCTCCATGTCGGGAATGCGACGAATACTCGTCCACTGGAATCATGAACCATTTCATTCGGAGATCGACGCAATATTAGAGAAGTTATTAATTCGTCACACCCGGCCCAGTGTAGCCGTTATCCGGCAGATAGAGATGTCTGACGGCGCCGTTCTTGGTCAACACCACAAGGCGAATGACACCACCAGAGCTACCATCCCATTTGATTGCCTCTTGCAGGGCGCTCCGCACAAAGTCAATGCCCTCTTGCTCCGTCATCTGTTCCCGCCAGTGGGCATCGGTATAACCGTAGATGTAGGTCGATCCAGAACCACCGATGGCGAACGACTGCTTGTGAAGGGATCCTCCCAAAGGTATCGAGTACACCTGACCACCGTGTCGTGCGTCCCAACCAGCGAGAATGATACCCGCACTAGAATCATGTCAGTACGAAGGGACGGGCTCGGATAGAGAGGGACTGACCTCAATGCATCCTTGTTCTCATAACACAGTTCCTGGAAAAGCGAAGCAGCCACCTGGGTGGTGGGCGCCTCGGAGTTTGTGACGCCGTACATGTTGAGGTGGTAGGAGACAATGTCGGCCACGGCTTGGGTGTCGGCGGCCGAGCCAGATCGACAGCACCAGATGGTGTCATGCACCTGTGTCAATTTGTCGGTGACTCGGTTGGCGATGTAAGCACCGGTGGTTGTGCGGCTGTCGGCGCCGAGAATGACACCGTCCTTGAAGTTGATTGCCATGCTGATATCTTGTTAATGGGATGTTCAGAGATGGTTGAGCTGCGAGAGCTCCGGCTGAACTCACATCGAGGTACCCAAGCTAGACGGAGAAGAGATTAGCAACTTTGACTCGCCTCGAAGCTTCACAGCTTCAGGTAGACATCGGGAGCTTACTTGACCTCGCCAGACTTGAGGTGGTTCATGTCGACGTGAATGCCATCTGGAGACGTTAGCTAGGTGTCGGGCCGGATGACGATAGCTCTCACCTTCGCCGAGCATTCCTGACGTTCCGTGCGAGGAGACCATTTTGTGATGAAATTGAAATGTCAAAATGCTTCAGACAGAAACAATCGAATAGATAATGCGGCAAGGAAGAAGGTGAAGGTAAGGGAGGATAGTGATGCTATCATGAAGGCAGAAGCTCATAACGCGGCAGGGCGGTGAGGGGGGTTTGGGACTTATCGCGACAAACTCCTGAAACTGCGACTGGCCGACCTGGGGTTGTCCCTATTTTGATCTACTTGTACTCCGTACCTCTGGCATTGGCCTTAACTTGTTCATAATTTCTACAATACCAGTTTCTTCTCCTTTTTCTCTCCTTCACTTCCCTTAGCTCGCCATGTCCGAATCACCTCCACCTCCCTCGTGGAGCATCAGCAGCGTGGCCAACAGTGCCGCGCAGTTCATGCGACTACCCGTGTTGGCCTCATCTGGCCTGGCCGTGGTTGCAAGTGGACTCCTATATTTCAAGCAGAAGTACGCCATGAGAATCTAGACCCATTATCAACCGGGGCTAACATCTTCCCCAGCGAACTAATCTACCCCCGCAATGTCCCTGTGGATGCCCGTACGAATGTCCCCAGCCCTCGCCAATTTGGCGTCACCGACTTTGAGGATCTCCAAATCCCGACCCCGGACGGCGAATCGTTGCATGGGCTCTTTTTGCGCCAACGACCTGGCCGATTCTCTAGTAATGTGACGGTCCTAATGTTCCATGGTAATGCGGGCAACATCGGCCACCGCGTTCCCATCGCCAAAGCTTTACAGGAGACACTTCGGTGCAATGTCCTCCTGCTGGAATATCGCGGATATGGAATGTCAACTGGCACCCCAGATGAGACAGGTCTCAAGATTGACGCTCAGACCGGCCTTGATTACTTGCGACAGCGCACTGAAACGCGCGACACAGAACTTATTGTCTACGGGCAGAGTCTGGGTGGTGCAGTGGCTATCAATCTGGTCGCGCATAACGAAGAGCAAGGTGATATCAGTGGGCTGATCCTGGAAAACACATTCCTCAGCATCCGCAAATTGATCCCCAAGTACGTTTTGCTTCCTGTTTTGGATGTCTGATAGAGAGGCTAACCCTAAATCAGTGTGTTCCCCCCGGCGCGGTATCTGGCGCGTCTCTGCCATCAATATTGGACCAGTGAAGACGTTCTGCCTAAGATTGAGAAAACCCCAATTCTTTTCTTAAGTGGACTCAAAGACGAGCTTGTACCGTAAGTGCGATCACCCGCAGATGCTCGTTTCAAAACTAACTCGCGCTAGACCCTCGAACATGGCACAATTGTTTGCTGTTTGCAAGACCCAGACCAAGATCTGGCGCACACTCCCGAACGGTGGCCATAATGACTCCGTTGCTGAACCGGGTTATTTCGAGCACATCCACTCCTTCGTCACAGAAGAAGTGCTGACCACCAAAAAATAAGCAAAGGTGACTTTCTAAGGTTGCTTCTATCGTGAGGTCTGAGTGTTTGTTACTGGCCGTTGGGCCTTATCATCATGATCCTCACTCGACTTTTAATTCTCGCCAAGTGCATATGCTTGGCTCTAATGCTGGCTCTTTTAACCGCCGATTCGGACACCTGGCTCCGGCCTTTGCAACCCACGCAATTGACGCCGTCAATTATGACCATGATACCCATTGCCACGCAATAAGATATGAAATACCCTTTTCATCCACTCAACAATCATCTTTCGACCGTCAAGCATATCCGGCAATTTACTTTCGGGGCCGCGGAAGTGCTCGAATGAATCCGTTGAGTCGTTATCTTCCTGTTCATCTTACATATGTATTCTTGTTTACACCACCCTTGCTAGTAATAGTCTTTCTACAATATATCTATTAAGCTTCTTCGAGACAATTTACTTTATTCCAGTTGCATTCCTGACATTTTCCACTGGAGTTGTAAGCAACCGGCACCAACAGCCCCCGACCCGTCTGAAATACTAGGTACTCCGAGGCCCAATGATCTAAATAACCCATTTTGACTGCAAGGACTTCAAGGTTCATCGCTACCTACCTACACTGAGCCTGCCCAGGTGGCCGTGGTTTAATGGTTACCTAGGTAGTAGAAAGGCACAAGTCTGAAAGAACCCACAATTTATATTCAACTCTAAGGTTTTTGCAGATCTACAAAATCACTACATGCGGTGTTTCTTAGACATCTATCCGAAGTTTCTATGATTCATGAGATCTAGACTTGCAGCCAAAGGTGAGATACATATAATACAATTAACTTGACAAAGTCAAGGAATCTACTGGAGTCGCTCCGACTCCTCAAGCAGTTCCTCAACCTTGAAGTTCTCCACATCACCCCGAGTGAACATGCGAACAAGCTCACTCTTCCGACCACTCGCCTGACCCTCAAAGTCATAGAAGCGCTGCACGCAACTAACCAACCAAGTCGCCTCAGGCGCGGAAACACCACCATCAGGAACAATCTGACCATGCATAAGGACCAAGCCCTTATCCTCAGCCAAATCCAGATGGTGCGTAATAGTAGTATGAGGCTGAGCAAAGGCACCGTGCATCTTATAAGCACCCAGATTCGTGAAAATCACAGTCGATGCATGGTTGTTAGCAGCGGAAGGGGTCGAGCCCTCCGCAGGCGGGTGGAATCCCCACTGCAAGAAGTGAATGTCTGCAGCGGTACCATTTGCACCCTCTGGAGTCTGCTCTGCTTCCTCGGGAGTCTGAGGCCGCGGGAGAGGCAGGATGAACTGCGGGTTCTGGCGCGCCGCAGCGATAATGCGCTTGTATGTGTCTAGGGGGATAACGGCCGAAATGGCGTGGCCGTTATCAGCGTGGCGCAGACGCCAGAGGGCTTCGATCTCCTTGGCTGGGAGCTCGCGGATCTTTTCAACGTCGAGGTATGTGCTCAGTGGCTTGACGGGGCTGGAGTCGCCGGAGACCGAGCGCGCGGCTTTGGTGGTCTTTGATTCTTGGGGAGGAGGAGGCGCTTGGAATGCCTTGGGGGTGTTGGGGACTGCTCTGGGTTGGGCAGGCTCCGGGGTTGCGACAGTTGATGCTTTGCGGCGGAGGTCTTGGATTTTTTCGTCGTAGGCCTCCTTCAATGACTCGACTGAGTCATGTCCCTCTCTGGGTGTATGCGTTAGAATGTATGATGATACAGTATTCAATCGAAACTCACTCCTTGGCTTTCTGGTCCAGCTTGGCCCGATACTTGTCGAGGACATATTTGGGGTCATGGTGGGAGGCGAGGAAGCGCACATCGTGGACCTGTGCCCACCTGCGCTGCTGGGTGCGCAGCAGGCCAGTCTGGCCACGGAGAGCAGATTGGAAACCCTGTAGTCGGAATGGCATCTTTGAGTCTAGAGAATCAATGGACTTGAAGCTCTCGAGCCCCGAAAAGACAAGATGACATAATGGCTGACATAAACGGTCTAGTTGACCAGTTGGCCAGTTGACATTCAAACATCCATTCGCGACATCAATGTCTCAAATACAAAGCGACGTGCCCATTTTTTGATGTAAGTCTAGTTGGAGCACCCCGAATATCCAAACTTAACTGCCCAGGTGTATAAACTACATTTGTCAGCATCTGGCATCAAGCCTCGGTCATCCATGACGATCTATAGTTGTAGGCTGAAGGTTATAAGTCACATATCCCCTCAACCCCTCAGCACCTTCACCACTCAGACCTCCAAAAACTACTATTACGCTACTAGTCCACCAGTACAATGACATTCAACGAGAAAGAATTCAGTACACCCCCACTACATCCACCAGTTGGCACACCCCCGGACTCCGAGTCCGCATTGCCATGGTACTCCATCGCACCAGGAGTATGGGAATTCCTATTGAACGGCAACACGCAAGAAAAAGCCGTCTTGCAGTGGTGGGAGCCTAACGCTTCCTCGGCTCAGATCGAACCAATAACACACTCGTACATCGAAGAGGTGTGCACCCTGCGCGGCGGATTGGAGGATCTTACACTGGGACAGTCTTGGGGCATTGGAGCCTATGCCTATAGACAGCCTGGTATGAAGCATGGACCGTATCGGGCTACCAGAGAAGGCTGCCTGCAGTTTGTGAAGATCATGCAGGCAAGACATACGAGTCCGGAGAGGGATTCTTAATGAGTTACTGGCTGATAGCTTCTAGCCGCTGAGACGGGGAAAATGTGATGCTTTATGATCTTTTGAAACTTTTTCGCTATAGTGACAACATAAACAAGCAATGCATGCTTTCCATGCAAATAGACAACTCCAATATTCATGCGGATTTTGTGCAAAAGTCGAGGCTCCCTCGAAACTTTGGACATCAAGTCGTCAATCGTCGGCTCCAGGACAGCCCTGGAGTGATCTAAGCCTCGACTTCATTCGTAGTGGCCTCGGTCTGACCAACCTGATCCTCTGACTGATCCCTGGGCTGGGACTGTGACTCGGCCACAGGCTCAACTCCCACATGGTCCCCAGGGTCCTCAGAGAGGGTCTCCTGTTCCAGGACCCGATCACCTTCGACCTGATTCTGCTTCTCTTTCTCCTCTTCCTTCTCCTCCTTCTCCTCGGCTTCTTCAGCATCCTCCCAACTATCAACAACCTCAGCAGCAGGTGTCTTCGCGCGCAAAGACTTGCCAGCCCCAACACCAGAGCGAAGAACAAGACGTTCCTTCTTCGACCCATCACCATCAAGAGCAGAATAAATAGACTTGCTCACCCAAGAGTTCTGGACCGGCGTGCCACTCCGTGTACTGGCACCACTTCCACCCCGACTCTTGGAGGCAACCTGAGCCCATCCCCCATCTCCACCACTAGCCTGGGCTTTCGCGGCTTCGCGCGCAGCCTTCGCTTCGATGGCAGCGACACGACGGGATTCCTGCTCCTTTGCACGCTCGCGCTCTCGCAGCTTGACACATTCGCGCACGCTCATGCCGCCAATACCGATTGACGAGCCGCTTCCTGTGCCGAACAGAGGTGGTGTCCAAGCCACGGGCTTGAGGACGAAGACATGTCGGTGTGGTTCTGGGTCGTGGCTTTCTGTGACGAAGCCCCAGTCTGCGGCTAGGGAGTGAGCGAATGCGCGCAGGGTGGGCTTTGCGGGCTGGAAGCGGAAGGAGCGGGTAGAGCTGTCTGCCGTTGCTAGGGAGTGGAGGTTTGATTCGTATGTTTGCAGGGTTGAGAGAGGAGCCGATGCTGCAAGTTTGATGTATTGGTTGAGAGTCTCCTCTGAGTAAGGGAGGTTCTCGGCCGTGATCGTCTGTGCTGTGGTGGTTTGATTGATGTCAATACCGAGGGCACCTGCCAGGGAGCGATTCCGCTCTAGACGAGTGCACTCGTCATCGCAGGCCAGTGGAGTCAGCTCGGGATTGCGTTGAGGTGACTGGACCTGGCCCTTGATTGTCACGGCTTTGGCGGCGTTGCAACGCTTTTCCTGCCTGAGTCGTCCACAGCCACATGTCACTGTGAGCTTGGACGAGCATGGCATCTTCTCGGAACACGCGTAAGGAGCATGACACTGCTCGGTGCAAGGATGGCCGCAGATGGACTTGTTCTTTCCACAAGCCTGGGTGCAAGGTTTAGTTGCATCCTCGCAATCCTCGGGGCGATGGCAATCCTTGCGACAGAAGTGCGAGCCGCACTTGAGCGGCTGTCCACAGATTTGTCCACAACGAGCATCTGCCAGCCAACAAGGCACATTCTTCAAAACACGCTTGCCGCACAGGCAAGGCTTCTCCGTTAGGAACGGACACTTTGGACAATTCTCTTCGTCTGTGTGGCAGCTGTGCGCAGCCTGAGGATGACCACATCGCTTTGGACGCTCGCATGGGAAACTGCAAGCCGGTGGCTTTGCGCCACATGGCTGAGGTGGGTAGAGTACAGATCTTCCGCAATTACACGCGATCTCCTCAAACACCGCCTCTCTGCAAGTGTTACAAGCACCCTTATGGCAGAGTTCGGGACATGTATGTCTTCCGCATTTCAGCGTCCGACCACACACCCGAGTGCAAATGTGTTCCGCTTCGATATCCTCCTCGGCAGGGCGAAGGTGAGGTCTGAGCTTGCGACGCGCAGCCTGACGCTCGTTCGCTCTTTGCTCTCCAGGGCAGCATCGATCAGTGCACGTGTGACGACCGCAGTGGAGGTTAGCCTTGCACTGACGCGGGCACATGGGGGGTTCATTGACACCCTGGTGGCAGATGGTCGTATTGTCGGTGCGGCCGCACTGGCATTTGATGGAAACTTGGCGCAAACAAGCGCCACAAGGACCGGTGTGACACAATTTGTCGCAAGGATGGCCACAGGGTAGGGTCTTGCCACAAGGTTTCTGGCAATTGAGGATTGGATCTTCACAAGATGTCCGGGGTGTGTACCCCGGGATCTCAGAAAGCGGCGTCTTTCCACAGGCGCAGTCCAGAACGACATCCGGAGACCGTGGACAGTGAGCAGGCTGCGAGTCTTGGGGATGACAACCCTTTTTACAAGTATGTTTGCCACAGTCCAGAGGACGGTTGCAAGTCTCCCCACAACCAAAGCAGCCAGTCCACTCTTCTTCAGAACCATCCTCGCGAACAACTCGGCTGTCTTCCTCGTCGTCCTTGGATTTGCATAGCATTTCGGTCTGCAGTTTTCCACAATAGCAGCGAGCTTCGATTTCGACTTCACAGCCCCCACACAGGCCCTCATGACATGGAAGTGGACAGGTATGTTCTCCACAAGGAAGAAGCTCACCGCAAATTTCACCGCAGCTCCATCCGTTCTCATAATCGGTATCCTGGCAACGCTTCGTTGAAGAGTTCAGACCACAGAAACAATCCTGCGTTGGTCCCATGGCAGTGCAAGGTGCGCAAGGACCAGCATGGCATGTCGTATCACAAGGATGTGGGCAGCCCTTTCTAGGTCGCGAGCAAGTCTGTCCACAGGAATGAGGCGGTAGTCCAGGGAGTGGTCTAGGATCAACCTCCTTCTCACACCAACAAGAGTAATTCGAAGGGAAGTTCTGATGCGAAAGATTGCAACCGGGACAACGCCAGGCGCGTGGGGTGGAGCTTTCCTGCCCATTCTCCTGGGCCGATGCCCTTTGCGCCGAGGCGCCTTCGTTCTTGGACCATTTCTTAACACAGCTCAAATGGAAAACGGTCCAACAGAGCTCACAAGACCAGACACGAGATCTGCGACCCAACTCGCTACAGCAGATGGGACATTCGTATAGATTGTGAGAAATGTCTTCGTGGATCCGGGTAGCCAAATCGGGGGCTGTGGACTTCGTCGTGACCTTCGGTGGTTGCGGCGGTGCTCTAGGCTGTTTAGCCTTGCCCTTCCCTTTGGCGGATGGCGCGGATTCCGAAGGCTGTCCGGATTGAGGCTCGGCAGGAGGCGCTCCTGGTACGAATGCTGGTACATCGGCTCTTAAAGAATTATCATTCTGCCCCGCACCCCCCAATGCCGCATCATCAGATTGATCCGGGCGGGTCAATTGAGCCTCAAAGCCTCGCGCTTTCATGCCCCGAGATCGCGGCTCGGGCCGTGTGCTTTGTCCTTCATTTCCTTCAGTTGGACCCTGGTCTCGTCGTGGAGTTCCATTGTTCCGTTGTCTCCTCCCTCTGCCTTCTCTATTTCTTCCACCTCGCGGCGCACGCTGGTCATTGGGCTGATCAGGCTGGTTTGTATTCGAGGAGGGCTGAGGCTGTACTGGTTGTGATTGCGCGGCAGGTTGGTTCTGAGTTTCGCCTGTGGCGGCAGGCCTTTGTTGCTGCCCATCGCGATTTGCAGGACCCCGCCCTCGGCGTCTCGGTCTCGATGAACGTGGGGGTCTCGACCCGGTCGAGGGTTGGGTCTCTGAGACAGGCGCTGACATGGTTGAGGATGTAAATGAAGTTGATATGAGCACTGCTGGCGTGCTCATATATTCTCGCGCTGTATTTTGTCGCTGTTCCGAGTGATCGAATGGTTGGAATCTGATGATCGACTGGACAGGTTCGTCTGAACGATTTGAAAAGTTTGAAACAATGCAGGACAAAAGCGCAAGATCAAAGAGCGGATAGGTATGCTGTGAGTCCAAGGCGACAGCCTACTATATGAATTCAGAAAATAGCAACATAACGAACTATCTAGAAAACGATAAAAGCTCTCACGGCAGAACCGGGCGGTGGGGCGAGGGCGGTGACGTAGTGAGATGACTCAGGCCTTACATAACATGACTCATAAAAGTGGAGTCTCACATGTGCAAGAATCCAAGGATCCCCTGTGGGTCAACGATCTATACGATTTGACTCACGGAGTCCGCTGCGCAGGTTTACTACCTACCTAGGTAGGTAGATACCCGTCTCTGCTAGCCGGCCGCCACCCGGTGTGAGAGTGTGAGAGCAATGAAACAGGGGGTTGACTAGCAGAGACGGGTACAGTAAAACTTGATTAGTACCTATAACTTTCTATCGTTATAGCTAGGTATCGCACCAAAGAAATGCATCCGGAGTTCATATTTCTACATACTTGGTACTTTAGGCGCGCGAAAACGCCAACCTTGAAAGAGAGCTACTAAGCAAGGGATTGTTATTCCAATAATCCTACTAAGCCCTCACTACCGTAGGGCTATATCTAGGTAGGTGGAACGGATCAACTTATGAGGAGTGGGAGTGTCTGCCCAGATTGTAGTACTACTCAAAGGTGTTGTTTTAATGATTGATGGATAACGGAGTGTCCCCGGGGGCGCCCGCGGGCATAAGATTCCAGCAACTCCCCTAGAAAAGATACCCAAGAAGATGAATTCGTAGAGATCTCTAGTTTACACACAAATTTCCATGGGAAATAGTCCCTCATATCCTTCCAAGGTTCTGCTTTTGCTCTTTCAACTTCCTTGCCTGAAGTTTCCTCTCATGTCTAGACAGGTCACTTATTATCTTCCGATCGCCCTCTGCTTGCTGCATTTCATATAATATGAGCGTTTGCAACGACCGAAGAGCATCATCTATCGAAACTATTGGAGCCGGAGGGGCTTCAGGTATAGGTTCTGCATCGTCATCACTATCCCTATCATTTCCGCTGAGGAACTGGCTTAGCACGGTATTATCAATGGTCTCCATGCTATCTTGAACCACCTCCTCCGTAGGATTGAGGAAGTTCTCGACACTCATTGGATCTAGTAAGAAAGGCCTTAGCGCAATCATACCAGCAATGAGGTCATCAATCAGCTGCTGCGGTAGTTGACAGTCTCCATCCATACCCATCAATGCTTTATTAAAGCAATTGATGATAGTTTGAGCGGGAACATCACATTCCCAGGCCTGAACCGCCCATTTCACTGCTTGAAGCACACTCATGGTTTGGACGGGATCACGGCCGGCATAGAATTCAGCCACCATAAACCTTACCCACTGGCTTTTCCAGTAGCCCTTCCAGGTTTTGATGATACCCAGGTTCAATGGTTGGTACAGGTTTGGTGTAGTAGCGGGAACCCAGATGATCAGGGTATTTTGAAGCGGTGAAGCACTATGGTTGATAGTCTTTACTGCGGATTTATGCGCAGAAAAATCATCGAGAAGAAGCACGACATTCCTATCAACCATTTGGTTATCAAACCATCGAAGCCACTCTTCGAAGATCTTGACGGTCATCAATGCTTTGGTATTGGATCTCCATTGAAGATTGAAATTGTTGATGTTGACTTGAGCGGCGGCAAAAGAGCGGGGGTTTTGAGCCGTTCCAATAAACCAGGGATGCAATTTCTCAGAACCGTCGGAGTTACAACAGAACAATGCTGTAATCTTTGATTTTTGTTGGTTTTTCCCTTGTGAATCGTCCGCAGGAAGGCTTCGATCAGGGGCTCGTCTCCAGTAAAGTGCAGCTTCATCATAATTGAAGATATCTTTTGGCTGGTATACTTTGAGAATTTGTCGGATATTGATCATAGATTCCATTGCAGACTCCGGTGTGGTTTTCTCTTTGCCAGCGTAACGGAGATTCCCAATTGATCCCCGGTTTTGGAAGGCTGCTAGCCATCCATTACTGAGTGAGGGCATTGGTTCACCTTGGTACGTCGGTATGTGGGCCCAGAAAAGCCGTGCTTTTTCCCGGATGATCTCGTGCGTAACTGGGATCTTCTCCTGCTGCGCGAGAGTGATCCATTGTAAAAGTGCGGCTTCGAGGTCTGGCCACTTAGCAAGACGGATGCGCTTCGCATTTCTCGTATACTCGGTTGTATCGGCATCGAGATAGTCATATTTCGAGGAGAGGATACCGGATAAGGTAGATTGGCTAAGACGATGATTGTAGGTTTCACTAAACCAGTCAGCAAGCTGCTTTTGGGTAGCCGCAGGGCGTTCGCGGTGCAGCTTTCTGATAGCCATTTTTTGCTGGTTCGTGAGGGAATTGCGGCTGGGAGTAGTCATTTTGATTGAATGAAAGGCAATTGTGAAAATAATGTCTTCGATAGCCCTGGAGTATGATAAATGCAAGGGCTTGAGAGAGCCGCAATATATTGTTGTAACGGAAAACGGTGGAAGTTGCGATATTTGGGAAACTGATATTCTCAGCAAAAAATCGTTAGGTTAGCGCACTAAGTCACCTGCCCAGTGGGTCAATATCGAAATAAAGAGGTTTCTCCACTAGCCCTCTCACCAATCACAGAATCGAAATCAATCTGATATCACTGTATACAATTATCAATGCAATTTAGTTCCATTAATTTGAACATGCGACGTCCTGGCCGCTGCATCGAGAGAAACATATGGCGCTATGCAAAAGAAAATCCAGCCCGTTCACCTCGTAAAGTACCACCACGTTTTGGCCACACTGAGAGCACAAGCCCGCAGCTCCTAAATGAAAACGACAATCTCACCACGATCATTACGACGCAACCTCAAAGCCCTCCAAAGATCCTTCTCGTCATCGAGTCTGCGCTCATAGCTCTCATCAGCGTCATACTCAGTCGAGAGATCACGGTGGAAACGCTTCAGCGCCTTATTGATCGAGCAGCCACGGACACTGTTCGGGGCAACAATGGAAAGGAATTGGTGCGCAAGTTCACGCTGGAAATCCTCGTCAGTGCGCGCAGGCGGCCTGGAGTTCTTATAGACCATGACCTGGTGACTGGGGGACTCGATCTCTCCGCGACGCTCATCGACCTGCTTCAGACGGCGAGTGGGTCTTTCATCGGCGGGGTTGCTGCTCTTGCGCTTGGATTTGCGGGTCTCTTCGGGGGAGGCGCGCGAGCGGTGTGACTTTTTGCTCTTACGGACCTCAAGCTGGCCATCGGCGCTGGAATCGCTGCCGCGACGTGCGCGTGTTACGGCCTTGGGGTTGGCTTCTGTGTGGCCGCTGACGCTGGAAGCGACCGATCCACCGAACATGGATGAGACAAGACGTTCGGCGCGGTTCTTCATAGAGATTCCGAGACCCGGATCGCCGTTACCGTTGGCTTCCTTGCCATTGCGGCGACTGCGCTTGATCGGGGATGAAGCATCCTGGTAGGCGCGGCGGTGGGTTTCGGGGCTGTCGTCGCCGGGGGAGGGCGAGCGCATCATGCGGTTCAAGCCACCGGTGAGGCCGGAGTGGTTCAGCATCGGGGTGCCGGCGTTGTTGATGATGCTGGATGGCGCATCCATCATGGGGGTATCGGCTTCATCGCGGGGGGTGCTCAGGACATCTGGTTCTCCGCGCTTGCGCTTCTTCTCGCTGGCCGTGCCTGGTACCTTCTCCTTGCGATCCTTCTTCTTCTTGGGCGCAGGTGTAACAAACTCTGTAGACGCGTTAGGGGGAAGGTTCGAATGCGGGATATTGCCAGTGCCGTAGGAAAAGCCGTGCTCGTTGTATGCGACATCGTAGTTCTTACCCTCGTCATCCGTACTGGGATTGGCCTCCACGCGGGTCAGGGCATCGCTGGGCTCGAAGACCGATTTGGCGTTCTTCTTCATCTTCATTTGTTCCTTGGGCTCCGCGATAGTAACCTTGGAGGCATTCGGGGTCTCTTCGGTGACCAGGTAGTCGAACACATTGACGGGCTTGTCGTTGGCCGGGGTAGGAGCAGCAGCGGGAGCGCGCACCTCACTAGCAGGAGGGGGCGTGGGACAAGGGGGAGGAGCGGTTTTGGAAGTCTCGCCCTCGGAGCCATCCTCCACACGAGGTTGCTGGTGGCGGTTGTTGGGCGCTTGCTTCGCATTGGCGTTCGCATTCTGCTTCTGGTTCTGGTTTTGTCCCTTCTTCTGGTTCTTCTGGGGCTTCTCCTTATACAGGGCACCCTGGTATTTTTGCGCTTCGCTCATGCATGACTAGTGGCAGTCAGTGGGTGCCTCCCTTGGATTGGACCTATTGCAAGTCCAGCGCAACTGCGCGATAGTGTTCCGGGAAAGCGTCTCGGCTTACCGTATGCGCTCTGTACTCGGTTCCGTAGAAATGGACCATGCAATCGATACAAGTGAAGGAAGCGCCGCGACATTGGCCGCGATGGGGGTCCAGCTTCTTCTTGGTGAGAACATCACCACACGCCTAGTCCAGTTAGCAATGTCGCAAGATATGTTTCGCCATGGCGATCAGGCAACCCACCTCGCAAGAGAAAGAGACCATATTGGCTTATAGGTAGAAGAAAGAACAAGAAATTCGAGTGCGCCACAGAAGGAGGGGGTATCCCTTTGAACCAGATATGTAGCGCAGTGATAGTCCCGACTTTTTTTTTCCCGCGAAATTTGGAAGCGCGCGCGCGACTGACTAGGCTGGATTGGGATGGCACTAGTCCACTTCGAGAAGTATGAAATGTGATGCAGCGCAAATCCCTCGATTTACTCCGTTGATGCGCTTGGGTTATTGATTTCCTGATGTTCTCGCTCTGTAGGATATTGCGTCTGACTCTGATTTAGTCAGACTATAAAGGTGTTTTAGATCCAACGTCTCTCCCAGCCGGTCTTGACTCCCGTTGCATGCTTAATATAGTTCTCGGCCAATTCTGCCCGTATCGCCAGTGGCGAGAAAGTCAGACTGGTCATTGCGACCTGCATGAACTGCGGTGTACTTCCAACATGGTTGGATAGTCACTGTCAGGAGACCCCTCATTTGTTCGAATTCCGCGCACTTGATGCTATTTCCAGTCCAAACCCAAATATTTCTTGATCTTCACAGAGTCTGCGCACACATGCAAAGGGGTATCACAAGGTGCAACCCTGATAGTAAACGATCGCCGAGTTGAAATGGGAAATAATTTAGTGCGACAACATCCCGTCGCGCAATACTAGTACACCGGCTAGGCCCGTCGGGTCATGCGCGCCATATCACCGGGATCTTCGTCCAGGTGAACTCTTGGCTGAAGATCGACAACTCCATGGCAGATGACGCGGGAATCTCAGACTTATGTTCATGGAGGGACGGCCTGAGATGCTGTTGATGGCTTCACCCTCAAAGTTCCCGCAACAATCAATACGTTCCAGCAACTCAGAGATGATGCGCTAGTCGGTACAGTGGTAAAATCAATATGCAAATGCAAAACAGAAGGGTATATTGATAGTGATGCTGCCAACCGACAGTCTATTACTGTACAAGGAGACCAGCTCCAACAGGACGAACATCCTGTGCTCCAAATACACTCAGACGCCAAGAGATAAAGAAACCCGCACGAGACAAAGACCTCGGGATTCATCCCGTCAACCGCGGGTAGTCCTAAAACAGACATTAGCGATCAAGTAGACGTCGCGCCCTGGAAAGCCACTCACGCTTCTTTGGAGATTTCCACAGCGGGGCCATCATGATCCGTGCCCTCTGCATCAGACTGCGGGGCTGGCTTCTTGCCAGCTTCTTCCTCATCCCCATTGCAGCCACAGTCGTAGAAATCACCTAGATTGGCACAGTCGAATTCAGGCTTATCAAGCATCGCATTGACCTCGTTGTGAATGAAGCAAGCCCAGCCCGAAGCTGCGTTGCGGGATGATACCTGAGGCGGGTATTTGTGCAAATGTTGCTGGAAGTGCTCGGCGCATTCTCCGCTGGGTCTTGTCAGCTTCTGACTTCCCGAATAGCATGTACCAGGAGCTTCTTACCAAGGATATAACCGTGCAAATAGGTAGATATACGACCGCAGTGCCTCCTTCTGGTCGTCCGTGGGCTTTTCAGGGTATCTTGCCATGACGGTGTGGAAATACTTCCATGTCGCGCGACCTAATTCAGCCCTGAGTAATACTGGGTCAGCAAATTGTTCCGCCGTTTGAAACATTGTTTCCAGTCCAAATGGACCTCTATGCGCTTACTTGACTGTCGCATTACCCAACTTCGGCATCACCACGCCCCCCTTCAATGTGCTATCTTGGATGCTTATCCCCGGCGCGGGCGCGGTGTGGTCGATGTGCCCGGGGGCGCGGACGGCGGGACTCAGAGGGCCCTGAGGCCGGATAAACAAGAAGAATACCAGACATAGCGCGATCACTGCACTGGTGGTAATGCGGCGTGTGAGCTGGCGGCTCGCCATGCTGTCGAGGTCGGGGGTCGGGGGGCTGCGATAGCAATGTCGCCAAGGGTCCGATCGCGGGAAGCACCTGGGACGAGTGATAAGGGGAAATTCCCTGAGATGAGAAAGAACTGCTTCAGCTGGAAATTATCAGGACGTAGGAAACGAGGACAAGGACAACGGTGCGTGTTATTGGATTCGTGGCCCGCTACGGGTCACCTGACCACCTCTACAGATCGATGGCGAGGACCTTTTTTGGTCGTTTCTTTTCATCTTTTACTACCCTAGACCGCTATGAAGCCTACGAGGATATAGCATGCCTACTCAAACGGTGTTCATTGTGCCAAGTTAGTCTGTCAAGAGTGCAGACTATGACCCACATCGGACATACTCCGCGGTTTCATCGAGTGATGACACTTTCCAATGTTGTGTTCGTGGTGTTTCAGCTATATCTCGATGTCTTCACTATTTAGTTCCCATTGATGTCCACCGAGTCACTCAAACTCGGAGGCAAGTCTTCCTTGCGCGTCCCCCAAGCGCTTTCTTTATCTCCAAGAGTCAACTCCAGCGTCATACCCTGCGTGAAGAACTCATGGCCAATCCAATTCTTAGTATACGGCACTCCATTGAGGGTCGCGTTCTGAATATAGATGTTTTTGAACGTTTTGTCAAAATTGGTGTTCCGGATCGTGGCAGTTTTGTTGGTCTCCGGATGAATGACTGCGACGGCCTCGAAGAACGGAGGAATGATAAGGTAGACGTTTTGACCCGGGTTGGGGAACAGGCCCATCATACTCCATGCCAGGAAGGATCCCATAGCCCCGGAATCATCATTGCCAGGCAATCCGCTGTGTGTGGCGTTGAACGAAGATGGAATGTAGGCATGGGCTCGACTTGCGGACAAGGCTGGTCGTCCGGCGTAGTGGTAGTCATACACGGTCAGGAAGACAGGCTCGTTACCCATATCTGCCAGTCCTGAGGTGTGGAAATAGTCAAGACGTGCGACGAAGGAGTCTGGGCCGCCAACCATCTTGATCAACTTTGCCATGTCGTGGGGAACGAAACTGATGAAGTGTGAGCATTGATACGTTGAGTGGGAAGGCCATACGAACAATTGATATTCCCAGATACTGGACTCAAAGGTCTCGGAGGGGTTCGAGGTAAGAGAACACCATGAGGCCAGAGCGCTGCAAGCAATAGGATCCTGGTATCCCCATGTCCCGTTGATATACTTCGGCTGGAAGAAACCGGTGAAACCGGTATCAGTGCCATTCTCCAGCAAAGACTTCTCATCGTCTTTGTATAGATTCTGCCAGTTGCCAGATCGGGCTGAGTAAATAGCATAGTCCTTGCCAAGGCCTTTGGCTACCACTGACAGGGTGTAATCATTGTATGCGTACTCAACTGTTCGAGAGATACTCCGTGAGTTAGTGCCAAAGCCGATGTAGTCAAAGTCCAAATATGGAATATAATGAAGATGTTTCCAGCTCTGCAGACCACCCCTCCCTTCGTAGGACCATTCAAGCGGCTCGTTCTCTGCATCATTGACCATCGCTTTGTATGCAAGCTCCCAGTCGATGCCAGTAAGATTCTTGACATAGGCATCTGCCAGAACGACATCGGCATTCGAGCCACCCTGCGTCCAGCCTTTGCAAAGACTCATGCGACAATCAGGAAGCCATCCTTCATGCTTGAAAGTGTCCAACAAGCTGCGTATCATCTCAGACTGCGCATGAGGGTCGATGATTGTGAGAAATGGATGCTGTGCACGGAAAGCATCCCACAGACAGTAGAACGAGTCGAAATATGGCTCGTCGCTTTTCCAAAGCGGATTCTCCCCTGTGAGATTCTGAGGCGAAAGCATGGTTCGGTATATCCCGCTCCAGAAAGCGCTCAGCATGTCATCGCCGACACCACCCGGAGTCACCTCGACAGGACTCAACTTTTCGCTCCATGCCGTCTCTGCTTCGTCGTGCAGAGTATCAAAGGCATCGTCTGGACTCGGGATTTCCGCCTCGGCATTCTTGCAAGCTTGGTCTGTGCTGATAAAGCTGACGCCAACTCTCACAGTCACGGTCCGGTCATCTGGAGGGTCAAACATCATATAGCCTCCGGCTTGCAGGTAGAAGTTGTTGAAGCCACGGGTGACAAACAACTGCTGTACTGATCCCGCCCGATCATTAACCCAAATCCCGCTGTCTTGAACATCAGCGCCAATGAAATCAGCACAAAAGTAAGACTGATACGAGCCGGCCCCGAAACTCGGCAAGAAAGTGCCATTTCCCTTCATTCGGCCGCTGTCTGCATCGAGACTAATCGAGGCATTCTGTCGACTATCCCAGAGATCCGTCAAATCCAACGAAATCAATGGATTCAAATCCTCTCCATCGGCAGCTTTCCCACCGGGAAACACAAAACGATACAAAGCCGCGTGCTGCGCAGCAGTCATCTCAGCCTTAACGCCATTTTCGAGCGTCAAGGCAAAATACCCAGGACTAGCAACAACCGAATCGTTCTCGTAGTGAATTGCACGCGCAGCTTTTGGAAACTTGCAATTATCCACCAGGTTGTCCTTGCAGTATTGAGGGAAAAGCGGGAAATTACCCATCGACGGATTCCCGCCTGTGCCACTGTCGTGCATGTGCGAGAAGCCCGTGACATTGCTACCGTCCGTTGAGAAGCCGCCTGTATTTTGGCCGTCGACATCGGCAACGGGCTTTGCCATGCCGTAGGGCAGAGTTGCCCCTGCGAAGACGTTGCCGCCATTCGTGGACCCAATCAAGGGGTCGACATGACGGAGGTCATCTTTTGTTGCGAGTGTCTCATGGGTGTATTGCAGAAGTATAATTCCGAGTAGTGATTTTAGAATCATCATTCTTCTCTGCAATTTGAGCAGTGGACTACGCAGTGACGCGGTGAGGTGTAGATGCAGGTGTTGAGGCGGGAAAAGAAGGCACGAATGCCTGCTGCAAGGAGGTTCATCTCGTGTCAGTTGTAACGTCGCAGTGGGATCGACAGCTTGAGTCTGTAGTTTGAGTAGATGCCAGACCCTACTGCGGGGTTAGTGTAAGTCAATGCACATTGTTGTGAATTTGGGGATTTCTGGCGCTTTGACTGTGCTTCGATGGGATGCGACATTGGGGTAATGTTTTCCAAGGTTGAGAACAAAGTCCACGAAAACATATCATAGCAGTCATACAAGTGCAACAGAGACAAAAAGTTGATTATTTCATGTGTTGTCCCCTCAGCCCTGATTTTTAATTTCGCCACTGCTTCGATGGGCGCACCAGGACCTTTGTTCTTTGGTCTTCCTCATGCAGTACTTCATGGATGGCAAATGACAGGCCATCGCAACTTCGCAGCTATTGACCTGCGCTGAAAGGTCCAGTTATGCAGCCTGCTGACCACCCCACCTCGACTTTAACCTTGATCTCCCTCTAATGTTCGCCATTGAGAGCTCATTGGCTTGCTAGGTCATATGCTGTTTATGTAAAAAGTTGAGCTTCATCTTGAATCACTGGAATTCATGATGCACTCTGTAAGTCATAGCCCATGAAAGTCGAGTTTATCGCCGTGTCCCCCGGAGTTAAGCAGTGGAGGTAAAGTCATCGTGCCCCACATCGAAGTAATCAAGCCTTAAGCCCGACGTGAAGCCGAAGAGCTCAATACTATAAATTGAAGCAGACCTGGCATTGAGCAATTCAGTCAAAATTAACAGATATCATTCAGAATCACACAGCAAACATCCAAAATGGTCAAGACAATCCCCTTCGGTAGCATGCAAGTCCCATCACCAGGCTTCGGAGCCATGGGCCTAAGCTTTGGTCTTGGCTCTAACCTGAGCCTCGAACAAGCTGAGCCTGTTCTCCTGAAGGCAATTGAACTCGGCTGTACATTCTGGGATACTGCTGTGGTCTACCAGGCCGGAGTCAACGAAAAGCTCCTTGGTGATTTTATCCGGAAACACAATGTCCGTGATAAGGTCTTTAGTGAGTTTCCCTAACACTCGAGATGAATGAGCTGGAGCTGACTGTGCCTTCTTAGTTGCTTCCAAATGTGGCTTCAGCGTTTTTGAAGGAGATGGCGCGGTCACCAACTCCGCTTCCCATATCAAGAAGTATATTGACGGCACAATTGAAAGACTGGGATTCACTCCAGACTTGTACTACCTGCACCGAATCGACCCCAGTGAGTCCCGCCAAAGCAATTTTGCTCACCAGAGCTAATAATTCCAGACACACCTCTCACGGAGTCAATCCCTGCTCTTGATGAAATTCGCCAGGCCGGAAAGACCAAGTATATCGGACTATCAGAGTGTTCCGCCGCCACGCTCCGCAAGGCCAACTCCAGTATGTCTGATGCACACTTACCTGGAGACATGTTACTGATCCTCAATAGTCGCCAAGATCGACGCCGTCCAAGCCGAGTACTCGGCCTTCGAGACCGTCCACGAAACCGATAACCTGATCGAGACAGCCAAGGAGCTCGACGTCGCCTACGTCGCGTACAGTCCCCTCGGCCACGGCTGGCTCGTCGACAACTTCGACTACAACTCCCCAGACGACTTCTCCCCCGATGACTTCCGACGCAAATGTGAGCATCATTTTCCCAACTCTTTCGCATATTCAACCTCGGTCGGACCACTAACAAACCATCCCGCAGCCCCCAAGTTCCAAGGCGAGAACTTCTACAAGAACAAGGAAATCGTGGAGGCTATCAAGGGCATTGCCGCTCGCAAGGGTTGCAAGGTCAGTCAGATTGCTCTTGCTTGGGTCGCTACCCAGGGAATGATTGCAATTCCGGGAACTACCAAGGCCGCTCGTCTAGAGGAGAACTGGGCTTCTCGGGATATTGATCTCACTGCCGAGGAGCAGAGTGAGATGCGCAAGATTATTGATGCTGCCAAGCCTCATGGAAACAGATATGGAGCTGTGCATCAGGCTATGGTTGGTCACTGAATATTATAAAGACGATTGGCTAGGTAGAGTGTCGTTCATATTCATAGATAGAGTCGCCGACATGAGACTGAATGGTCAACCCTTTTCAAGCCATTATCCTATCTATCTTTTGATCGATCACAGAAGTAGATTTTAAAGAGCTTGAAAGGCAATGAGCTCATTTCCCACGAAAATGATTTAATGAAGATTGGTTCGCATAGATAAGTCTCTCAAGCCATTGCTTGTGCACGAGGACTAATCCCAAAGACACAGACACAGCTACATCCGAAGAATCCGCGAAAGCCTCTACTGGATATCCCACTCCGTCCTCCGCACTACCGGCATATCTGCCGGACGCCCCGGTGTGATATTTGCGTGCTAAGATCCACCCGACCGAGTTATCGGGGTGCCCGAGAAGCCCGTTGCCCCATCCATAGCCGGGAAGACCGGCAGTTGACAGCTTCGAAGTAATATCCTGCATCATCTGCTACTAGTACATCGAACGAGCATATTTTGCGCTACTGTAGCTGTCATGAGATCGGTGGCAAATCAGATCCAGCCAGAGATCTGATTAGATTCAACGGATCGCGGCGATTTGTCTCCCTTACTCTGAATCGACGTGGTCAGTGGTTCCCACGGGGTCCGGTGGCAAGGATGACGCCGCTGACGACAAGGATTAATTCCAGTCTCCATTTCCAGTGGAGGGTGATCCTGTGTGTGCCCGTAGCCCGTCCACGGGGTTCACACCATACACATGGGAAAATATCTACTTAGCATGGACTACCGCAAATACCACATCAAGCACAGTATATCGCGAAGCGCCCCAAGCGCGATACGAAAGTCTAAGTGGGGTGCGGGAGAGGCTCAGCATCGATTCAAGGGCGCATACGGAGTATGTAGGCGGGATTTGACTTTCCAACCTTCCCAGGTTGGAAGGTACTCGGGTCCTATCTGATTATCAGATAATGGAAGTCGGAGTAAGGGTCCCCGGTTTTCAGAAAAGGGGGTTCAATCAGATTGGCCATAGAGCCTGTCCAGTGAGACTCACATTTTGATTGATTGGGGGCGCTGAGGGGTCTCTGGGCTGCCCTGGCAAGATCAGGACGAGAATCTGTGCGTGGAGAAAACTGGCAATGGGGGGTGGGACTCGGTCTGCTGCGGCTAATAGTCGTGTCTCGGGCACTGCACCTCTCCGCGAGGCCAGTGTCAGACGACTGCGACGATTACACACTACAGAGAACGAGTCTCCGACAGCAAGATGACTACTGAGAACAAGCTTCGATACGATCAGCGATCTTCTTGACGGCAGGCAAGGTGTTCATTCTCTTCCTAAAAAATATTCGGGGTATACCCCTCTTTTCCCTCCTTCCTTAATCATATGATTCCCCTAATGTAATAATGATAACGATATTTATTCCGCAAAAAAATGTGTCACATGATCCCTGTCCTCTTCATCTGCCGCCGTCAGAATCCCCTATCTCGCTCACAGGGCGCCCTCGCTCCGCTTGGCTTTGCGATAGCGGCGATCACGGTGGTGTCGGTGCCTGTGCCGGGACCTTTTCTTCTTCGTAGACGGTCCGTCGGCAAGTTCATCGGCCACACTAGGAGGTGTAGTCATTCTAGTATCACTACTATCAGGCGTATAATCGGTTAACGTGACTATAGCGGACTCTGGTGTATTGGAGATCGCTGAGTCTAGACGGGAGTCATCGTTTCGATCACTTATGATGGACGTGTAGTGAAAAGCACTATTAACTATAGCTTACAGCATAGCAGGCTCGACCTTGATGATGGACATTACAGCATTGGGCTTAACTACGGATATTAGGGTATCGGGCTTGATATCGGACTCTGTTGTATTGGGCTTGCTACTATAGGTGCTGTGGGTAATATCGGTGGCCTCATTATCTGGAACTTATCTTCTCCTTAGTTTTCGGCGAGTAGATCTCAGAAGGGTATCTCGGATAGTGCTGTATTCTCTAGGGTCTACTAGACTAAAAACTATTTATTAGGATTTATTAAGCGTTCTTAGTCTCTTTCGGATAGTGTGTATATCAGTAGTAGCTAAATCTGTCTTTAAGTGCTCTACTAAGGTATTCTTCTCCGTAATAATACTTGTATTTCTCGGCGGCTAAAGGATATCTTTCCTCTTATTTGGATAAAGGTTAATCTATTTTAACAGTCTACTTTCAATAAAGAAAACATTACTATTTGTAACTTAAACCCTTATTTCTCTAATACTTAGTCTCTTCTCTTTATCGAGTTGAAGTAAAGAAGGATCTATTTTCTAGAAGAGCTATAAAGAAACTCCTTAATTAAGTGTATATTGTAGATCTAGGGTATTTAGAGTGATACCTAGCTCTATAACATATATCTCTCATATTATCTTTTTAAGTAAGTTAATTATTTAGGCTATTATTAAATAGTAAATCTATAATGATTATTGGGTAATACTATTTATCTCTAACACAGCAATATCCAGAATATTCCCAAACTACATACCATTTAACTAACAGCTTATCTGGTTTAATTTATCCTATAAGTGGCTCTTATCGAAGATAGAGATATCGTAAGATAAAGTTGCTAAGTAGTATTCTCTTGTGTCGATCTCTGTTCTTTATTGAGATTATTTAATTAGAGTTGTTATAGTATTCTAATTGGTAACCTAATCTATACTCTAATAAGTGTTTACTTTTTTGAATTAATTTTAATTCTGTGCTTTAACACTATCTCCTCTGAGTCCAGTCTTCTTATCTTTAATAGTAAATTTATTAAAGAAATTAATATTATACCCTTTATCGAAATTCACTTTCTGGGTAGGAGTTCTTAGTTTACTCTATACTAAGGATGAGGGAGTATTACCCTCTGTATTAAGATCTAGCAAGGTCTACTTTGTAATCCCCCGTCGGTCTTTAGTATATATAATAATTCTTCAGAATATAAATAACTGTTTGTTAGACATTGTATCTAAGTTAGAGAATTTATAGTTGGTAACTAAATTGTTAGTTTTAAGTATTCCAATAGAGAGTCTCTTATATGTAGATCTAATATCTATATATTCCTATATATAGAGTAAAAGGTCCTTTAAGGATATTTTAATCTTTTGGAAGTAGTTACTGGGTAATGCTCTAATACTGTCTATTAGAATTCTTTCTTTTAGAGCTATCTTAACGGTTAGATCTCTGAAATAAATAATAGAGCTTTAAATTTGTAAGGTAAAAAAAAGAAAAGTAAATAAAGAAATTAAGAATAGGATTATAAAGAATAAAAAGAATAAGAAGGAAGAAGTAAAATAAAAAATGGAATTTTTAGAGTTGTCTTTCTACCTTTTATAGAGAGAAGCTAATCCTATCTCTCCTCTGGCTTAAAGAAGCACCACTAATCTTTGTAGCTCTACTCTAACTTTTATCTTATTTGTACTATATACTTAAACGGACTAATCTCTAACTGAGATATACTAATATCCGACTTACGATAATATAATTAATAGTTAATACCGGAACTAGGATCTTAGTAGATTCACTATCCAGGAAATAAAGTACTATCGCCCTATATTGATACTTAGGATCGCTTAGCTGTTAGTAGTATATACAAAAGTTATCAAAATATATATAATAAGTACTTTAATTGTATATCTTCTGAATCATAGCAGTTCGCCCTCTTTTATTTACTAATATAAGAATTCGTAGTCCCAACCACTGAAGATCTATCTTTTTACAGTACCCTGAGTCACTAATAAAATCATATATAAAGACAAGATCCCTATCTTTAAATTTTTAACAATAAGAATTTAATCGCTAACCTTCTTTCTTAGTCACTAGCGTATTTATCTATACTGTTACCTCAATGCTCAATTTACATTTTTCACCTCAGACTATATTATACAGGGTTAACAAATACTTAAGTATTAGATCTAGATCTGCCTATTACTTAAGTAATACCACAGCCGACATAGCTTAATCGAAATACTTATAGGCCGGGTTAAATCCTAGTAGCAGTTTAGTTAGGGTATATCTATAGACTCTTATATATTTAGTATTTAGGGCTAATACGTTTTCTTACAGAATATAACTCCATTATTGTAATAATTCGCCTGATCTATAGTATACTCGTCTTAATATACTAACCACTATTTACACTATCCGTTTACTGAATCTTACTGACTGAGGATAATACACTAAGACCATACAGTGGTATACTCTATATCGGTCAAACATTTAAGTAACCAAAACGTTAATAAAATAGCTACTGTTATCGCTATATATATTAGCTAGCTATCTGAATACTAGAGCTAAGATCTATTCAAAGAATCGGATTATAGCTTTTATATTCATCTTCTTCGTTAATATTGTCTAAATAAACTAACTGAAGTAATTGATAACTACTAGAATATACTATATCTTACTCTCACATACCGGTTTAATTAGTCTAAAGAAATCTATTACTAATATATTCAGTAGTTTAATCTCCTATATTCTTTGGATAGACCTATTCAGGTTTTTAGAAACAAAGCGCTAACATACATTGTAGATCCTTATCTATACCTAACAATCGAGTATCCGCATTAGCTAATAATATTAACCAACCATTTTTTTAAGAGTAAAACTAGCTCTGAAATAACTGTACTCGTTATAGAAATAAATAAGTCTATTGTCCATCTCTCCTTCTACAATATAAGGGCTCTATATCCCGTTTAACTTATAATATATTAAGATCTTATAATGCTAAGGGTATAATCTAAATCTATAGATTCGACGAAAGACTGCTCACCTTAACGATCTCAGTAATACTATTACTATATCAGTTTCCCCTTTAAACATCTCAATAACACCTTTATATATTAGGGATTCTTAAAATTTCTTCTAAAGATCAGACCTTTCCTAATAGATCTTATTACTTAATACTACTGCAACATATACTATATCTAATAGCTCATCGATCGCAGATAGGATAGTTATCAATTGCGTCAACAATTAACTCAGACTATCTGCTAATCCGATAATAGGGTCAGTATTCAGCTT